ATTCTTTTTTAAGTGTCTTTGTTAAGGAAGTAGCCATGATATGCAAGGATAAAGTGTGGCTGTCGTAAAAAATGAACATAAATGATTTTTTGATGCAACTCTAGTTATGTAGAATTCCGTATGTATCAAATTCTGGTGCCTTGCAAAATGAATTATAATACATAAAAATAAACTTATACAGGAAAATACATACAGATATACAATACGATTTAGATTGCAAAGATCAGAAAATACCACAGAACTTGCAGCCCTTTGATTCTTTATAAATATACATGCTTATATTAAGCTCCAGGATTATTTACATCTGTGTTAAACAACAGTTAAAGTCGTTACAAGCCCTAATTTAGATCGAATAATATGGTTTTCTTCAGGCCGTTAAGGCATATAAATTCACCGTGGCTGAAGGGTTTTCACGCTCGCTTAGAAAGCGAGAGGCCTGGAGTTCAAATCCCAGTAAAGGCAACTCATTTTTTTTTCAAATTGTTTAAGTCAAATAAACATTGGTTTGAATATCAGTGTTGCAATCAGTCTTACAGCCAATTTACTACAATTAAAACGCTGGAAAGCATTGGTGGCACTATACATATAATCTCACAACCTGTACCTTTCTTACATTCTGAGACCCAAACAAATTCAGCGCCTTCTGTGCTTTGATTATCTATGCAATGACAAATCTCTATGTAAATATATTTTCTTAGACTGTCTTACGAAGCATGCACACTGTTTCAATATGGCAGATATATACTAATTGCTATATTTGAATTGTTTTCCATTTTTTTTCGTTGGTGGTGGTGTTACTATGTCAAAATCAGTCAGACTTTAAGTGTATTTAAGTCAAAATCTGTATTGTATGATTGACACAAGTCTAAGTCATTCATTTGACATGTTTGTTAACGTTTCCAGAGTTCACTGTGACAACTATTGTGAAATTTTAGCGTTCTAACCTGACCCACGCGGGCCAAGTTAGGAAACCACCATTTGATTCTATATATGGCAAAACGTTTTGTTCCTTTTACTGTCTAGTGTATTCATTTTGAGGACATTTACAGAATAATGAATGAAAAATTCAAAACTAAGAAATAAAAATTTTGCCTGTGTCTCCCTTTAACTGGTGGAGGAAGACCTCAGGTACATCTTCTTGCATTATATTGAGCACGATTTGGCATCCAAGTATACCCACCTACCTTCGGTAAAACTAGGTAAATCCTTACATGAAAGAATCAATAGTCCCGGTTGAGATTCGAATTCACAACGATGTGAGACCAGTGGTTTGAAGTCAACGATCTTTGGTGATCCCCTTGTCTAAAGTACAATGCTTTTAAAATAATTCATATAATCTGTTTGATAGACTAATTAAGACAAAAATGTTTGAAACAAAGACGCTAATGTCTTTCACTAATAAAGATCACACAGGTCAATGAATTTCATACATCATTTGCCGCATAGCTTTCTCAGATGATTTAAAGATCAATTGAAACGTCAAAACAATAATTTTTACCTTTGTTATTCTGATTCTGTTTTCTTTGATGTCAGTTTTAATTGATTTGTGCATTTACAGCCATACCCGTTGAGTGTTTTGTGGCAGTTTAAAAAGTTATACGCATTTCGTCTCTATTATCATTTCTTTGCCCTGTATCAATTGTTATTTTTTGTTGAAGAAAGACGGTGCTAGGTAGCTTGAGAGACGTTGAGCTTCTTCTTATAACTCATTCCCAGACAAAATCAAATATTTGTTCAAAGGCCAGATTGAGATCTTTCTCTCTTGGAACGAAACCCCTTCCAACTTCCAATCAAATACCGGTAGCAGAATCAGTTAGAAAGACACACATAAGCAACGGTGCAAAGGCAAGACAGCAGATCATGTTGGTTTTTTTTTCCCATTATATTTCATGAAAAGACTTTTATCAGAACAAGTCTACGTATACGGATGTTTCTAAATTCAAAATTTTACCATTTCATGTTTTAATGTTGAATTCTGCTTAAGCCGGTGCTAGGGGCGTAGACGGTTGTTTGCACTTTACAGTACCGTCCATGAACAGGCTCAATCACACCGAGCCTGCACCATTTTCAATATTGTCGTTTTGTTTGGGGTCCTCCTGGGCTCCTTGCCACTGACGCTTGTTACTGGGTCGGGTGGGGGCTGCGTTCATTGAACGCCACCTTTCCTTGTCGATCTTGTTTATCATATTTTGGCTTTCTTATTATATTCTTAATTTCACTATTTTAATTTTTTTCTTTGCTTTTTTAGAATATTTTTATTGTTCTCCAAAAGACATCAATTTCTTTGTTCTCTTTTACGTCTATTATTTAGACATGTTTAGTTCTTAAACTGATGTAAAGGAACCCACTAGATTAATACAGTAGTATTATAATTTCATAACCTAAAGTACCATTGCAAACAGTGTTGGTTTGAACATTTTCAAGTGTTGACTTAATTTGATAGATCCATTTTGAAATCAGTGGCAATATATCACGTGTCTGATTTTATACATGGTAGGCAACAATGATAATAATTTTGGGTTTCATCTAGATATAAAATAACAATGCACACTGGAATTCATTTGCATATCTTAATTTCAGTACATCTCGAATTAGATTCCATCTTATGCCTTTACTACACTTTGTCATTTCTAGTTCAAACCGCGTATACTGGTTACATGTACATTAAACATATTGTATTTTGTTTTCCTCATTTCTCAATTAATCTTCCGACTTTTTGTACATCCCTTCAGGTTTTAGCTAATGACTGAAGCTAATGACTGATAAATTTTTAAGAAAATCCATTAACGAATTCCGTAGCATTTTTCATTTTTTATACTTTATAACTGACATGACAATGAGGGCGACGGTTCTATATGCGAATTTCGGCGTCCAAATGTCGAATGTTGTAAAGTTTGTATTTTATTCTGGAATCATTTGTGTCCTATTTGCTCTAACCATATCGGCAGAAAAAGTTTACTTCCAGAAATACAGAACATGGTATGATGGTATTCGCAGTACGAGTGTAAATAAAACATTTTATAACAGGACTCTCGTACAGTGTGCTACAATCTGTAATGAAACTTTCGGATGTGCCTCCTTCAACATGAACGACAATGGAACATGTGAAATTAACACTACACCGTTTGAATTTTACACAAGTTTCCTTCATATGGCGCCTTCGTGGAATCTTTACGAAAAGGGAAATTGTGGACTTGGAAGGAAAACGGCAACATCTTGTCTTATGTTAGTCCATGAAAGCGGGTCAACGTGGCAAGAATGCAGAAAACTCTGTCAAAAAGGGCAAGGAGATTTGGTGAAAATTACAACTAAAGCTGAAACCGAGGCAATATCTGACATGCTGTTTGAAATGATTCCTAACGTGAGTATCATGAAATGGATTGGGTTGAATAAAGTGAGTTCAGATGACTTCATCTGGTCAGATAACACACAATTGTTGTACAAGAACTTTGCAGACGGTGAACCAAATACAGCACAAGATTGCGTTGCAATAACTGGTATGAACGATTACGTCTGGAAAACAATGAACTGCACAACTAAAATGGCGTGTATTTGTGAAAGAAAAAATGGTTTGTCATAAACATAAACTGTACAATTTGTTTGGAAGTTTACGTTTGAGTTTTCATACTTCAGCAATTTAGCACCTTCTATGTGATTTTGTTTATTGTATTATTTATAATTAACAATACCCCTTGATTGTTCTTTGTCAACCTTTTCTCCTTCTCCAGCTTTTCTTTGGTGCCTTGCAGGACTTGTTGCTCGTGGTCCCGCGTTGCAAGGTCTTGTTGCCGGGGATCCCGCGTTGCTGGGCTCGTTGCTCGTGGTCCCGCGTTGCAAGGTTTTGTTGCCGGGATCCCGCGTTGCTAGGCTCGTTGCTCGTGGCCCCGCGTTGCTAGGTTTTGTTGGGTGATGCGATGCGTTCATTAAATGCTGCCATTCCTTGTTGGTTTTTGTTTTTTTTCCTTATTTTATAAAGGTAGCACGAGTTCTGTATCACTGAAGCTAATTTACCAATTAAAAAAAAATCTGACCAGTGTGATAATAAATCTGTATTTGTATTAAAACACGCTAATTAATGTTATACATAATCATTGACCATTTCTTCTTATCTAATAACGTTAGAAAAAGGTTTGTTGATTGTTGTTGCTTTTTTGTTGTTGTTGTTGTTGTTGTTGTTGTTGGGTTTTTTTTTTTTTTTTTTTTTTTGTTGTTTTTTTTCCCCTATTTTTTTCAATGTTAAAGTAGCATTTGCATTTTTATGTTCGTAGATAGTCATTCAAAAGAGATGGAGAGATATAAAGTGCTTAAAGCTTTATCTCCACTGTCTGCAGTTTAACAAAAAAAGGGTTCTTTTTATCTTGGAAAAAAAGATGTCAAAGTGCCTGTATGAAAAAATTATGTTTGTGTATTTGTTTTTATTTGTTTTCTTTAGGAAACAGTGCAATTATAGTAAATGTACATGTAGTTAATAGTACTACTTATCTAGTTCGACTTTATGGCGAACTCGGCAGATAACAATTGAAAATAAATAGAGAGATGATAATGATAAGATGTTTAGTTAAAATACTTCAAATTAATTGAAATTCCTCTATTAAACAATTTAATATGGAATATGCTACTGAATAATCTAGATAAGGAAGTTCTAATTTGGGCATTTCAAAAGAAACCAATTATAGATATACTCGGCATGTCAGTTATTTGTCAAAATCAAGGAAAAGATTTGATATTTAGTGTCATAACCACATGTGGTGAACAGCACGATTTCAGACGCTTTATAACTGTTTTTAAATTATAAAAATATGCATTGAAGCTTGGTCTGGTGGCTAACGTCTAAGTTTATGAAAAGGGCTCTCTTAAAAGCATTTCTTTTAACTTTGTGCGAAGTAAGCATTACTTCTAAAGGCAATGAAATTACGTGTAATGTTTTCCTACTTTTTACCATATTTTTTGTATTTGTTTTTTATAACATAAAAAGGATAATAATATGTACATTATATGCTCGGTCGGTGAAGCTCAGCAATGAACTTCAAAAACACTCTTATTTCTCTTTGACACAACAAAGTGAACAAAAATCAAGGCCAATAAAGTCACAAGACAATTTTACAACAGTTCATATATCCATTAACAACTTAATACTTGTAGGTTTGTTGATCTTTGTCCTAATCTTTTATTAATACTGACTTTTAAATAATATGTATATGAATCATAAAATGATATTTATGTATGATGAAATTAGCTGTTTTGAATATAAAAGTCATATATTTTAGGCTTGTTTTCCTCTCTTAGGCCCTTTTGGTGGGTTTCTACTCATTTGCCATATCTGGCGTGGCTTATTATCACAGACAGCGAGTTGTAGACCCTGAGAATCATATGTCATCTCTACACACTTCTGGAAATTTGGATTATATATGGTGCCATCCTGAAAAAATATGTGTAAATTTAATTAAGTCATCGACCAACTACGAGCAATAGATCTACCTAAAGATACATTATGCATTGTAATATTATCGCCACCTTATTTTCATTATTGAATTTATTTCTTGAGCTCTTACAAAAGCCGTCTGAAAACGAGGCTACCATTAGATGGAAAACCAGATTTATAGATTCAATGTCATATTAAAAGCAAGTGATTTAATTAGTTTCAATTAAAGCATAAAATGAAAAGAAGTATTTGCCTTATGTGTAAGACATAATTTTATATACTGGTTTCAGAATGGTTCAGTTTTAATGTAACCATTTTGTCACTTATATTATTGACGATTTTCTTTCACTTACGCTTCTATAAAAAAATTCTTGATGACCTTTGCCCCCATGACAACCGTATATTTTGACCTGTACACCGTCTGGTGTATCCCAGCAGTATTCGTCACGTCTGAACTCGTTGTCGGCGCTTAGCAACCAAAACTTTTTTAAAATATAAAACAGATAAATATGTACGAAAAAGATAAGTGCATTTATAAATATTCTCATGAGTTTAACTATGCTAAAATATATATCTTTATCACGAACTGAAAAAATGCGGGAGCTTTGATAATTACAAAGTTGCAAAATGACTAAAAATGAAAGGCAAAGTAACAAAACACATATTCTACTAGTATCATGACTTTATAAAGAGAAAAAAGAAGAAAACGCCCTGGCTAACTTGAATGAAACAGACGAGGAAACCACAATGTGCTCATTTTAAAATTTTGATTATGTAATAATATTTCATCCTTCTTCTTTACCTGATTCCCGCCTTGGCCGTGACATGGGTAAACAGACACCGGTTGGCTTCTTGCGCTTTCTGTGTCAGTATTGGCGTCTATACACATAGATCGATCTTTATTCCGAATCTAAAATAAGCACAGACATTTCACATTTGCAAAACAATTTTATATAACAAAACATCAAAATGTCGTTTAGATCTAAAGAAGCTTGCATTTGCCGCTTACATTTTATACATTTCTTATATATCAATATTATAAACTTTTTACACATTTTGATATCAATTTGGAAACTCGAATTAAGATTCCACATGTCTATTTTTTACAGAGAGTTAATGCATTATTTTTTCGTGCTATTACACCTGCAAAAGCACGAGGCCACATTTAAAGCCTGAAAGGCAATGTATTTAATAAGTCCAAGAGGTTCTGCAGATGTTAAAATTTAGAATTTTTAGCACATTAAGACGTAGCAATAACGCAGCTTTTTTATTGTCTAGAATTTTTTTATTATTCATTAAAGAAACAATCGTTTATGATTTTTGTTTATAGTAACTTATAACCTCGCCATCTGCCAGGTGTGTTTTTTGTTGAACTTTATTTTGAGCTCCAGTGAAAGTCGTCTAAATTAAGGCTACCAGTTTGGAAAACAAATTTAATATTCAATGTAATATTGGAGGCAAGTGAAAACAAACAAACTACGTGTATGTAGTCAATCAGACAAGGAAGACAATATGTCTGTAAAGGACTTACCTCCCCTGAACCAATAGAATTACCCGGCACGAAAAGTTCGGGATAAATGTTGTCGAGATACCATGTAAAGTTTTTACATTGCAGTTTTTCTCTTAGTGCCTTTCTTTCACTGACATCTCCGAAGTCCCCCTGGCAAATGTACGAGTATAACGAATATATTATGTGTTTGTCTGAATGAGATCGAAATATACATTTATATTTCACACAGAACCTTATGAGTGAAAATACAATAGGTAATGCTCACTTGTGAAATATTCTGAAATAAACAAAAGTTCGATATTTTAATTGTGTTTCATGAATTATTTTTTTTTTTGCGATGTGCAGCCATGTGTTCTCTTTCATGACGCCAGGAATATGACGCAAGAAAATAAATTATGTAAAGCTGATTAGTTTTTGTTACAATTTTACACGACGTATAAGCAAATGATCATGATAAATATGCTTCTAATAATCAAGTACACTTGAACTTACAATGAAATGTATTCTACAGCATTTTGCCATTTATTTATGCTATTTAGTTATGAGCACCAGGCAGCCGCATTCAAATATAAGATATGAAATAGCATCTTATAACATTAGAAAAAAATCACCCATAGTGTCGATATTTCATGTAATAAAATCATGTTCTTAGTTTGACAGGCAAATTCTGATCATTCAAGGTAATGTTCAAACAGATAATGTTATTTCTTTTTCCTATTTTTCTAACGTCCCCCAATAAAACACTTATTCAAACATTCAGATCATACCAAATTATGATTTATCCTCATATAGTAGTATTCTTTATAATCATCCAACCAAACTTCCGCCAAGCGCACGAGGTTTCTTTGAAGGGCATTGCGCACTCCCCATTTGTAAGGACTTCTTTTTCTGAACACGTGACCGACATGAGAGCAAGGGATTGTCTCAAGAGTTCCACCACACATCCACGTTTTAAACGAAAGCTCGAGATTTTCCCCGCCCCAGATATCCATACCACTGTCGTAGGTGCCAAGTTTCCGGAAGTATTCGCTGGAAATTGCAAACAATCCGCCGGCCATTGTGGGAGATCTATTACAAAAAATTGTCATTTAAATAATTCGATAATACCATGTGGCATAATAGTTTAATTGATTGAAGGAATATGAATTTTATAAAATATTTAAAACACGATTATAGTAAAGCAGGTAAGTTAATAATAATTTCCTAATTTTCCATTTTTTATCTATTATGTTATTATTATTATTTCATATCAAATACAATAGCTTATCTTTAAAAAAAACGTCTAAATTCAGTGAAATATCATTCAACCATAACTAATTAAGAAAATTAGCGGAATGTTCATTTTAATTTTAAAATTCCTATTTTCTGGAATAAATTGGTTATGTTAAAGCTGTCAGCATGCAAATGGCGTCTTACCTTACGGGGAGATAAGCTTTACTATCAATACGTTTTAATTCCTTTTCGGGTATTGGATGCCAGTTAAATAAGAGGCCCCAATCAAAGCCTCCGACATATACAGATCTGATTCCCCCACCGCTCACACCATTGTATTTAAATGTACTATCATCGATTACATCTATGACGGGAACCAGCACATTAGTATAATTTTCCTTTATCCTGTATAACAAAGGAGGGAGCCAGCCTATATAGGACAATATAAAAAGGAACAAAACCAATTAAACAATACATTGATAATAACCATCACTTTAGCTGTCATTTCATTTTGAACCCAGTCGAATTGAAGTAGATAATGTCCGTTTATATTGAACAGATAATGGAGAATATATTTTGCAAACTCAAAACATTATTATATTGAATTGGAGGAAGAAGCAAAACAGATCTGAGCACCAGATAATATAGAAATGTTTACTAAGCCTAGATAAAATGGGTAAAGCAGCAAGTGCAAACTACACGTATCAAGGAACCTACAAGATCTAAGCCCCATAACCATGGAATAATATACACAAAATGATGCTGTTGTATAGCTTTCATACTGTTAAAATCCGTGTTTAAAGGCACATTATGTCTTAGAAACGAATAAATATTTTATTATCTAGAAAGAGAAAACATGGGTTTTATAAAATAATTATCTATAAGATGTTTATCCGTCTGAATTAATAGTACTGAAAGTGAAATTATTTGTCATAAAAGTGGCGAAATGTAAACAAAGTAGTATTTTGCCTTCCAAACAACATACTTCATCACTATAATTGTACAAGAGGCGACGGATAGAAAAGATGGTTCAGGTAACTTGCCGATGAATATCATTTTGGAAACTGGAATTGAACACCAAAAATAAAAAGCCTTTGAGAAATATATTAATAAAAGCGTTTCTGAGGCATAATGCGCCTTTAAGATAACCCTCGTAAGCAACAGCATCGGCAAATTTCATTTGTCTTGAACATGTATCACCATTTTTCGGGTATCACCCTTTTTACATACATGAACTTCGTGATAAGTTTAATATTGTTTAGTATGTTCCTTAATTAACTATGCACTAGAAGTCAAACATTTTAAGAAAGAAAAAGGAAAATATGAATAGGAATAATACAGTATACGAGTACATGTATATTGATATACAGAAATTTAGTAGCCCTATTTGTACAAATTTAGGATAAGCAAAATTATTGTTCCCAACGGGGGCCCACACAGTGTTTGGATGGTATATACTGCTTGATGTTGACCTTAAAATGAGATTTTAGTCATAACCTTATAATATGTATATAAATATAGACTATATTTATATACATAATTATTATAAGGTTATGACTAAAATCTCATTTTAAGGTCAACATCAAGCAGTATATACCATCCAAACACTGTGTGGCCCCCTGTGATTGTTCCGGTTACAGTGCAGGTTTTCGGATGTAAACATATCCGCCATTTTGTTATTTTACCTGATAGGTGAAGTTCGTATGCTTTCAAGCCTCTGTTTTTCACGTTCAGGTATAGAATGCCAAGTGAATGTCAGGGTCCATTTAAACCCACCGACGTAGATATTTGGAGGCTCAAGCGGTGAACCGGGAGAATACTGGTACTTAAAAGTACTGGCATTGATGGTGTCAATGACGGGAACCAGAACGTTAGTCTCATTCTGCTGAATTCTAAATAGCAAAGGTTCTAGCCAGCCTAGAAAGCAAGAAACTAAGTATCTACACTAAAAGTCTGTTCGAAATGACCCATTTCAATAAAAAAAATAAAAAACAAATCATATGTTAGATTTAAAAAGAGGAAGATATAGAAACATTTATAGAGATGAAAGACTGTGCGAAATGGGTTTCGACAAACTGTTATTTTAGAGTAACTCTATCTCTCATTAATGACTTCATTTCCTATTCTTTAAGAGATTGATCTTCTGAAAGCTGAACTTTTAAGTGAACCCTTGACATTTCTCTTGAAAATGACTTCTGGGATTGTCATTTTCAAAGCTTAAAAAACAAAGCGGAAGATGTCATAAATTATTTATAAAAAATAATTATTTATTAAATTCTAAGAATAGAATTGTTATAAGAAAGAGAAAAAGCTTATAAACTGTGTATTAACATGACATCAAAGAAAAAAAAACAATAGGAATTAATCTTCCTCAAGTGTGGTATAAGAGTGTAGGACCCCTGAAAACTGGCTTAGAAAGTTGATATCCAAATCTCAAAATAATTGAATCCACGCATGTTTCTGTAAATCATGTAAGTAAATGTTACCTAATTTTAGTATTATTCACTATAAAATTGTTATTTTAAGATATATATAGGTCTTCGTTATTTACACGAGAAATATTTTTAAATATGAACAATTAGGCTTGTGCAGCTATAGGTAGTTGTGTCTTGACAAAGGTTAAGGTGTAGGACATTATTAGGCATACAGGAACAAATAAGAATCATTTATGAATTTAAAAGAAGACTTATATTCAAGCAAAATGCACCATTTCGGCAATTTCCGTCATTTCGGAACAAAATGAATAAATGGCGATTTTTGCACACGTGCTATCGTTCTTCTGATTACTCTGAATATGTCCCAGAGTTTTTCTAACTGCCAGTGTGTTTCTTGTGCTAAGTAACGGCACGTTTTAGCGTTTTTTTACAATTCAATAAGGATGTAAATCTTGCTATAGTGTACATGTATTTAATAAAAAAGTAATGAGGTCGATCACCGGCTTGAATCTTAAGGTGACCCACATCTGTTACCAAAGACATTCTTCGTTGTCATAGAATTGTCTACGTCTCTATTGCAAAAATTGATACCTTTAAGAAATTTATTAAATTTGACAGTTATCAGAAGAACTCCTGACAAGTTATCATAAGAACTCCATCTTCCGTGTAACAGTTCCTCCCCCGTGGATTAGTTACACAGACATAATGATGAAAAAGTTCTTGAAAACTAATCTAAACTAGAGGCACACATATACATGTATATGTATACATGTATACTTTAAGTACTAGCGCTATATAAAAATAAGAATGGAAAAAAATAATTACATAAAACAAATAGAGATTAAATGCCAAAAAGGATATTCAGAACTGAATTACATGTATATTTACAATATTTTAACGTGATTTATTATTGTACTTTTATAGTCCAAATATGACGAAGTACAGGATTAAGGCATTTAAAGCGTCTTGCAGAACATCATAAAGGGAAACAACTTCAATTAATAGTCATATTAATCTATACGAGTTATCCTTCCTGTTTAGTTAGGGTAATAGTGTATATTATATTCTATCAAGTATGCAAGTCTTACCCTCGGTTACTTCACAGTGGGAGTCTAAAAACACGGAAACTTGTGCGGTGCAGTGTTCAAAACCCATAATACGCGCTCGAATAAGCCCAGACCGTTCAGTTGCTCTGACCAATGAAAGTTTATCAATCTTGTCAACATACTCCTGCAGGGGTTCTTTCAAGTGATCTAGGAAAATAAGGAATATTTTCTGCCATTAAATATTGGTATAAATCACGAAGAGTGCACATGATTTAAAAACACACCAAGATATGGTATTTCCCAACACCTAAAATAATTAGATATAAGTGACTATAATACTCAATGAAATGATAATGACAGGTCATTGATGAAACAAATAAAGACTTGCTAATATACATTAATTCCTGTTTTTGTTGGTTTTTTGTTGTTGTTTTTTTTTCAAATACTGGTATAACTTATCAACCCGTAAACATTATTTTCTTAATATACATCCAATGTTAACATATTACTCATTTATAAAATCAGAGACATAGATATCACTACATCTCTGGTAAATTACATATTTTACTTACTGACATATACATGTGCTTTTCGTATCATTCAAGCGACAAATTCGATGTTTTGTGCAGTGAAAATATGACATTTGAATAAAATATTTGCAATAGTAATATGGCTTTGGAATAATATGCCATGGCAAAATATAATGGATTTAAAAATATGTATATACTTTGTCTTGAAGCTATTCCAAATAATAATAACTAAGCAATGTCATTAAACTTAACCCATTACTTCATATACACGCCTTTTAACGCCTTTTTCACCCCCCCCCCCTTTTTGGTGTCTCAAATGATGAAAAAATGCCTTATTTAGGCCCCAAACACTTGTTTTTGTTTGAGAAATGTTGTTAAAAAAGTGACCTCTTTTTCGGCGCGGCCCCCCAACCAAAAGATACATCAGGGGGTTGCCAGAAGGGGGATGTGCCCCCTTTAAGCAATGTCATTAAACTTAAATGTAATCTGGTAAAATTAAAAAAAAAAAACACACGTACCAAAATCTGAGAAATCGTCAACCAGAATAATTTGTTTCAGATTTTCTTCAGGTGACCTGTCAAAAATACTATGCACTGTGCGGAGTAATACACTCCAAGCTTCGTTGTGGAATATAACTATTACGCATGCGCTTGGCAAGTTCTTTCCGTAATCGAGCTTCTTACATCTGTAACGAACAATGCGTATATATTGAACTTTTTTTTAAATTCAAAACGAGAAATCCATCGATTTAGATCTTACAAATATAATGTACATAGAAATTTTAATATTTTGGTTAAAGGGAAACACATAAACGGGTACCATCATTGTTGTACTCCAAATAAAATAAAAACAAAATGGCGGACAGATATTTCATTACAGCAGGGTCTTTCAAATAGAATGGTCTGGGCATATTTTAAAGACCCTAATTACAGATTTACATGCACATGCTATTTAAGTAATTAAGGGCGCTAGTTCTTACATTAATATAACGCGTTTACAATTAAGTTCAAAATATACAATAACAAATGTTCCTATTAAAAATTTCAGTAATCGCAGTGCAATGCGCATAAAAAAATGCTGAAATCTAATTTAAAAACAAAGTTAAGTCGTAATACATTCTTTAACAAAAATTGTTTCTTCTTCAATATATTACGAAAATGTGTTCTTAAATTCTCATTTGCAATCTTAAATGGCAGTTATTCTGTTAGTGGTCTGTACTTTAGTAATAAATTCTTTTTACCTAACTACATGTATGCCATTTTCTTTCCTAATTTTAAACATTTACCCCTAATAACTTACTCTGGATCTCTAACATCAGGAAGACTTCTGTGAAGTGAAATCATGTCACTAGCGTATCGGTTGAAGGCGTTATCACCCCAACCTTTGTCGTAATCCTTCTTCTGTTCTTTGGTAAGTTTAGAAACGTCTATTTCAACACCTTGTCCATTTTCTCCTAAATAAAAATCAGAAAAGTTATGTAAAAGTAACCATTTTTATGTTTTAAATCCAAAGTTCATAGTGTGCAAATGAAGTCATTAAAGATGTTATTTACATTAATTATATTTCGTTTCCCTTTCGCTTCTCTTTCATGTCTGCTTCTTTGTCATAGCAAAATGTTCAAAAGTTAAAAACTTATCCTACAGTTTGCCCAAAACGACGAATTTTACAATTTTTCAGGATATGATTAAGCTGTACCATTATTAGTTTATATATAGAATATAGAAACAAATGTGTCCATAAAGTAGTGATCATAGAGCCCTCCGTATGGCACTAGCGTACCATTCCATGGGCTTCAAAGTATGATTCTAGACTTGACGGGCGAACCAAATGATGATTTTTTGAGAATTCAAGGGATATAAAGTCTATACATTTGTTTCTAGATTGTATATACATGTATAAACAAATAATGGTACACTTATACATATCATGTCTACAGCTGTTAAAAAAAGAAATCCATGAAGCCATGGTGATTCGTATCAAGAAAGTTTGATAAAAGAAATTGACAGCACCAAAATAACACAGACAAAAAAAATGTCGCGATGAACAATGTTCTGTAAAAGCTGTTTTAATCGTATCATATAATGCTAAGCTTTGTGCCCTGGCCAATTATCTATATTGAAAGGAAGAAATGCACTTAATGGGAAATATACCAAAATGCCCAAAAAGATAACGAAACAAACAGGACGTACGTACTATTGCAGTGTGTTATATTGCTTTGTAATATAACCTTGCTATGAAAACATCTTTATTAATTTCTTAATTTTCAACATGTCAAAATACTCTCTTCGGCCCTTATAATGATTTCACGTGGATCAAGAAAGAGATGGCATTTAGAGGTAAGTGATCTCAGTTCCCTGAGGTAGTATTTATCATATTCTGATTCTTCCTGGACAGATACCAGTATATGAGTAAATGTCGTACAGTAAAATTTTATGTATCTCAGATCGTGTCTAAGAGACGAATGAATTTATAAACAAAAGAAAACAATGGTATAAACGTACCTGGCCCATCCGGATGGGGCTGTTGATTTTTATCTTTTGGTGGCTCTATCTGAGCACGGCCATCTTTTTCTGCTTTTGCTTCTTCAAGGTTTGCATCTTTTGATCGACGATCTGTTGTTTTCTTTTTGCCTTCGTCTTCTTTCCCCTCATCTCCTTGTCCCTCGTCTTCAACACCATGTTCAGTTTTACTTTCCTCCTGTCTAACTCTCTTATTGTCTTCTATATGTTCATTTTGCTCTTCGTTGTTTTCGTTTTTACCGTCATTGCTTTCTTTATGATCAGCATCGATGGCACCATTCATACTTTGAGATTCATGAGCTGATTTGTCTTTTATATCTTTATTTTTATCAATATTTTCACTAATTTTACGGTCCTTTATAAAATCTCTTAAATCTTTTTTATCTTTATTATTAATTTGTAAATCACTTTTAGAATCATTCCCGTCGTCTATCACAGAATTAAATACAAAAATAACCAAAGAGAAGAAAATCGCGGCAGCTATAAGCCTAGCGAAAAGTCGCTTTAAATATCTCGACGGAATCATGTTTGATAAAATCCGATTGTTCGATTAAAGTCCTGAAATTGATATTTTTCTCATTAAGAAACAAATCTTTTCTTACCAAAGTTGAGGTGATTTTGTTTAAAATTCAAAACAGAATGATTCGTAATAAAATGGTCAACATAAACATGAACCCGTAAACAATTATAAAACGCGTTCCTTCATTCAATCAGTTATTTGCATGGCAAAATTCATCCTAATATTGTAAGCCCAGATAATTATCACTTTACATCATTGTATTCATATTATTAAAATCCGCTATCTTTCCAAAACTGTTCTTTAAAAACACGAGATGAAAAGTCACTTTCAGATCCTGTTTAAAAATAATTGTATCAATCATTTAATTTTATCTTATTAAACAAATCACATAATCAGTCTCATGGTGTACTCGTTTTAAACTTCCCCACTCGTTATTATTCGGAGGAGAAATTTTGTGCCACGTATATAATACTTTTTTAATTCCCTAAATGAAAACATAGAAAAAGAAGTTCATCTATCTATATAGTAAAAATGGTTTGATTAATCGTTTATCTTTTTGATTTAGTTTTTCTCGCAGTTCCTTAAAACAGATTATAAACATCATGTTAAAGACATGGTTGGCATTGATCTTCAGCGTATAAAATCATTATAATGCCCATCTGTTACATGGAATTTACGTGCACCAAACTTTTGTCAATGGGATTATAAAAACGTGGTACATGAAAAAATCGAAATGATGTAAATTGTCATCGGAAGGCAATATGGTCATAAATATATTGTAATACTGCAAGTTAAAAGGGCTACATAGTACAGGAACAGTAAAGGTAATTGTCGTAAATGATTGGTAGAACATATGGTGCTATTCAGAAAACTTTTTATTTTTTAGACATTTCCTTTTATGGTACCGTATTACGTAAATGTCGTCTGTTTATTAGCTTTAATTAGTTTATATCAATCAAACACATAAAAACTGTACCGAGTATTATTTGTCCCGTATGGTGACCGGAAGCGTCCATTTTAAAACAGCGAGGAATTTTACCGTCAGTTTAAAAAATGTCGCGGGAAACTTTTTAAACCGCGATATAATATGTCGAAATTGTTTAAAATGTCGCGGCTTTTAGAAACGACTGATTTTTTATGTCACACTTCTGTCGTTAAAAGTCTAGTTTAACGACGGAAACAGCAACATTTTCTGTCTACATATATATATAGTAGGTGCCTAGTCCACGCAATCATATGCCTACTTTAGGAAGCCGATTGCGTCCATAATAATCCGCGATATTTTGTTTTGGTGTATACCTTGTATAAAGTCGAGTTTGAGCATTAAGCATTGACTTTTATGATGGAAAATGTCTCTTGTAAAAAACATGCGCCTGAAAATTGCTATCACTCGCCGAGATATTTTATGAGACCGTTGTTTGGGAACAAAAAGTCGCCGCCTTTATTTTTCCCCTCGACCTTTTTTAGAATTTCTACAATACTTGCACAAATATGTCGCGGATTTCTTTCTGTCTCTCGATCTTTTATAGACAAACGAGGGATAAAATGTAATCTAACCATGCACACTAACGGCCACTGGAGTCAAAATGTTCCTTACTGTTTCCAACAATTGTTATAAAATATCGAGGTTTATAGTCCCCCGCGAAAACACTTGCAGAATTGTAAGTTGCCTGCGACACGATAAAGTTTCTCGCGGGTTTGAAATGGCCGCAACCAGCCACCATAGTCCCAAATCTGTCAAAACTTTGTTTACTTTGTTATCATAACTGGACGTAAACTTTTTCATCTTATGTATAATAACCTGTGGTAATAATTTTCGATATAACAATGAGATATTAGTCATATCACTTTGTTTAAAACTTAGTTTTCCCCGATAATGTACGACTGTAGTTATCCAAATAAATATTCGCTCAACACTATTTTCTCCTTATATTTTTCTTCTAATCGGAGAAAAAAAGTTTACCTTTCCTCCAGTGAAATATAGATTTCACTTTATATTAATCACTGTCCTACCTAAAGATATTTTATCAATTTGCTTTTGTTTAGTTATCTATGGTGCAAATAGTGAGTCAAATTTATCATCATTAAATCTGATATCTTTAGAATTATCTCTAAAAACAAATATAAATCCTTTATAAAGAACATACTTTATCTTCATTTTCTTCATTGTTTACATATCAGAAATCTAAAATTGACTTAAAAAATGATATTAAAAACTCTTTGTTTACATTTACACTCATTGATTTATAATTGGATGCAATAATCGAAAATGATATAGAAAGCACTTGACAAGCTGTTTCATTATTTTCTATATTTGTAATGCTTATATATTCTATATATAATTGTAATTCATATTAATCTATATTATATAGACAGTATAGAAAACTATACAGTGTGCCAAGTACCCGAGCTTCATCTGTGGATATAGCATGTGACCAAAGATTAATAATCATAAGAATAAGAAAAGGCTTAAATAAATTTATAATTTAGTAAAACTAAGTAAAATAATATCCCACCTGTTTTAACTCCCTATCTTTATCTCCATTTGCCTTAGAGCCCCATCATTTTAAAATCCTTATTCCATATATCATCTATGCATTAGCTTTTGCAAAAAGTAAGAACAATGTTTACAAAAGCTCCATACAATGTCATCACTTTTTTTTCGTTGGGTTAATTTCGTTACAAAACAAGCCATTGATATTTGTATTTATCGGTTTCCATTCTGACTAGAGTACATAAATAGATAACAAATCCCCGCTTATTGTACGTACCCTAGTAATTCTGATATTTTACTAAATCAGGGGTTATCTGGGCGTTCTTATCGGTGTAACTTGTACGGGTCTTTTTAATAAAAGTTTACAAGTCGGCACAAACATGTCTGATCCGTGCTTTATGCTCTGTGATAAATCAAAAGTAAATCTAATTTCACCTCTCATATCCTTTTAAAACTTGAACTTGTAACAGGAGCGACAAACATTGAATGAAAAACAAAAACATTTGTAACGTTTTACGCAAATATTTTTCTTAGTTTACGTATAAATATTAATGACATAGTTTAAGTTGACCTATAATGATATAAATATTTTCAGCCGTCGCTTAAAGACCCATTATGCTCCATAAATGATTTTTTTCTTAAAAGCTTCTTATATAAAATGTCATGTTATAGTTTCCTAAAAGTAACTCGCCAGCCAAATATCTTGATCATACTTTCTGGGAATAAATGTGACCAAGTCAATAAATGTAAGAAATTCAAATTTTATGTTTTAGGCTTTTGGACCTCAGTGGAGTTCCTTTAATGTAAATATATTTATGATTTTTTTTAATGTAGAAACGTAAGTGGTTCCGTTTCAATTACGTTTAATGATTTAGTTTCAGTGTACGCTTAAAGTTAAAATGTCATGTTTTTTAAGCTTTATGACCTTAGTGGAGTTCCTATCACATATTAGTGATTTTGTTTCAGTTTACCCTCAATGAGAAAATATTAGTTTCGTTTGACGTTAATGTGAATTTTTTGTGATTTAATGAATTTCAGTTCCGCACATTTTACTGTAAGTGATTGAATGTTAGTGGTCCCCTACCTAGGGCGTCCGTGGCCGAGTGGTTAAGGTCGTTTACTTCAAACCACTTGCCCCTCACCGCCGTTTGAATCCCGACAGGGACTTTGGATTCTTTCATGTGAGGAAGCTATTCAGCTAGCTTACGGAACGTTGATGGTTCTACTCAGGTGCCCGTTCGTGCCTGAAATAATACACGGAAGGGCACCAGAGGTCTTCCTCTACCAGTAAAGCTGGAACGACGCCATATGGCCTATAATGTGTCGGTGTGACGTAAAACCCAATTAAACAAACAAAATCCCCTAACTTTAGTTTAAGGGTAAAATTATTGTTAATTGTTAATCTTCAATTTACGAATACTGTATTAACTGATTCTAGCATACTTAAAATGTTAGAGATGTAATTTTAGTTCAAGTAAACGTCAAATATTAATGGTTAAAATTTAGTTAGGGCTCGATATAAAACGTCACAAGTCATGAAAACGTTTATTTTAAATTATGACAATATTGAATATTTGTAAGTGATATACATGTAATTTCAGTTTACGTATATTTTTATATTTAGTAATCTAGACCCATATTACGTCTTATCAAAACCTTTGTTGACACATTCTTGTCGAACTAACCTTTAATCGTTAGAACGTTTGCATGCCTTTAGAGTGTTGGTCCGTCACAACGGATTTGCAACCTTAATAATTACCACTCATTGCCTCAGTACAACGAGCAACGGTGATTTCTAACATGCACTAGACAAACGAGTATCGGCCTTCTTTGTGCTTCCTGGACAAGGACACCATAGGGATCCCTAGAAATCGCTGTAGAACCCCTGTAAACAGCCAAACACGTAGTATGGACATATTGTAGATGCCGCATAGTGTTATGTCTGTTGACTGCAAATTAGTAAGATATTTTTAAAATCACGCTCTTATGCAGCAATTAAAAGCATAATATTCATTTCTTTCAAACATGAAGTTGAAATGTCTCGGACAAAAGTTGTGATATGTCGATATCTAAGTGTGTTTAAAGGAAATACATGTATCTCTTTATTTGTGTTTGCGGCAGAAAGAAAATATTTAGTGATGTTCAATTTGAAGATATTTAGCGTTAGCATACCTTATTTACGAAGTTTACGGAGAAAGCCGAAAAGCTACGACTGGTAAGAAACCAATCAGCAATAGCTGTTCTCGTTTTTTTGTGTGAAACCTTTTTGCGTTTTTTAAAATTTAAATCGAACAGTAATTGCCGTAAGAAAATGCATTTTCATGTATTATTTTAACAGAGAGGGTATTAATAATGTGAGTTATCATTTTAAAAGTATGCATTTAACTTTTTGTTGCACAATGGTTAGTCTACATGTATTTACTGGGTGGAAGCAATGTTTTCTCCGTGACTCCCTTGTGCTTTTGGTGAATACATCCATGCAGGCACATTAAACCTCATAATTGAATGTTATTTTCATTCTGAATAAAGGGCAAACATGCGTTTTATAATGATATGATAATGAACATGTGAGTTTGCGTATTACCTCATGAAAATAACTCTGAATGTGAAACATTGTGTGATGATGGAGAAAGTGTTATTTTAACTTATATATAAATACTAAATAACTACATGTATATCTGGAGTATTAAATTGCCAAAACGCAATAGGTGATAGATGGTTTTTTCCCCTTCTTTGTCTATAGTGGCAAAATCACGTGAGTGTTAGAATAACAATATTAATAATAAACTCAAAATACTAGCACTTTTGGACAGAAGGGTGTCTTCCGTCAAATGATAAATAGGAAGTAAACGTTACGTCGTGCCAGTATGTTGTTGCTCTAACAACTATTTTCTAATTCGTTCGAAAAATAGCTCTCAATGTTTGTGGGTTTGAAAAAATGTATTTCTTGTGTTTTATTTGTTTTCATGTTGTTGTAATTTGTTGTTGTTGTTGTTTTTTTTTTGGGGGGGGGATGGGGAGGGGGGCTTTTTTGTTGTAATTACAAATGGCTTTATTTTCACTTTTTCAGTGACGGACTATATTGGGAGATAATACAGCACTTCAAGATTTTCGAGCAAGGGACATATGGAATTTCTGTACGTTCAAACAGCAATCATGCGATATGTTATAGAAACTTGATTGGCCAGAATTACATAAATTTCTGACGTAAACCTATAAAATACAAAATGTTTAGTACTAAGGATTTTCATGAATGGCGCCATAACATACAATATTTTGGCATTTACGAGTTGGGGAATTTGAAACGAATGCAGTGGTATAAAAATCGCATTTTGGAAAATAAAATGGACATAAAACACTTAAATAGAACCAATAGACGAGTTTTTTACTTCAGTTTTTACGGCACACACATAACAGAGTTGCTAAGTTCGGTATTACAGTTCTGTTTATAGTAACTGATATTTAGTCTAAGTACATTGTATTTTAAGGTATTACCATCCTAATGCATTACCTCCGCTTTGAAGAGTATTCAAATAGGCTTGAACTACTGTTAACTACATTGAAAATGAGGGCCGTGGGTTCAATCCCCACAAAGGTCAACTTTTTTTTTCCTTTCTTTTTTTCTTTTAACATTATGTATGTATCTCTCATGACCCATTTGGAAAGAAAAAAAGTGTTTAATTTTTTTTTTTTTTTTTAATTTATATAGGTATTTATTGGATAAATTATGCTAAATCTAGTAATAAATATGGTACCTGATATTTTCAAAGTGTAATAAAATCAAAACTAGACGGTAAATGTATTTTATATTTTACGAGATTAACCAATATACTTCTTTAAAAATTTAGGGAAACTTTGAAAACAGGCACTCATTTGGGTAAATTTTAAGAATTTTTTAAATTAGGCTCCCTAAGTAGGAAAATGGTCAGACACGTGTTAAAAATGGGTGGGGTAGGGTAACATTTTTATACAGTTTTCATAAATTTCAAGTAGAAACCATAATTTTGCTTATGTGTATTGTTAGCGGAATGGAACTATTTGTTTTTTACCAAAAAATAATGGGAAAATATTTTTTTATTAGAATGTTATTGCAGATTATTTAAAGGTTCCTCATTTCTAAAAAAAGCTAGGGCCCTCCTAACATCCTAGCTTGAGTTCAGAAAAGTGGCCATAACTTGATTTCCGTACGGTAAACTTTGTTTAAATTTTGCATACAGGTGTACTTTAAGGTATATCTGACCTATGATGTCAATTTTTTAGTTCCTTATAGTGTCCATTAGGGTGGTAATACCTTAAAATGTTGACTTACATTACACATATACTCGTATGTTTTTTGCTAGATGGTACATCATACTTGTATTACTACGTTCAATATGATTTTCTTAATTCAATGCAAGCAGTGATCTGAAATAAATCTAGGTCAAAAGTTTATCTAAGTATCAGCTCTATATTTCAACTCTACTAGTATATTAAAATAAAACCCCTATATATTTCAATTTCAAAATGTATTTATATGCTGGATTTTATTTTAGTTTATTTTGCTGTAAATTATAAATGCCTGTAGAAATGCCTTAGTGCCTGTAAATCATTGCATATATACTTTGAATACATTTATAATAGATGGCAACTTTATAATTTAGTTCTGTGAAACCTATTTAATTATTTCCCTTTACGAACAATTCAGTGTGTCAAACCAATAAAATATTAATCGAGCAGACACATAGGTCAGAGTTCATCGTACGATCCACGCGTGATATTTCTTGTCAAATCGCGTGAAATTTGTTAACAAAATTGCGTGATTTTAGTTAGTGTAAAGATACACGATAGTGAAGCTGCATAGTTATTTGGTCGTTGCATTTAAGGATTTAATTTTTGCAAATTAATTTGGTATGTTATTACCGAATTTTAACATTTTTCAATTATTTTAGTGTTTGTTTACATTCGTGACAGATGTGGGTGGGGTGATATTTTATTTTATCTAACCGAATGCCTGTTCGGTATTAGATAGTTTGAAGGAAAAATAGACTGTAAATTTGTTTTTACTTCTTGAATGTGAAGTGTATTTTCATTTAAATCATGACATTATACGTCAAAGTTTGTCTAGCTGAATTTTAGTCATTAGAAAATATTAACCGGTCTAGAAGTTCATATTTACGGACAGTCTGTAAATTTTTGGACGATCCATAATTTTACAGATTTTTGTATCTGTAAATAACAGACATGAAGTAAGAAAATAGTAGAAGTTACATTTAAATTCAAAACCGCAGGTTAAAATTAATAAGGTTATGTACTATATGATTAAGGTAAGATTCAGAACTATTTGATGACTTCCAATTTTCACTTCATTAATTTTAATATAGGCAAAATGAAAACTGTTCAATAGAATTTCTTTAAACTTTGCATGTTGTTAAAATATGATAACAGAAACATTTTAAGCAAAAAAAATTTAGGGTCACCGTTCTAGTTTTTGAGTTATCTGCCCCTGAATCAGAATTTTCTACTTATTTGAGGTCATTTCAAGGGCAGATAACTTATACATACTTAAATGAAATCTTGTTTTTACTTCTGGATTATGTTTTTCTTTTTATTGTTGAGGACAATACATAATAACATGCAATTTACTTTAAGTTCGTAAAAAAATCCGCCATTTTTTAATAAAAAATGCACAGGTTAAAAGAAGAAGTGAGAGAAAAAAACTATCCACTCTAAATTCCTTCTTGAAATTTTGCATATCGACTAAAACGTAGGTAAACTTCATGAAAATAAGAAAAAAAAGTGTATTGTTTCCCTTCATTTTAAATTATCTGCCCTTGAGTTTAACGAAAAAGTCCAATTCAAGGGCAGATAACTCGAAAATGAGAACGGTGACCCCAATTTTTTTTCCGTTTAAAATGTTTCTGTTATCATATTCTAACAACATGCCAAGTTTAAAGAAATTCTATTGAACAGTTTTAATTTTGCCTATATGTCTATATGAAAACTCCCGAAAACGTCCTTAACAAAAATTTCAAAAGATGAAACTCTCCGCATTAATACCTTTGTAAATTTAAACAATCAATAAAACAACTTGTTATCTCCCCATTAATACCTTTGTAAATTTAAACAATCAATAAAACAACTTGTCAAAAGCATACATGTGAACTTTTTCTGGTGCCAAGTAGGGAGATTTGACCCTAAAAGTAGGTAGATTGAGTCTGTTGGGAGGGAGATTTTTGGAAACCGGACTTTTTGCGTACAGGAAGGTCTTAACACACAATAATTAAAAGCATTAAGTACAAATTCTTTAAAAACATTTTATTTTGCATGATAACTAATTAACAACCCAATTTTATTATTAAAAAACTTTCTTTATAAAACATACATGTTTTTTTTCCACTGCACTTGTGTTTTGATGTTTATGTAATTTACTCAACTTTCACTTACACACTTTACACAATTAGAACTGTCTTTATATGTCATACATGTTTTTTGACTTCACTGTACACAAGTGTTGGCTAAATGGCATACACAGCCCATATCAGACACATCAGGTTGCTTCTCACGAATACGAGATAGGACAGAGTTGTGACGGCCAACCATGACACTAGCGTTGTCAGACCCATACCCAATGCATTGCTTCCATGGTATATTCTGATCCCTGAAACAGAAAAAAATATCAATTATCATACCTAATATATTATTCATCATTTCATAATTTAAAACAGTTTAAATTGATCCTTCCAATTAGATGTAAATCATAGCCTTACAGCTTATTACATTTTGTAGACACCTGTCGTGGATGCGTGTTAATCCCAATGACAATTAACAATTTTCATTCAAAATAACATAATTGGCATTAATTGACAGTGTATTTGTTTAACAATAAACGGTACTTACCAGATTTTAGTCTCCCTCGCGTGTGCCTAATTACTGTTATCAGCAATTATAAACCCCGATGTCAAGCTGTGAAAAACTGACAATATACAAACAAATTTGCCGATACCAAGGTCAAGGTAATTAGACTGTGTTACATTTTTAGTGAAATAGACAGACTGTGGATGGGTAAAACGAATCGATATCGGTAAACCAGTCAATAAATGTTTACACTGATTATGATTACCGAAACGCTTGTGTTGTAAAATTTTTATTGCTTTTGAAATGAAATATCGGTAGTTTGTAAACCCCGAGCGGTAGGGGGTCTTAGTTGGCCAAAATCGGTAGTCTACCGCCCAAATCGGTAGGGTTCACATGTATGCAAAAGCTGCGGATTTAAGTGTAAAACTAAAAAAGCAAATTTCATATTGAATATCTGTAAATTTATGGATTGAAAAATCTTTAAATTTCTAGACTATCCATAAACTTACGGACAGTCCATAAATATCATGAAATCCTAGACCTGATTAATGCAGTGTTTTATTTAAAGTAAATTCGTTTTTATATTAAAAGTTTATAAATGACAGGGTTCTCGGGGATGCTTATTTCGGTGTCCCGGTACGCATGTTTATTACAGCTGGACGCAAATATTATAGAGCAAGGATTCCGCGTACACTTAATTTTGCCTGGGGACGCATAAACTTTACTTATTGTTTACAACCACAAATACACAAATATGTCAGCGCGTGTCAGTCTGTAGTTAGGCGGTCCTATGCACATCGACCAGTGAAGCGATTTATAAGCCAATCAGCGATAACGCTTTCGATTATTATCATCAATAGAGATCAGACTAATGTATACTGTACACGCGCTGTACATATTTACCAGATATAACACAAGGTGAAAATCATCTTTGATCAACAGTTGATTGGAAATTAGCAAATTTTTCCGACAAAAGGATTAGCTATTGACTATTTATGTCGCAAGTTTAAAGACTGTTTTCTCAAGTTTACAAATGAGTGTAATTATGAATTATGTGGAATAATTTCAGCATTTCTATGCAAAATTTTGCTTTAGTTCTCATTCTTGCCAAAACGTTCTATAAGAGTATTAAGAATTAAGATATTGTGCCGAAATACCAGGACAACAAACCAAAATACACAATATGCTTTTCTTTGATATTTAGATTCTATCGAAAATTGATCCCGAACATCGGCTATTTCACATTCGCCAGAAACCCTAAAATTTCTCAAAGGGCACAAAAATTTGCAGTTTCCAAGCAAGACATGTTAATGAATTGTTAATTTGTTATTTAATCAACATTAAATCTTTAAATATCGATCTTCAACATGCCCCCTTTGAAGATATTTGCTAAAATAATGGTCGATCGGATGAATTTCTTACACACTGTGTGAAGCTGTACATGATTTTCCTATTCATTTCGCTATATACATTTACGTCTTTTTTTTTTTTACAAATATAAACTTTTTGTCTTTAGAGTGGACTTATAATTTAAGCAGAATAAAATTTGATTTGGTGTGAAAAAAACAATGATTTCCACGTGTTGATGCATTATAATTTTATTGTTCCATAATAAATATTAACAACAAAACAATAATTATACTATGTAGTTCAGAGTTTTTGAATAACTTTAAACTTTGAAGGTCTCTTGAAGATTCCAAATATCAGCAATGCTATTGTGAGCATTATATGACTAATCTGTAAACATATTAATTCGACGCACTTTTGGACTCCAACTTTTTCAGACTTGGGAGTCCATGGACTCCATGTTTTCAAGTCCTAGTGAGAACCCTGAATGAATGATATTTTTGATTCCACTACAATAATAAGAATATATTTCCTTAGAATTGTAGTTGTGGTTAGACCACTGACAGTTTCTCTTTTTCAGAGACACTTCAGTGTTTCCCACCTACCTAGAGTACTAGAGGTGTACGGCAATCCTCGCATGTATCAGTGCTTTACACTGGGCATGTAAAAGAACCAAGGAGTCTATTCAATAAGAGCCATGTCTACGTCCCTGCAAGGGGTTTGACATTAATGGAAGATAGATAGAGGACTAGAATAGCATAGAATACAATAACATAAAAAGATAGCTACCATTCCTTTATATCTATAAAATAAATTCATTTTTGTTTGAAAAGTTTATATAATATGGTTTAGCTAAAATTTTAAATATATTTGGATTTTTTCAGTATTATTTGGAGATAAAAAAAAACTTATCGTCAACAACTGTCTGATAGTTACTTATTACGTACCATTTGTAAATGCCAGTGTTGTAAATAATAGATAAGTTTGCTGTTAAGGGATACAGTACATGTTTCGTATATAGTTACTATACTTAATCATTCCCAATTAAAAAAGTAAATAAAGACATTCTTCAAATCCAAACCAAAAAATTTCCAATGCTACATATGTAAGCATTCTATATCATGCATGTACATCTGTAGTGTAGGAATTATTAATATCAAATGCGTTATTAAGTGTCATTCAAACATTGTTACATTGATCTAAATGATCTAATATGTGATTTAAATAACTAACTAACTAAATAAAACAAATATGTTGTTGTCTTAATTTTTTAAAAAATCCTGATTTTAGCATCACATTGCGAATTGCCAATTAAGGGACCAGTCCTTACCCAAAAGTCGCTGTATGCTAACTAATTATGTTTTTTTTCTAAAATATTTTAATGTCTGGAAAAACTGAAAGAATACATACATGAATTTTTTAACCCAAACATTCTTGAAAGTCAATGATTTAGAGCATGATGTAGTTAATGGCAAATCTTAAGTGGGGCGATACAGAAGAGGATAAATCATTATCAATTTAAAGACTGTATGTTTGATAAGATGTTTTATTAGAAGAATATGAGCTTCAATCGTTGTTGTTGTTTTTTTTTTCATTGGTATAATTGTTAGAAACATTTTTATACACTGTGTAATATTTTTTTGCAGCAATAAACCATGTCTGCTAAGGCAATATATGAGGCTAAAGGAAAGCAACTGTTAAATGATACACTAGAGGGTGCTTCAATAAAGAACAAGTTTGCTATTGTAAGGGAAGATGTGAATTGGGGGCAGCTAGTGGATGACAACCCATGGCTACTTACTGAGGTCTGTATCATTATTTACTGCATGAACTTATAAGATTTTCATTTGGTCGGATTTTATGTTGCATTAATCCCGTAGTAGATAGACGATTTTCAAGCTTTACTGGTGGAGGAAGACATTGGGTGCATTATTTCGGGGATTTATGGGCACCTGACATTCCATATGTGTAAGCCAGCTGGATAGCTTCCTCACATGAAAGAATCCAAAGTCCCTGGCAGGTTTTGATCATACAGTAATGAAGGGCAAGTGGTTTTAAGTCAACAACCTTAACCACTCTGCCACTAACTAAAAGATTTTGTAATGTTCTGTTAATTTTATTAAATTCTTAATTGAAAATAGACTGTTGTTGACTGGTTAAGTTATCGCTCTTCCCTTATGATATGCCTTTTGTAATTCACTTGTTAATGTTGACGGCTGGAAATTTTGTCATATTTAGTGACATATTTGATCAAATTATTGTAACTCTTTCTACTAGAATGTGCAATGAACTACTTTGATACAGGTTTGACTGTATTTATGTTAGATCTATGTGCCTTTATATTGTAGAAAGGACAGACAGTTTGAAGTTGTACTGTAGTTTTGATTTTGTGTTTAATACTGATTTGTTGCTTTGAAAGTACAGTGTTTATGAAATTTTAGATTCCCTTGTTCAAACAAATAGCCTGCTTTTATAGTAAAAATAAAAATTGCAGATAACTGATTTATTATTTTATTAAATGTTTTAACTGTAAAACAAACACAAATAAAAAGTTTATCAAGATATAAAATAATCTTGTACATTATTTACTTTCTATATATATCTAAATTCAATACCTATAATAAATATAAAAAAAACTATCCATTAAAGATTAAATAAATGCAAACTTCCGCACAGTCTGATCAGGATCCATGCTGTTCGCTATCAGTTTCTCGACTTGTAAAAGGGTTAGTAAGCGAACAGCATGGATCCTGATCAGACTGCGCGGATGCGCAGGCTGGTCTGGATCCATGCTGGTCGCAAACGCACTATGTTGGTTTTGTCGTGACACGGCTCAAATATAAAAAAACTCTTCCATTAAAGATTAAATAAATGCAAACTCGAGATTGAATATTACTTATGTTAAACTATTTTTCAGTTTAGTACATTATATAAACTTTGTCCAGCCACAGTGATTTTTCACCTTGCCTGTAAGAGCTTCCCAATTGAAATTTTCTTGAAAATCGTGTAGTTTCACCAAAAATCTGAACTTTATACACCACCTTTTTTTTGCTTCCCAAATTAGCAATTTTTAGCTCTAATTTTTCCCAAATTCAAGTGGCTAAGGTCTCTTCCCAATTAAGTGAGGAAATCCACTGCAGCCTGCATGGAATACCTCCTGAATATCTATTATGAAATACCTTTTAGTTAATTTATACAAAGTACAAAATTATTTTTTTATGCAAAGCATCAAATTGAAATATAATGGTTAACAATAAAAATGAAGTATTATAAAACCTTAAAAGAATTTTAGTTGTTTTGTGACAAAAGAAAATACTATAATTTCTCTGAGACCACAGATGGGTTGGATTGAATTTGTGACCTCGTCCTAAAGGAATAAATGTTTTTTTTAAAAGAAGATATGAGCTGCGTCATAACAAAACTAACATAATGGGTTTGCGACCAGCATGGATCCAGACCAGCCTGCGCATCCACGCAGTCTGATCAGGATCCATGCTTTTTCGCTATCAGTTTCTCTACTTGCTATAGGGTTTGTAAGCGAAAGCATGGATCCTGATTAGACTGCGCGGATGCGCAGGCTGGTCTGGATCCATGCTGGTCGCAAACCCATTATGTTGATTTTGTCGTGACGCGGCTCATATTTTAATCTGAATACATAACCATATCACACTTTAAACCAAACAGCAGCTAGGGATAGAAATTCCACCAACAAGGAAAAAGAATGCAGTTGAGGAAAAATGGGGGGACAAAAATGAGAGACCATTAATTTTATATGTTTAAACAAGTAATACATGGAAATGGGATAAGTTGTATTCTATTTGTAGGTAATAATATAATTTATATAAGACTTCCTTGTTAGATAGTAGTAAATATTTCTTTTCATTTTTTACATGGTGCCTTGCCAAAGATATCATGTTTCCATTGATATTACTGTAAATGATAGCATACCAGGTGTAATGTTTCTGTTCTATACATACAAGTTTTTTTTATTTGTTATTTCATGGGCTATTTACTGATAAAATTATATCATTCCTGCATGACTAAAATTATAGAATAAAGAGCTATTTTATGTTTTATATAATTTTTTGTTATCATACCTTAATATTAATAGATTACATTCTATTATTGTCTACATATCATTTTTTTGATATTATTGATAATAAAATTATTTGGTTTACAAGAATTAAAATTATCATTCATTTATGATGATTGACTTCTATATCTGTTTACACAAAACACAAGTACAAATAGTTATCTAACTGCCGTAAAGACTTAGCCAGACCTTCTGAACAGAGTTTTAACATAACTGGACTGTACATTTGGTGAAATCATTGGACCGAATTGGTATTCCTTGGACTGAACTGAAATTAGTAAAAATGTTCTAGACTGTCAGACTGGCTTGTTAATCAAGCAAAATATTACAAGCCGGTACTTGCCAGTGTCTGCGTACCAGATGTTTTAAATAAAATGAATAATTGACAACACTTTGATAATAAAATCTAAATTTCATTAGTTTTGTGAAAATCTTACATTGATAATCCTGTGTTTATACATGTATTTATCAAGAAAAAACGGAACTTTATTGTCAAACTGTGGCTAGTTGGGGACTTGTGTTGCAATACAAGCAGCTTGTTTAAGATAGTTTAAAGATAAAATTTTGAACTTCAAGTACCCAGTTGTTTAAGGTCATCTGAGTGCAGTTGCGGCTTTTATCTTTACTGAATGAGAGTTTCATGTTCATTAAATGGTTTTTAATTGATAAATGAGTGTTTATGTACAATGAGTGTATCAAAATTTTCCATAATTCTCCACCCACCTTTAAGAATGATGATACCTGAAGAACAAACAAACAAACAAAATAAATTATCTTCTTGAATGTCTGAAATGAACTTTGCTGGCGCATCCTTTTAAAATATTTAGTTTGGTAAGAGCTATATGCTGATTTGCTGAAATTTGTGAAACAAATGAACAGAAATTATATTTTAATGTTTATTGGACAGAAAATAAATGTATAAATACAATGTATTAATATAATGTTTACCAGACCAAATTCTATTTTACTATCCAGTTATATAGAGCACAGTGATTTTTTTACAAACTCATCAGTGTGGGTCCTAGGACTCGCTGGGCTATAAATCTATGAGTCCCAAAATTTAGCCGACTAATCCAAGTTACAAGGCTTAATATTGCGTTAGTGATATGAAAGGTATATTAACAATAGAATGAAGAAAAAATGAATTTGATTTCTACATTAATTACCATGCTTCTGATACTGAAATTATTCAAAACGGTCAAATAAATTTAATAAGTTTATTTCCATTAATTTAGTTTGAGATTAATCAAAACTTCATTTTCCTTAATATTTTTATGCTTATCTATAGTAAAGCACATTATTATTTCTTATCTGTAGAAGATTTGCAGACCTAGAATATGATTGACATAACTTGAACACAATTTGGTATTTACTACCAAATTCCTGTCAGACAGGACTCCCTACTCAGAAAAAGTATGCATCCAAAAGATGCACATTATTTGAAACTTTGCATCCACAGTAAATTCAATGAGTCCTGGACTCAGGATGCAGAGGTAAAAAAATCACTGAGAGCATTGTTCAATTTTCTTTTTAGCTCAACCTCATAAATAATCGTAATAAGAATTTCAAGTGGGATGACAGTGATTACATATTTTTTGATTATATTATCCAATAAAACAGAAATATTTTATCATTAATGTTAATGAGTGATGGTAGAATTAATTACCTCACTGGTAGAAAGCACGCACAGTTTATGTATTACCTAATATGACATGCGTGCCGGACTCACGTGGCATAGTGTATGTACTGCATGTGATTTGACAACTGTAGGATTATATTAACCGTGATTACTATATTCGAACCGTCGGCGTTTTTACATCATGTCACATGACTTTTGTATTAATATTAGTGTACAATTTTAATGAATGGGTGTTACAGTAATGAATGAATAGAGTTTTTAAGTCGTGGATGCATGAAATAATTACTTCAGTTACCACTGTTTGATTATTGTTGTCACATGACTAAGGAAAAACTTTGTCTGAAGTCTTCCCGAAAAAAATGTGTTCCTCATGTAAAATAAATTTTCATGTGATTTGATTATAATAACTGCTGAGTCAAGTTCAGTCAACAAGAATTTACATGTATAGCTATGTTATAAAAAATGATCATGTACTGAAAAAAACATATTCATAAAAATATACAAGTATGAAAACAACACCTTTGAATAAATGTTCTATTTGAACTATTTCCTGTATTGCGTAATACATGTACTTCCACACCAATGAATTAAAATTTCAGTGTGCTCATTTCTACAGACGACTTCTATTTAAATTATATTACTAACTTAAAAAATGAGTTAAAGCTAACTATGTTTGCCATATAAGTAATCATGAATACAAGTTCCTGGAGTTTGGAGGCAGACATCTTAACCACTAGGCCAATTGCTCTGTATTGAAAAGCTTAAATATAAAGCTGAAAGTTAAAGTTTAAGATAGTAAAAACAAATATTCAAAAAAGAAGGTCCTGTTTACATGTACATTGTATGCTGTATTTCTTGCATATCAAACAGGATTATCTACCGTTTACACCGGTGCTAGAAAACCCTGTCTTACACGCCCCCATGTAAGACAAGTCGCGTGCTTTAAATGACGTCATTGCCTTTTATGAATGAATTGCTTTCTTAGGATGACGTCACTTACCCGTTATGAATGCAGTTGTAAGTTCATACGCTAGTATAAGAAAAAAGTGCGTAATGAGAATATCAGTTTTCGTAATTTCTATTCTGAAAATAAATTACATGTAATATGCAAGAAAAAGAATCGAACACCGGCTGTCCGTACAGACGGGAATATCTAGCTCTCGGGTAACTGTTTAGCGGACACTCGGCAGAGCCTCGTTACCGCCGTAAACAGTTACCCTCGAGCTAGATATTCCGGTCTGTACCAGCAGCCAGTGTAAGATTCTTATACTATGGTACTGTCTTATGAGATGGAGGCCAGAAACTATTTTTTTTGCCCTATAAATTCAACATGTCTATGACATGCCTAATAATAAACTATTATTTATTGCCGCACAGCCACAAATATAATATTCTAATAAAATATAAACATTTTGTCTACGAAAATTTGAAATTTGAATATATTATAAATATACATGTATACCATAATACAAATTTCTAGAAATTTTACATAGAAAGGTTAGGAAATGTAATATCCAAGTTTATATAATTGTATTTATCAAAGTATATAAACAAAATCAATGTACCCTGTCCTACGATTACAAGTGCATGTGTTACTTTGGATCACTGTAGCATTTTTGGGAGCCTGTATTATGTCAGCTTTGACTTTTTATGCCCCCGCCATGTAATGGCCGGGGCATATAGTGTTACCCTGTTCCGTCCTTCCGTCATTCCGTCCTTCCGTCATTCCGTCCTTCCGTCATTCCGTCATTCTGTCATTCCGTCATCATCAGTTTCCGTTCATTATCTTAGTAACGGTTGCACACATTCAACTCAAATTTGACATATGGATATGTCGTGAGAAAATACAGGTCAAGTTCGAATTTGGTCATGGTTTGATGATTTTTGGCAGAGTTATGCCCCTTTTACTTTAAAATAATATGAAATTTTCAGTTTCCGTTCATTATCTCCCCAATGGTACAACACATTCAACTCAAACTTGACATATGGATATGTCATGAGAAAATACAGGTCAAGTTCGAATTTGGTCATGGTTCGATGATTTTTGGCAGAGTTATGCCCCTTTTACTTTGAAAATAATATGAAATTTTCAGTTTCCGTTCATTATCTCCCCAACAGTACAACACATTCAACTCAAATTTGACATATGGATATGTCGTGAGAAAATACAGGTCAAGTTCGAATTTGGTCATGGTTCAATGATTTTTGGCAGAGTTATGCCCCTTTCACTTTGAAAATAATATGAAATTTACAGTTTCTGTTCATTATCTACCCAACTACTCAAATTTGACATATGGATATGTCAAAGGAATGGGCAGGTCAAGTTTAAATTTGGTCATGGTTCGATGACTTTTTGGCAGAGTTATGTCCCTTTCACTTTGAAAATAATATAGATACATCTTAGGAATAAGCAGTTTAAGTTTGAATTTGGTTGTGGTTCAATGATTTTGGACAAACTTATCTTTCTTGAATGTTGTAAAAATTTTGAACTTTCAGTTTCAGCACTGAAATGTATGTAGCCATTATTTTGGCTACAAATATGAAATATGCTATTTTCAAAAGGTTTAGACTGAATAATTTCAGTGCCTTGAACATTGTATGAAAATGGTTTGTGTTAACATTGAAAAGTTTTAAGGGCTTTGAACTTAAAATGAAAAAAATTATTTGTGCAAACAAATTTGGAACTAAATATTATAACATCTGAAATTTTGGCTGCAAGCGGGGGCATCCGTGGCATGATGACACATTTCTAGTCTTAAAGGGAATTAGACTTATTTATATCCTATATTTATTTTATTTTTCAGAAATTAGTTGTTAAACCGGATCAGCTGATCAAGAGAAGAGGAAAACTTGGTTTAATCAAGGCCGGTACAGATCTTGACGGTGTTAAAGAATGGCTCAAACCCAAACTTGGAAAAGAATTTACAGTATGTTTATACAGTTTTAATCTTGAATATATACATGTAGCTCACGCTATACTTTGTTCTGTATTTTACACTGTAAAAAATTGCAGATAGGAGTTTCAGTTATTATAGAACCACATGTTAAAGTATTACATCAGATCTTATGTTTTAGTAAGGTATTTGGGAGTAGCTAACTAACTATATAGTGTCCCTGCATAGAAACATTGTATATAATAAAGTACTACTTTACTAGTAGCTTTCAGAAAGGATCCTACAATGTATATCCTGAAGAATCAGAAAATATTCTTCAAACTTTATCTTTGAGTGATTCAATAATCAAGTTATGTAACATCTTTTTATGTGTCTCTCTTCAAATTACATGGTTACTGTTTAGAAAATATTTCCTTTTTTATACATTATAAATCATATGTGTTAATATGTTTAAAAAAAAGCCCAGAGACACTATTCTTATAAAACCTTTAACTACAGCCAGATGTGGCCATAAGAATTGTGAACATAATGTTATTTGATTGTACCATTTCTGGAAATGTTTATAAGAATATCTCTCTCCAGATATTATTAGCTTAATTCCCTTTCAATGAGCATGTGATGTGTTTATATCAGGGAACACAGTGACTTGATTTTCTACACCATCTTCCTATTATAGGAAATACCTTGTCTGGTTAGGCAGATATTTCCTTCTAGTTTTATAACTTTTTATGTCTTGAAATATGGTGTTTCCCAGAACAATCAATTCTTTCAAATAGGCCCTATCAATCTAAGGTATTGATTAGTCTTTATAGAGTCTTGTTTCCTATAGAAAAACTGGTAACAAGCAAAGGTCACCAATTTTGGAGAAAATTTCATATTTCTCAGATTTTTTTCTGATACTGTGTAGGAGAAAGAAATTTTCTCTGCATGTGAAAATGGCAAAAGGTTTTTTAGTTACAAATATATATGTTTTGTACATAAATGTATGAGAAATTGAATCTACTGGTAGCTTAGTTGGGCACTTGTTAAAACTCTCTTTTTGTTTATCTTTTGAATTCAAAAGAATTTAAATAGGATGATAGGTATTTGAAGTTTTTTTTTGTTTTTGTTTTTTAGAAAATCAAAATTTAGCTGAATGCTTAATTATTTTATTACTTGTGATAGTAATAATATACATTATGTATGAAGGGGTATCTCAGGGCTCTTTCTCCTTCAGTAATTTAGCTGGACAGTCGTGAAAAGTGTAAGTATGAAATAATGATTTAAAAAAGCAAAAATAAGGTTTTTTTTAATCAAAATTGTATGTTTTAGTGAAACATTAGTTTGATGAATAAAAAGAAAACAACAAAAAAAAAACAACAGATTAAATATCAAAATGCCTGCATGTATATACATGTATACATATTTGCATGCTCTAAAAAGAAAAATATTTTCAAATGGTTTGATGCAAAAAAGAACTGTATTTATTGCCTCATATTAAATGAAGAATAAGATACGATAATGTTTTCAATTATCAGGCTCATTTCCGTAGAAACGCCCTTCAGTGGTCTGCAGTGGTCACTTTAAAACTTCGTCGTGTACAGTACATGATTACAGCCAATGTTAATGTTTATTTAGTACATCATATTATTATGGTCATTGTGCCTAATCAAATATTCATGTTGGACATTGTCATTTCTCGTGATGTGACAACATAATGTAAATAGAATGTAAAGTACACGATAGTAGTGCAATATGACATGCATGCAACCTTGACCGCTTCATTTATCACTGTTGTAAAGTTCAGTATTAAGCTAGGTGATAGATTTCATAGTAACTGTTACACTGATTTGTTTGCTTTTAAAAAAACAGGCTGAAATAGAGACATTTTGAATAGCTGACAAAAATGTTAGTAATTCCTAATACAGTCTATTTATTTTCCAAAAGTTATATTTACCCAACCAGCTCAATTTGTAGACATATAGTATATTGTAAAAATGGCTCAAGTGCACAGTGTAAGTATCATATGAAAAAGACGAATGTTGAGCACACGTTTCTTATCTTTTTTATAATTTTCAAGCATTGTTTAATTACATAGAAGCCCTTCACAGTAATTTATTATGTCAATTTATTGTATCGACATGACATATACATGTGATATGACTGACGGCAAAAGTAATACTGGATCAATACAAGTGTTAAAATGCTAATAATTGTCCTATAACAGAAACATTATCCACACAATATGTGTCTATAAATTGATAAATTAATTGTTATAGCTCCCCATGTTAGTGCTATATTTGCAAATTATGTAGATTTATTTGATGGTAAGATTTTTTACACAGCTTTTTGTACAGATAAAAAAAACATGGCATTTAATTTTTGCGGAAAAGACTGCTGAAATTTGGATGTGAATCATTGGTGTTCATTGTTTATAATCAAGATATTAATTAAGCTTAAATTTGGACCCCCCCATCCCATTATATAGGAAAAAAACACAAAAATCTATGTATTGGTCTTTGAATAAGTGGGATACGAACTCACAACTTTTGAATAAGGAGTATTATGATCTAATACCATACCTCTTACCATCTGAAACTTCATGACCGCTGAAACATTTTTGTTCCCAATTAGTGTTCAGTTTTTAAACAACTCCGTAACTACTGTCAATTTTGCTTAGGAGGCTTAGGAGGCTTCATGTCATGTAAGGTTGTATACATTGGCAACTTCATATTGTCAATTTTGCTAAGGAGGCTTGATTTAGACAGGTTCATTTTCAATAATACACCAGACTGTCTTAAGGATTTAGCTAAAACTGCTGATTTTACCAGATAAATGTCTATATAGCAAATCAATATAACAGAAGAGGTCTATAATTTGGTTGAGGCTGTACATTGATTTTCGTGGATACGGCTTGATTAGTGAGAAGACGTTTATTTTCTATCTCTTTGCACAATTCATGTTCAAAGAAATCTGAAGTGACTTCGTTTTCCCATTAATTTACTACAGTTAGAAACAAAATCAGACTAGTGTCGGAAATGTTGAATTATGGGAAATCAATTAAAAAGAAAATCAGAAAATTAGTTTTCTCTGGTTATCAGTTTCCTTTAAACATGATTGGTAAAATTGATCATTTGATAATTAATTATTTAGGATCTTTAATGCCCAATTAAGCTTTTAAAGTCTGCCTTTTTATACTGGTAGTTTCAATATAAAGAAAACAATTAACAGCTACAGGACTTGTAATGGCCTTGATGGCCCACTTTCTATATGACCTTATACTGTTTCTGGTGAAATTTTAAATCAAATGTTTATATTCTAGTGTTCCAAAAGCACAAGTATAATTATTAAGTTTACCTATCAGGAAGTTAGTTCCCATATTTTATCACCTTAGTGCAGTAACTGGTTAACTCCTTAATATATAATTTAATACTGACAGCAAACTTGAATGAAATAAAATGTATGCATTTTTTTATGAGATTAGATAAGAGAAAATTAAAATATACCTGACTAAATTTGTGTAATGTACAAGTTGATAGTAAACAGGCCCCCACTCCCATTTAAGTATGCGAGGTAGCTGGGAAATTGGCTGAATTTTATCATTCTGTGTGTTTCTAAATTGCTGGGTCAATGAAGATTTTTTGTGTGTTCTTTTTCTTTTGCAAGAAAAAAACATGAAATATTTTCAGATATTAAGTGTGGAGTTCTTGAGTTTCAATTAACCAGTAGATAATTGAATTGACCATGCTTTAAATCTGGATTGGTCCACTTTATATTTAAAATATATTTAAACTGACTAGCCATTATTATGCCCCCATTTCGAAGAAAAGGGGGTATATTGCTTTGCACTTGTCGGTCCGTTGGTCCGTGGGTCCGTAGACCAAATGGTTTCCGAGTGATAACTAAAGAACCCTGAGGCCTAGGAACTTCAAACTTGGTATGGTGATTGGTCATGACCAGTAGATGACCCCTATTGATTTTGGGGTCAAGGGGTCAAAGGTCAAGGTCACATTGACCTTGTAAGCAAAAACGGTTTCCGATCAATAACTAAAGAACCTTAAGGCCTAGGAACTTCAAACTTGATATGGTGATTGGTCATGATCAGTAGATGATCCCTATTGATTTTGGGGTCAAGGGGTCAAAGGTCAAGGTCACATTGACCTTGTAAGCAAAAACGGTTTCCGATCAATAACTAAAGAACTTTGAGGCCTAGGAACTTCAAACTTGGTATGGTGATTGGTCATGATCAGTAGATGACCCCTATTGATTTTGGGGTTAAGGGGTCAAAGGTCAAGGTCACATTGACCTTGTAGGTAAAAACGATTTCCGATCAATAACGAAAGAACCCTTAGGCCTAGGAACTTCAAACTTGGTATGGTGATTGGTCATGACCAGCAAATGACCCCTATTGATTTTGGGGTTAAGGGGTCAAAGGTCAAGGTCACATTGACTTTGTAGGTAAAAACAGTTTCTGATCAATAACGAAAGAACCCTTAGGCCTAGGGACTTCAAACTTGATATGGTGATTGGTCATGATCAGTAGATGACCCCTATTGATTTGGGGTCAAGGGGTCAAAGGTCACATTGACCTCTTAGGTAAAAACGGTTTCCGATCAATAACTAAAGAACCCTTAGGCCTAGGAACTTCAAACTTGGTATGATTATTGGTCATGACCAGTAGATGACCCCTTTTGATATTGGGGTTAAGGGGTCAAAGGGCAAGGTCACATTGACCTTGTAGGTAAAAATGCTTTCAAATCAATAACTTAAGAACCCTTTGGCCTAGGAACTTCAAACATGGTATGGTGATTGGTCATGACCAGCAGATGACCTATTGATTTTGGGGTCAAGGGGTCAAAGGTCAAGGTCACATTGACCTTGTATGTTAAAACGGTTTCCGATCAATTAACTAAAAACGCTTAGGCCTAGGAACTTCAAACTTTGTATGATGATTGGTCGTGACCAGCAGATGTCCCCTATTGAGTTTTGGGTCAAGGGGTCAAAGGTTAAGGTCATGACCAGTAGATACTTGATAACCCTTATTAATTGTTTGATCACTGGGTCAGAAGTCATAATAACCTTATCACATGACTAATTGGCTGCTGATAGGGGGCATACATGTTTTACAAACATATCTTGTTATTATAAAGTCTTGTTAGATATAGCTTATGTTCAGCCGGGTTTGTCTTTATATACTTGTGACATAGATTTGTTATTGGATTATTGGCTCTGCAAATTGCCACCAGTATTTTGACATGTTATCTTATAGCACAGGGCCAGCAAATTCTGATTTTGACTTACTTGTCAATTTTTACCGGAAGTATTTCTTAACTTGTCCTTGTGATATTATGCAGTAAATTCTTGAAAACTTGGCGTACAGGCTGTGGGACAACAATGGGTAATACAAACAATTGATTTAGGCGCTCCTGTTTAATGGTATATACTAAAGTTTTTATCTAGAAGCTGGACTGCCATTTATGGTGACTATATGTTTAGTTTCTTGAAGACCTTGTCGTGATATATGTTTGATTTATATTTCAGATTGGAAGAGCCGTTGGAAGACTCAAGAATTTTATCATTGAGCCATTTATTGCCCATGAACAGGTAAGTGTGTGATAAAAAGAACATCTTGTTGAGGACTTTTGCCTGTAGACTACATTGTATGTCCACTTCATGTTAGTTGTAAGTCCCCTATATTTTTAACAGGAGGAGGTTTAAGGTTTATTTCTCTTGTCCTATGAGGCTCTTGAGTTTTTCTTTACTAATAAAATTAACCAGATGTGAAATGAGCAGTGTTTGTATGAAGTTTTTTCTCACCCTTGTGTCGCTTCATATCTTAAATGGACTTGTCCATCTTTCAGTAGATAATTTTTAAGGAAAAATTTCAAAATATGTACTGACTGAATAGAGAACAGTTCAGACCATGATCATACAGAACAATGTGTCGGCTGATCTTTGTCTGCACTGGTCACATGGTTAGAATCTGTTGCTGGCAGCAGACAAAGTGCTAAATGGATGAGTTCCATTACATTTTGAGAAATATAAATAGCTCTTTTAAAACTGAATAATTAGCTTTCATCATAACAATTCTTAATTTGTTATAAAAATTGCAAACTATATTTGTTTTCAGAAAGAAGAGTTTTATGTATGTATATATTCCCATCGTTTTGGTGACACAATACTCTTCCATCATGAAGGTGGGGTCGATATTGGGGACGTGGATGCCAAGGCGGTCAAGATGGAGGTAAAAGTGGGTGAGGAGTTAAACGTGGCCGACTTAGAATCTAAACTTCTTGCCAACGCCCCAGCAGAAGCAAAACAGTAAGTTATTATTAAAGACCACAGAGTTATATTTGAATATTATAATCAGGCTGCTGAAACCACTTAAATTTACCCAAGTAACAATACACATTGAAGATCAGTCGTTCATTGCCATTTAAACATGGTCATGCACTGTTTGCTTATATGGCATTTTTTTTTAGCTCACCTGTCACAAAGTGACAGGGTGAGCTTTTGTGATCGCTTTTCGTCCGGCGTCGGTTCCGTTCGTTCGGTCCGTCGTCCGTCCCGTCGTTTCCGTCCGTAAACTTTTGCTTTAAATGACATCTCCTCATAAACCACTGAGCAATTTCATCCAAACTTTCACAGGAATGTTCCTTTGGTGGTCTCACCTTTAAAAATTGTTTTCAAAAATTTAATTCCATGCAGAACTCTGGTTTGCCATGGCAACCGAAAGAAAAATCTTTAAATATCTTCTTTTAAAAAACCCTAAGTGCTAGAGCTTAGATATTTGGCATATGAAACATCTTCTAATGAGTGTCTACCAAGTTTGTTCAAATAAAAGCCCTGGGTTTCAAAATCGGCTTCCGCCCCAGGGGGTCATTTGATTTTCCCTATATGCATATAGTAAAAACTTAAAAAATCTTCTTTTTTAAAGAACCCAAAGAGCTAGAGCTAAGATATTTGGCATTGAAACATCTTCTAGTGAGTGTCTACCAAGTTTGTTTCAAATAAAAAGCCCTGGGGTCAAAATTGGCCCTGCCCCAGGGGTCATAGATTTTTCCCTATATGCATATAGTAAAAACTTAAAAAAATCTTCTTTTTTTAAGAACCCAAAGAGCTAGAGCTAAGATATTTGGCATGAAACATCTTCTAGTGAGTGTCTACCAAGTTTGTTCAAATAAAAAGCCCTGGGTCAAAATTGGCCCCGCCCCGGGGGTCATTTATTTTTCCTATATGCATATAGTAAAATCTTAAAAAATCTTCTTTTAAAGAACCCAAAGAGCTAGAGCTAAGATAAAATGCATGAAACATCTTCTAATGAGTGTCTACCAAGTTTGTTCAAATAAAAGCCCTGAGGTCAAAATTGGCCCTGCCCCAGGGGGTCATTAGAATTTTCCCTATATGCATATAGTAAAAACTTAAAAAATCTTTTTTTTAAAGAACCCATAAGAGCTAGAGCTAAGATATTTGGCATGAAACATCTTCTAGTGAATGTCTACCAAGTTTGTTCAAATAAAAGCCCTGGGGTCAAAATTGGTCCCGCCCCGGGGGGTCATTTATTTTTCCTATATGCATATAGTAAAAACTTAAAAAATCTTCTTTTAAAGAACGCGTAAGAGCTAGAGCTAAGATATTTGGCATGAAACATCTTCTAGTGAATGTCTACCAAGTTTGTTCAAATAAAAGCCCTGGGGTCAAAATTGGCCCCGCCCCGGGAGGTCATTGATTTTCCCTATATGCATATAGTAAAAACTTAAAAAAAATCTTCTTTTTAAGAACCCAAAGAGCTAGAGCTAAGATATTTAGCATGAAACATGTTCTAATGGGTGCTACCAAGTATGTTCAAATAAAAGCCCTGGGGTCAAAACTGGCCCCGCCCCGGGGGTCATTGATTTTCCTTATATGTGTATAGCAAAAACTTAAAAATCTTCTTTGAAAAAACCCAAATAGCTAGAGTTTAGATATTAAGCATGAAACATCTTTAAGTAAATATCTACAAAGTTTGTTCAAATAAAAGCCCGGGGGGTCAAAACTGGCCCTGCCCAGGGGTGTCATTGTTTTTAACTATATGTGTATAGTAAAAACTTAAATCTTCTTTTTAAAAAAACCCAATGAGCTAGAACTTAGATGTTTAGCATGAAACATCTTCTTATGGGTGTCTACCAAGTCTGTTCAAATAAACAAATAAAAGCCCTTGGGTAATATTGGCCCCGGGGGGGCTATATACAGGTGAGCGACCTCAGGGCCATCATGGCCCTCTTGTTTATTGGTTGAGTGTTTTTGGCACACCAACACAGATAAGGTCATTTGGTGACTTTCCAGCTTTACTGGTGGACAAAAACCTGAATAGAACCACCAATGTTTTTATAAGCTAGCTGGATAGCTTCCTCACATGAAAGAATCCAAAAACCTGATTGGGACTTGGACCCAGAGCAGTGAGGGGCAAGTGGATTCAGCAACTTTAACCACTCGACCAAGATGCCCCTTAAAGTATAGAAGTACATGTTCTTATTTTTTTTCCAAAAATAATGATGTCTGTTTTTGTCCAGATTAAAAGATGCACATGTCAATTTAAAATATTAAGCTTAGTAAGAGTTGAAACAGCAGGCTTTGAAATACTTCTTCAGCACTTAATTTTGTTTTGGCAAAACAAAATTTGTCACTGGACTGAATTAAGAAGTCAGGCAATTTAAAATTAAATCATGCAGTTGTGTTAACAACATATGATTTAACAGAAACTTTGAAAGTGTTGCATGTTAACCCATTACTTCATATACACGCCTTTTAACGCCTTTTTCACCCCCCCCCCCTTTTTTGTTGTCTCAAATGATGAAAAAATGCCTTATTTAGGCCCCCAACACTTGTTTTTGTTTGAGAAATGTTGTTAAAAAAAGTGACCTCTTTTTCGGCGCGGCCCCCCAACAAAAGGATACATGAGGGGGTTGCCAGAAGGGGGATGTGCCCCCTTCTGTTTGGGGGGTTTGAAGGGGGGCGGAGTCCCCCTCATCGCCAAGAAAATTTTGGACTTGTGAGAGGCTGTAAATGACCCCAGATTGATCATAAGGTAACGTGTAACCAACGCTGAAAAGCATTTGACTCTATCTCAATCCATTGAGAAGTTGCAGCACTTTGAAATCAATTTTGATGGAAAAAATCAACGCAAAATAGTGATTTTTGGCAATTTTGAGATGTCCCCTCGTTGCCATGGTAACAGAAAATTTAAGCCTGAGCATGTTTGTTGCAAGGGCAATGGTCCAGTCAACATTTGTGCCAAGTTTGATCAGTGTTGAAGCAGTTTTTATAGTATTATAGCAATTTGAACTTGTAACGGGAGACTTTTCAATGAAAAACAGCCCATTTTTCACAAAAATGCTCATGAAGTAATGGGTTAATGAAAAAAATAAAAAAATCTACAAAACAACAATTTTTCTTCAAATTTATATGACAGCCATGTTTAAACATGAAAAACACGATTAAGGTAATTTCAAGTATTTTCATCATTTTCTGTTAACCCATTACTTCATATTTACACGCCTTTTAACGCCTTTTTCACCCCCCCCCCCTTTTTGTTGTCTCAAATGATGAAAAAATGCCTTATTTAGGCCCCCAACACTTGTTTTTGTTTGAGAAATGTTGTTAAAAAAAGTGACCTCTTTTTCGGCGCGCGCCCCCCAACATAAAGATACATGAGGGGGTTGCCAGAAGGGGGATGTGCCCCCTTCTGTTTGGGGGGTTTGAAGGGGGGCGGAGTCCCCCTCATCGCCAAGAAAATTTTGGACTTGTGATGGGCTGTAAATGACCCCAGATTGATCATAAGGTAACGTGTAACCAACGCTGAAAAGCATTTGACTCTATCTCAATCCATTGAGAAGTTGCAGCACTTTGAAATCAATTTTGATGGAAAAAATCAACGCAAAATAGTGATTTTTGGCAATTTTGAGATGTCCCCTCGTTGCCATGGTAACAGAAAATTTAAGCCTGAGCATGTTGTTGCAAGGGCAATGGTCCAGTCAACATCTGTGCCAAGTTTGATTAGTGTTGAAGCAGTTTTTATAGTATTATAGCAATTTTAACTTGTAACGGGAGACTTTTCAATGAAAACAGCCATTTTTCACAAAATGCTCATGAAGTAATGGGTTAAAATGTGATGATTATGTTTATAATATTAACAACACCTTATTTAAAGTATATTTCTTGCTTTCAGAATATTGACTACTTTTATCACAAGCCTGTATAAAGTCTACAAGGATCTTTTTTTCACATACATGGAGATAAACCCACTAGGTGAGAACTGTATTTAGAATTTAGTGCATACAGAATTTATTTTAGTTCACTTGTAGGGAGCTATAAACTTTGCACTCTCGAATCTGTTCCATGCACCAGGAGTAAGCAGTGAATGTAAAGTTCCTTGTTCAGAGAAACAACGGCTTGTCCCTAACAGGGTTCGAACCTATGCAGCTAGAGATTCTAAGATTACTTGTCCGACATGTTATCCACTCCACCACATTGCCACTGTATTGTATTTGATTATCTATTATGGCTGTCTATTTAATCCATTTTTAGCTCGACTATTCGAAGAATATGAGAGCTATTGTAGTCGCCCCGGCGTCGGCGTCAGCGTCGGCGTCAGCGTCCGCGTCGGCGTCTGTGTTGGTTAAAGTTTTTTGTAAAGTCAAATATCTCAATTATTACTTGAGATATTCAATTGAAACTTACAATACTTATTTATAGTAACAAGGTACATCAGATTGACAAGTTGGATAACTCTGCCTACAATATTGACAGAATTATGCCCCTTTTTAACTTAGAAATTTTGGTTAAAGTTTTTTGTAAAGTCAAATATCTCAATTATTACTTGAGATATTCAATTGAAACTTACAATACTTATTTATAGTAACAAGGTACATCAGATTGACAAGTTGGATAACTCTGCCTACAATATTGACAGAATTATGCCCCTTTTTAACTTAGAAATTTTGGTTAAAGTTTTTTGTAAAGTCAAATATCTCAATTATTACTTGAGATATTCAATTGAAACTTACAATACTTATTTATAGTAACAAGGTACATCAGATTGACAAGTTGGATAACTCTGCCTACAATATTGACAGAATTATGCCCCTTTTTAACTTAGAAATTTTGGTTTAAGTTTTTTGTAAATTCAAATATCTCAATTATTGCTTGAGATATTCAATTGAAACTTACAATACTTTTATAGTAACAAGGTACATCAGATTGACAAGTTGGATAACTCTGCCTACAATATTGACAGAATTATGCCCCTTTTTAACTTAGAAATTTTGGTTTAAGTTTTTTGTAAATTCAAATATCTCAATTATTGCTCGAGATATTCAATTGAAACTTACAATACTTATTTATAGTAACAAGGTACATCATCAGATTGACAAGTTGGATAACTCTGCCTACAATATTGACAGAATTATGCCCCTTTGGAACTTAGAAATTTTGGTTAAAGTGTTTTTGTTAAGTCAAATATCTCAATTTATTGCTTGAGATATTCAATTGAAATTTAAAATACTTTTTTTATAGTAACAATGTACATCAGTTTGCAAAATTGCATAACTCTGCCTGCAATATTTGCAGAATTATTTGCCCCTTTGAAACTTAGAAATTTTGGTTTAAAGGTCTTCAAAGATATTTACTTGAAACTTTACACATGCACTTAGGGTCATAATTGGAGGCTGATTCATATCCCTTTTCTACTTAGTCTCTTGTTTAATGTTTACATGCAAGTTTTACATATCTCAATAACTATTAAAGATATTTATTTAAACTTCACATATGCATTTAGGGTCATAATTGTAGGTCACTGACAAAGATCCATAATTCTATCTTGCATTTAGGCTGATTTTTCTCCCCTTTTTCAACTTAGAAATTTATGGTAAAGTTTTGCTTGTAAGCTGTTATCTCAATAACTACTGAAGGGTTTGTGCCTTTTTTGGGACAATTTTATGCATTCATAATAATAAAGCAGTGATTTACTTGATAAAACATCTTAATAAAAAGCCTTTGTACCTTTTCTGTCAAATTTATGTATTCATAGGTAATTAGTATTATTATACTCAATAAAACACCCTTGTGACATTACCTTCCGAATAGTCAAGCCAATACTGTATAATTAGACTCTCTCTAAGGCCTATAACATGAATTTATAAAAAAAAATTAGCCCTTTTGTGAACTTAAAAAAATTAACATTATCAAGGCTCTTTTACTATCAAGCACATAGAATAGTCGAGCGTGCTGTCCTACAGACAGCTCTTGTATTATAAAAAGTTTTGTTTTTGAAGTATAAGATACTGTTCAGCTTGCCACAGAAGGTTATATTTCTACTTTATGTGCTTATTTCATATTCTGACCTTTCATTTGAATAACAATAGATTTAACCACCAACATTGACATGTGCCCTTTTGTGAACAAATATGTTTTGGTATAATTCTTATTGTATCCACTAATATGATCATTAGAATTAGACAGATCAGGGATCTATGCATAAAGACAGATTTAGAGAAATGATGATGTTTTATTATTGAAATAGACTATAAGAGAACGAATTTTAGATGCTTACAGTGACAGCTTGTGATTGCCTGGTATCGGACTATAGATTTTTATGTCATTGTTTGAACATATACAATGCAATGTTTAAAGACAGATGGTCAAATATGTCGACTCATCATCTGTAAATATGAAAACAGGATTATGTTTAGTGACCTGTTGTAAAAATGGAGTTGCCTTCAGACTTGTTCAATATATATTGTGTTTATTCCCATCTAATTTAAAAAAAAAAAAAATTGTTTACTGTTTAAAATATACTTAAGTCCCCTTGAGTGACAAACAATCTGCATTCTTCTTAGTTATTAATAAAAAATGAAATTCGCTAGCTTTTAATTTAATATTTTCTGTGAAGTACTGCTACTGTCAATTTTAAATTTAGTTGAAAAGAAATCCCCAAAAATCTAAAAAAAAATAACATTGTGATTGTATATTGCAAAAATACAATACTAGTTCTGTGTAGGCAGTAAAATATTTGCATGATTAGCCTTTGCCATCAGTATTGTGCTAGGTGTTTGCAATCAGACCAGGCTTTATACTGTTGATTGATAAACTTCAAAATTTTCATTGTGATATCCTCAAAACTCAGACTAAAAAGTTCTAAAAATAGAAACTATAGAAATACAGCATGTGCAGGGTTAAAACTTTATGTTTTTTTTCTCTTTTTATTTGTGTACAGTGGTGACAGGTGGCAATGTTTATGTGCTGGATCTGGCAGCTAAGATTGACCAATGTGCAGAATATCTTTGTAAAGCACAGTGGGGAGATATTGAGTTCCCTCCTCCATTTGGTAGAGATGCTCTCCCAGAGGTAAGAATGATCAGTGCGCGTTTTCAGGTAACATAGGAATATAGTATTTATTGTGGACGACATCGATCATGAAAGTTATGAAGGTGTCTTACTTGGAAATACATGCCCCTAACCTGTGAGGGTTAAAATTTTGATAGGCATTGTTTACTTTTTCATGTGAGGAAGTGATACTGATTTAGAAAATGAAGGTGGTGATATTAATTGAGCATTTGTTGGTTAAAGGCAACATTAAAGAGACATGGATTCTTGAAACAAACCATGAAGATGTTTTCTATAGACATTTGAGTTACTAAATTGCTCAAGTTTAAAGCATGCTCATTAATTCTGTTCTATGAACTTGTATGGATTTAAATCTGGAAGATTCTAATATTAGTTTTACGAAATTTGATAACAAAATACTTAAATAACATCTTTTACAGTCCATTATCATAAGTTTTATACATTTCAATCACTGGTATTGACTTTGCAAAGACAGTACTAATGAACAGGGCATCTTATTTACTCTCTTATTTACTAACTATTTTGAGTAACTATTCTTATGAAGCTACTGTCTTAAGCGAAAGGTGGAAATAAATGATGAACTATGTATTGTCATTGACCTTTTTATGTTTGTTTACTTTTATCTTGTTGCATAGGATTTATTATCACCTTTATTGGTTAATGTTTAGTTATATAAAAAAAATTAAACATATTTTTTTCCAGGAAGCATATATAGCAGAATTAGATGCGAAAAGTGGGGCGTCTCTAAAGTTAACAATTCTGAACAAAGCAGGAAGAATATGGACAATGGTGGCAGGAGGCGGAGCTTCAGTAATTTATGCGTAAGTATACGTTGTGTTGTGCCAATCAATGTATATGCTTCCTTTAGATGTTCTAAAAGTCATTTTCATTGTTTATTATATATTCATTGCTGTGAAGTAGTGTCAAGTTGAAACATGTTTATGATATAGATATTTTAAATTCTACTGGCGTTGTTTCTATCTCTGATTTTCATTTAAAATGTATATACTAATATTTGTGATAGGACATTTTCAAGACTGCATAGCTGAATGCAGTTAAGTACAGCAGGTGTTATAAACTCTCATCTGAACCAATGAGAAAGTGTTCAAGCGTAATTGATAGAAACTGTTGGGTTTTTATTTACGTGATATGAATTCAATAAGAGTATGTATTTTTTGTTCACAATTTTATAAAAGCTGTACACAAACTAGACTCTTCATGATTTTATCCTGTCCTCATTCCGTTTTCGTATAAATTTTTAGAGATACAATATGTGACCTGGACGGAGCCAATGAACTAGCAAACTATGGGGAATATTCAGGAGCTCCCAGTGAACAGCAGACATACGAATATGCTAAAACTTTACTGTCCCTGATGACCCAGGAGAAACACCCAAATGGTATTTTAATATTTTACAGCAATATCAACAAAAAAAGAGGAAAAAACAAAAAAATCAATATTTTGCAAGATTAATTATGATTCTGGGACAACAGGGTGAGTGATTGATCTGGAATTTGCACACAAGTCTACATACTACCCAAATGTGCCTTGAAACATATTCCTTGGAAAGTTGCTATACCTAACCTTTACAGTGCAGAAAAGACAATTTAGATAGATAGAGGATATTTAAGTTTTTTCTGTAGTTAACTTGAATTTTCTGTTTGTTATATACATTGTACCTTTTCTCTTTTTTGATCTTATGATTTGAAAGGTTTCCCTATTAATTTTGTGTATGGGCTAAATTTAGAAGAAAGTAGTCATGGAAGATACCTTAAAAGAAACAGAATATTTTGACTACAATCAAAAAATTAATTTTTACAGTAAAAATACAGAAAATGAAAATATGAATTAAATATATATTTCTTAATATTTAATTTATAAGTATATAAATAACATATAGTTTAAAATTTGAATATAAGATAAATTATTTTTCAGGGAAGATTTTGATTATTGGGGGAGGTATTGCAAACTTCACAAATGTTGCTGCAACATTTAAGGTAAGTTTTTATTGTTTTAAAGTGAATTTATATTGAGAAACGCATCTACAATATTTCTGTTATTGAAGCTATGTAGTTTAGAAACTATATTGAATGACTGTTTTGAATTAAAAATGAGAGCAGTTTTGAGTGATTATAACTTCATTGTGTGGAATACTTAATAAAGTAACTCTGTTAACTTAGCAATACAAAATGAAAGAAAAATGAAAATCTTGGCAGTATTGAATACTGTCAATTCACTTAATTTAGTTGGCATGAAATTTCATGGTTTTGTAAAAAGGGACATGTTGGTGGGGTTTTGTAATTCATGAATTATCTGGTTTTTTGCCCCCCAAAAAAGTAAAATCTTAAGAAAAAACAAAAAATTTGTTGTATCTGAAATTCGTGGATCAACCTTAACCATGAAAATTAGTGCCCCACCAATTATATATATTGATTTTGCAGTCAATTATCTCAAGACAACTTGTCTGTCATATTGCCTGATAATTGAAATAATGAAAAACTCTTGATTGTAAGTGTAACCTATTCATGCAGTTATTAGCTCGACAACAAAAAGAATAGTGAGAGCTATTGATACTCACTAAGGCACCGGTTTTGGTTTCGGCGTTACACTGTAGTAAAAATTTTGCATGCAAGTTGGTATCTCAAAAACAACTGAAACTTCACACACTTATTTAAGAGAGCACTAAAGGAGGGCACTGTTGAAGGTCCATAACTCTAACATGGATTTTGACAGAATTATTGGCCTTTTTGAACTTTCAAATTTCTGTATTATCCTGGCTCTTGTTTTACTATCAGGCTTTGAGAAATAGTCAAGCGAGTTGCCCTACAACTTTGTTTATGATACCTCATGGTTTTAAAGTACATGTACATTGTTGAATTAGTATATGGGTGCATTGTGTTATTCGTTATCTAACAAAGTGTAAGGAGAATAATCTAAATAATTGATGTACTCTTCAATTATTTCAGCCAGTAGTGACATGCTTAAGCTTTCAATATTGAGTGAGGCCAGCCACCAACACATTTATGTCACCCCCCACCCCCTCCCATTTCACATTGGCTAATGGACTGTTCCAAATTTAAAATAAGACAAGATCATTATAAACATTAACCCTTACCACCCATAATATCATAAATGGACTTGTCCATCTCACATTCTTGACAGATATTCATCATTTATAGGGAGGATTTAGCATAAAAAGGGTTAATTTGTGTGTTGTCAGGTTTGTTTTAGATAAAATCTCTGAACTTCATTAACTTATCCATCTTTCGTTCATCATCTTTAGGCATATTTTCAAAATAATTATTAGTATTGATTGAGTAGCAAACAGTGCAGACCATGATCAGACAACACAGATGTTGTGAATGATTGTGTTCTGCACAAGTCAAATGAGTTTTATAAGTGGCATCAGCAGGCATCAAGTTAAGCATTGTAAAAGTTGATGTGTTACAAAATGTTCCATCTTATATCAATTTTAAAAGCTTCCTTATATACACTCACAGTGAACAGGTTTGTATTTTCAGAAAGTTTGTAATACATATGGAGCTATTTCTGTTTTGGTAATATACAAATATCATTAAATTAAAATTAATGTACAATAAAGTTTTCTAGTTTCATGAGAAATATTTTCCTGAAAATTTTTCCAAGGTAAAAATAAGGACAGGAAATTGTTTTTAAAAAAGGTGTGTGTATAGATAACAAGGGGCGTGGCTTTGTTAGATGATAAAAAACTATGTTTCTGTGCTTTTGTTCAATGTTGTTTCCAGAAGAAAGCTATTAATTAAACTCTATGTGGATAATTTGTACAATATAAAAATCAGATTTCACAATGGTTCAGTTTACAAGTTTTGTAAGATAACATTTTAGACAAGCTGACCCTTCCTAGCTCTGACTAAAAGGTTAATTTTATTCATGGATAAAACACAAGTTTTTCTTTGTGTGACAATTATGTCCCAGTATGAAAATGATGGTTATGTTGGCTAGTTATAATTGTTCAAAATGTAAATATAGGCCTAGTACAATGTGTTTAAAAGTTGGCTAGGTACTATAATGCCAATACATTAATGTTGGCTGGATACAATTATACCAGTATGTTCAAATGAATTATGCCAATATCCAATGTGTAAATATAAGCAAGACAAAAGTTAATTTGTTGTTTTAAAGAACTGTTGTACGACAGAGCGGTAGTATGTAGGTGGCAGATGGATAATAGTGATAAAGAGCTTACAAAGAAATTAAACATTTTCCTTGATTCATTCACCCTGTTTTAGTATAAGATGTTTGTAATTTAAACACACATTTTAAAATTAGGGTTGATAATCACTTGTATTTAGTTGCCAGATACTAATGACCTGGTTGATTTGTCAGAATTACATTTTGTGTACAAATTTTTCTCACTTTTCTACTAATAACATACAAAATCAGAATTGAAAATTAACCCTATGTTAATTCTTTCTGTTTTGTAATATAATAACATCTTTTGTTTACATTTTGATACCATTGATATAAGGTCATTTAAGATTGTCATACATGTTGTAGTTCTATATTTTTAGGGTATTGTGAGAGCATTACGAGAATTCCAGCAGAAATTAATAGAAGGCAATGTTGTTATATATGTAAGAAGAGCGGGGCCTAACTACCAGGAAGGTCTTAGGATTATGAGAGAACTTGGTAAGTGATCTTTGCCTGTGATCTGAACCCATTTTTGTGTCGTCTGCTACAGAGCAGCGTTTTGGCCTATGAATGATTTTTGTGTCTTCTGCTACACAGTAGCTGCAACATGCAATTGGCTATCATGAGGTGATACATGTGATCACTGATGAATGTTTAATTTCAAGAGAGTGAAATTTGAGCTTTTAAAGAAGTGATGGCCTAGTGGTAAAGGTTTTGGCTTCTCAACTCATGGGTCATGGGTTTGAGTCCTGATTTGGTCACAGCCATGTTCCAGTAAGTGGACTAGAAAGAGGTTTAAATAAGTTAAAGTGTTCTTCATAATCCGACTAAAGTAAGTAATGTTTAAACTTCAGCTGTTGTTGTTTATGATGACCCCTTGTGCCCCCTTCCATGTATTATTTCAGGCCATGATTTTAAATAGAATAGAATCAATGACCTTCCAAAACTGAATAGTGCTGAAATGAAAAAACAAATCTTAGCTGTTTTGTTTTGCCTCAAAAACCAATAAACAAAACAACTGACAATGTCAAATTGATCCGCAAAAAAACAACAACACGTGAACAATTATGAATAGAAACACTTAAAACGGAATATAAACCATGAACAGAAAAATCAACAAATGAATCAACATGTAAACTTGTGACCTGGAAAACAAACATAAACTGAAAATATAATATTGAAAATACTTAATCATTTTTAAAAATCTCCATTTTTTCAGGTGACACACTAGGTGTACCTATTCATGTGTTTGGACCCGAGACCCACATGACAGCTATAGTCAGTATGGCGCTGGGCAAGAGAGATATACCCACTGATCCAAAACCCATGCCAACCACTGCCAACTTCCTTCTGCCAACAGCTACTGGAGGGGTATGTAACATATTGCTTTTGACAACTTGGTTTCTTTCTTTATGCCCCCGCCATGTAATGGCCGGGGCATATAGTGTTACCCTGTTCCGTCCTTCCGTCATTCCGTCCTTCCGTCATTCCGTCCTTCCGTCATTCCGTCCTTCCGTCATTCCGTCATTCTGTCATTCTGTCATTCCGTCATCATCAGTTTCCGTTCATTATCTTAGTAACGGTTGCACATATTCAACTCAAATTTGACATATGGATATGTCATGAAAAAATACAGGTCAAGTTCGAATTTGGTCATGGTTCGATGATTTTTGGCAGAGTTATGCCCCTTTTACTTTGAAAATAATATGAAATTTTCAGTTTCCGTTCATTATCTCCCCAACGGTACAACACATTCAATTCAAATTTGACATATGGATATGTCATGAGAAAATACAGGTCAAGTTCGAATTTGGTCATGGTTCAACGATTTTTGGCAGAGTTATGCCCCTTTTACTTTGAAAATAATATGAAATTTTCAGTTTCCGTTCATTATCTCCCCAACCGTACAACACATTCAACTCAAATTTGACATATGGATATGTCATGAGAAAATACAGGTCAAGTTCGAATTAGGTCATGATTCGATGATTTTTGGCAGAGTTATGCCCCTTTTACTTTGAAAATAATATGAAATTTTCAGTTTCCGTTCATTATCTCCCCAACGGTACAACACATTCAACTCAAATTTGACATATGGATATGTCATGAGAAAATACAGGCCAAGTTTGAATTTGGTCATGGTTCGATGAATTTTGGCAGAGTTATGCTCCTTTTACTTTGAAAATAATATGAAATTTTCAGTTTCTGTTTATTATCTCCCCAACAGTACAACACATTCAACTCAAATTTGACATATTGATATTTTTTTTGGAATGCCAAGGTCAAGTTAGAATTTGGTCATGGTTTCAATAATTTTTGGCAGAGTAATGCCCTTTTCACTTTGAAAAAAAATATGAAATTTACAGTTTCTGTTCATTATCTACCCAACAGTGTTACATATTCAACTCAAATTTGACATATGGATATGTCAAAGGAATGGGCAGGTCAAGTTGGAATTTGGTCATGGTTCGATGATTTTTTGGCAGAGTTATGTCCCTTTCACTTTGAAAATAATATAGATACATCTTAGGAATAGACAGTTTAAGTTTGAATTTGGTCGTGGTTTCAATGATTTTGGACAAACTTATCTTTCTTGAATATTGGATAAAATTTTGAACTTTCAGTTTCAGCACTGACATACTTTTGTGGAAATGTATGTAGCCATTATTTTGGCTACAAATATGAAATATGCTATTTTCAAAAGGATAAGACTGAATAATTTCAGTGCCTTGAACATTGTATGAAAATGGTTTGTGTTAACATTGAAAAGTTTTAAGGGCTTTGAACTTAAAATGAAAACAATAATTTGTGCAAACAAATTTGGAACTAAATATAATAACATCTGAAATTTTGGCTGCATGCGGGGGCATCCGTGGCATGATGACACATTTCTAGTTCTTTAAGTATTTTACCCAAATTGAAGGATTTCATCAACAACAGGAGAACTTAGAACACAAGATAATTAAATGTGTTCTTATTGCTAGGATGTTTTACTTGCAGTGAAATGGCGATAATTAAAGCACTGTGAAAAAGAAAAGAATGAGTTTTAATTACTTAAAAAATATTATAAAATGTCTTTTTATATTTGAAATCATTGACTAACATACAGACAATAAAATACAACAAGGAAATCAAGAGAAGGAGAGAATACACGTCAAACGTTTCTTCCATTATTTTAGTTTAGGTGTATTAATTGATAAAAATAATGAATTTTGTTGAAATTAAATATAAGGCTTACAGCTCAGCTGTAGTCTAAGTCATTGTTTTTTTTTGGTCAAAAATTAAATTTCTGATGTCTGATTAAGTGGGAATGGAGTAGATGTCATATTTAGGTTACTGGTGAGACAACTTGAGCATTGATGTCACAGTTCTGATTGCTGACATACCATTTCAAGCATTGATATTACATCTTTAATTCTGATGTCACATCAGTAGCATTGATATCACACATTGGATTAATAGTGTCACATCTTAAGTATTGATGTCATTTTTAGCTCGACTATTCAATAAGAATAAGTAGAGCTATTGTAGTCACCCGAGCGTCGGCGTAACCACTTATGTTAAAGTTTTTGTAATAGTTCAAATATTTTCAAAGTCCATTGACATATGGCTTTGAAACTTTGCACACTTGTTCACCATCATGACCCAATTCTGTAGACAGGAGGAGGTAACTCTATCAAGCATTTTGACAGAATTATGCCCCTTTTTCGACTTAGAATTTAAGTTAAAGTTTTTGTAATAGTTCAAATATTTTCAAAGTCCATTGACATATGGCTTTGAAACTTTGCACACTTGTTCACCATCATGACCCCAATCTGTAGACAGGAGGAGGTAACTCTATCAAGCATTTTGACAGAATTATGCCCCTTTTTCGACTTAGAATTTATGTTAAAGTTTTTGTAATAGTTCAAATATTTTCAAAGTCCATTAATATATGGCTTTGAAACTTTGCACACTTGTTCACCATCATGACCCCAACCTGTAAACAGGAGGAGGTAATTGTATCAAGCATTTTTTTTTACTATCAAGCACTAAGAATAGTCGAGTGTTGCTGTCCTACCGACAGCACTTGTTTGGGTTACTGTTATCACACTCCACATTTTGATGGTATATTTTCATTAACTAATGTCAAATCTCAAATATTAATGTCATATTTAGGGTAATTGGTGTCACATTTCAACTACTGATGTAAAATGTTTGGCTGCTGATGTCACATATGAAATATGGATGTCTTGTTTTTGGGTACTTGTGTCACATCCCCTGTATGGATGTCACATCTTAACCCTATGTTTGCCAAATTATTTTTTTCTAAATCATTATCATAAGATGAAATAAAATGAAAGAAATGATAAGGTTTTCATACTAAAGGAATAAAAATAATTTGCTATTTTTTTCAATTTTACAGGGTGCACAGGTAATGGTGTATGTTGTGATATGATTTTGAGCTTTTGTATTTTGAGCATTTAAGCAAGACTTTTAAGGATCATTTCTTCTTTAACTCAGGTGCCTGTTTTCACTCAGGTGCCTGTTTGTGCCTGAAATAATGCACAGAGGGGCACCTTAGGTATTCCTTCTCATTAAAGCTGGAAAGTCTCCATATGACCTATATTGTAAGACACAACCAAAAAAAGATTTTCTTTTTTAACCTCACCTGCTGACTATTTAATGATCTTGTAAAGGTTTTATAATGCTAGCACAGATGAACAGGCTGGCTCAGCTGTGTACTGCTGGCATAAATGGGCAAATCATCATTGCGGCTAGAACTAATTGGGATATAATTAAGATCAATTTGTCTTGCTTCAAATCATCAATATTCTTGTACCTAATATAATAAGTTTGTGTTATACATTTATGAGCACTGTGAGTGATTTTCACCGAGTATTTATATATATCACTGTATTGTCAACTTTGTATCTCTTGCACGAAAGCTTTGAAAACTAGTTTATAGTTTTAGTATTTTTTGTGTTATTTAGGTATCCTAGAGGGGGAGATATTTAGATTTGCCCTTGTATGTCTGTCAAGCTGTTCATCTGTAGACACATTTCTAGTTTATAGTCTATACAATGCATGATATAATTGTTGCCTTCATAATTGTGGATATCATTTGACTTTGCATGCAGCTGTTTGATGCATTCTTATCACTAATAAAATCGTTTTGCCTGGTCTATTGTTTTCTTTTGTATTAGTAATATGTTTCTTTAAATTAGGATTATTATAAGAGTTATCTTGGTCTGACTTTGACCAATATCACTTTGAGGCATAGATGAATTGCCATGTGTGATCAAACTTGCTTAAACCCACAAGAAATATCAAATATTTATTACATGCACAGTTGTTAATTTTAAGTTAATACTACTTGTATTTGTAAGTTACACATGTAATACAAGTAGTATTTGTAGAATGATAAATAAACATAATGATAAAACATATAAATTAGTGCAAATTGTTGTATCTTGCTCCCCATTATTTCCATGTGTGTGTGTGACTGCCATTCTTGCACCAAAACCTTAATTTGATTTCCTTTTTACTTTGCTCTAAGTATTGCTAACTTCTGGAGAATTTTGGACAAGTTATGTACTGTATGTTATCTACTGGTTATATTCATAGTTATAACCATATTATAGCAATAGAATGTCTTTTTTATTTTCCATATTTACATTTAGATGAGAGATGTTTGCTGTATTTGTGCAAGTTTGGGTGGACACAATTAAAATTTAATACACGTAGGAGTAAATGGGTTATTGCACAAAGGTGGTGTTATATTGTTGTTTTTCATATATATTTCGCTATATAAACAAATTAGTAGAATTTGAATATAACTTCACTTTCTTTTGACAATTTCAGCCCTCACCTGTCCCAAGTAGGCGTGAATCCTCAGCCGATCTCACTAAACAGTCCAGCTCAGTCCCTCCTCCTGATATAGTGGCCCTCAGTGAGAGCATGAGCTCGAGACCTCTGTTTACTAGGGGAACTAAAGCAATCATTTGGGGCATGCAGCAGAGAGCTGTGCAAGGAATGATGGATTTTGACTATGTTTGTTCACGTAAAGAGCCGTCTGTGGTCGCCATGATTTATCCATTCACGTAAGTTACCTAAAATACTATAGTCAATGGATCACCCATTATTTATAGAAAATTTTTGGCATCAAATACCAGATTTGTCAGTTTGATGGTTTATTCATTACTTTTATGAAAGTGTTTTGTTTTCTTTTAGCAAGACAGTTTGTTTGTTCAAGGAGATACCAATCTGTTGTCAAATGCTCGAGTTACATGTCATTGAAATACATTAACGATTTAAAGGTTTATGTAATGTCCCTGTTAACAATTTGTACTAAGAATATCAATCAATTGCAATAATAAACATTATTCACACATTAAAGAAATTTTCTACACTCGATTTACAATTTCAAAAGTTTAGAAATAATATTAATTAAACCAGCTTTTTCATTCATTAATTTATTCATTAATTCATTCATTCATTCATGTAGTTGTTCAGACCGGAACACCCTGTCAGTAACTTGATGCTAAGTTAGGCTTCTTAGAGTTCTTATTTCTTTTTCAGAGGTGACCATAAACAGAAATTTTACTGGGGTCACAAAGAGGTGCTGGTACCAGTTTATAAAAACATGGCCGACTGTATGAAGAAACATCCCCAGGCTGATGTACTTGTAAGCTTCGCCTCGTTAAGATCAGCTTACGAGAGTACAGCTGAAACATTAACATTCCCACAGGTAATCTAATACAAAAAGCTTAAACAGTCTTCCTTTAAATATATTAAATTATGCTAAAAGTTTGAATTGTCCCCCTTTGATTATATTATAATCATACACAAAGTTTCAATTTTCTTCCTTTTAATATATATTATGAAAACTATACAAAGTTTGAATTGTCTCCTTTTTGATGTTATTGAACAGCAATTTAGGTGATTGATAGATAGTTTTAAGCAAATTTCTGAGAGCTTTCGGCTGTTGACTGGTTTCCTTTTATAGGTTGGAATCCTGCAAGGACTTTTGGATTCTTTCATGTGAGGAAACTATACACCTTGTTTGGTGGTTCTACTCATGTGCTGGTTGTGCCTGAAATAATGCATGAAGGGCACCTGAGGTCTTCCTCCACCAGTAAGCTGGAAAGTTGGCATAAAAACTAATGTCGGTGACTTATAATCCAACAAAAATCCTATGATAAATTCAACTGAATTCACCACCATTTATTTGTGAAAATGCTTTGAAACTGAGAAAATATGCAATAGTGAAAGAAACATAGTTTGAATAAAATATTTGTGTGTATTTCAGATTAGGACCATAGCAATTATAGCAGAAGGCATCCCAGAGAATCTCACTAGAAAGTTGATAAAAACTGCCAATGAGAAAGGTGTCAGCATTATAGGACCAGCTACAGTATGTATACCTTTTATATCTTTTTTTTCTGAAGAGAATTTATGAAAAAAGAAATTTATTTTGTAGTGTTTTGTAAGTGATTGTAAAAAATAAGTGCTCTGTAAGCTTGGGTCACATGTTTGATCCATGGGTTATTGGTAATTTCTCTGTTACAATTGATCTAATGATATTGAATCTAATGGTAATTTGTCTCTCACAGCTGATTCAGTAATATTTGAGAATAATTGTCAGTCACTTTAAGAGAAATTTGGTAATTACTGATTAGTTAAACAGGAAAGGACCGGCCTCCTGAGATATGACCAAATGTGTTTTTAACAATCAGCGTAAAAACAATACAAACACAAGTATAAACTGGTTTTGTGTAAACTGGCTGTCACTTTTATCTTTTTTATTAATACATGTATCTGAAAATATATATAAAAATATAAATAATCAGAAAATATATATAATCAGTTCAATAAAAAGAAATGCTTTTCTTTAGCTTTCAACATTTTGTGTTCTTCAGATTTTTTTTTATGAGTATTTGAAACAAAGTATTTTAAAAAACTTTTACTTATGTTTTATAGTTATCTAGGATGAACTGTAGGTACGAAACTATTTGCATAAGTTTGAAAAAATGTACTTGTTTTTATTACAGGTAGGTGGTGTTAAACCTGGCTGTTTTAAGATAGGTAACACTGGTGGTATGTTAGACAACATTCTCTCCTCCAAACTGTACCGTCCTGGTAGTGTAGCCTATGTATCAAGATCAGGGGGTATGTCTAATGAACTCAACAATATTATAGCCCTCAATACAGATGGTGTCTATGAAGGTGTGGCCATTGGAGGAGACAGGTAGGAAAATATCTAACTCAATAATTGGGAAATTCGTTTAGAACAAATAACAATATCAAAGATGACCTCCGATAATTCATGTGTTTGGTTGATCTAGATTTTCATCATAAGTGAATGGTTTTGTAAAGGGTAAAGTTAAGGTTTTTAACCTTGAAAATCTAGCCAATAGCTGATGAGCCCCAGTACCAATTTATAAAAGACTAGAATGTTTTATATCACAATAAATATATGTTTATTTACTTCTATGTTTCACCTTAGGAAATATTTTCTCTTAATGACATAGTTTCTGAAATGCAGAAATCGTCTATAAAATGTTTTAAGTAGCAATCAAGTTGGCCAGTTGTTGCCTTGTTACCTATTTTACAATCGGATTGTCATAAATGCTGTAAATGTTTCTTGTTTCAGATACCCAGGTACAACATTTATGGATCACATACTAAGATATCAAGATGATCCAGATGTTAAAATGATAGTTCTACTTGGTGAAGTAAGTTTATAATATATAAATATTTAAATTTTACCATAATGATACATTCAATTTTTTGTCAAAAACTTAAGATTTTACTTTTAATAGCACATTGTGCAGTAGCTGTGTGTTTGACAAGTGGATTTGTTGGAAACTGTTTGTAATCTTCACAATTTAGATGAAAATGTTGAGTGATATGATTATGGTGTTTCATATTATGTATAAAGGGGGCCTCTGGCTCTATGGTTAAAGTCATGGACTTAGAATTGCTAGCTCCTAACCACTGTTGGTTTGGTATCTGTAGTTACAAGGACTTACTGAGTTCTCCAGCAGTAAAGCAGGAAAGCCCTCCTATGACCTTACAGTGTAAATTTGACTTAAACTTAAATTTTCTTTTTGGTATATTCAAACATAACTTGGTTGTTTTCTATTATTTCTAGGTAGGTGGTGTAGAGGAGTATAGATTGACACAGGCTATGTCTGAAAACAGAGTAACAAAACCTGTAGTGGCTTGGTGTATAGGTACATGTGCTAAAATGTTCACATCTGATGTACAGTTCGGCCATGCTGGTTCATGTGCCAACGCTGACGCAGAAACTGCTGTCGCAAAAAATAAGGCACTAGAAGATGCAGGCGCACATGTACCAAAAAGTTTTGATGAATTAGGACATTTAATTAAGTAAGTAACAGAAAAAAATGCTTTACTGTGTTTTAGCTTAATTATTAGAAGAATAGGAAGAACTGTTGCACTTATCCCAGTGTTGGTGCCACACTTTGGTTAACTTTTTTGCGTGCACGTTAGAGTACTGAAGGGAATGGGTTGAAACTTCACATGGGATTGTTTTCTGTGATCATCTAACTTGTTGGGCACAGGTCCCACAACTCTTAAGTTACTCTCACAGTTATTCCCCTTTTCTTATTGTGAAGAATAGTTGAGAATATTATAATATTGTATGGGCATTTCTTGTTGTTGTTTATGCGAGTACAGTTCTATAGCTGTAGAGTTTATACTTCATACTTCTTTATTCACTAAGGAGCTAGAAAAAGCCAACAAATTTAACAAAAATAAAATAAATACAAAAAAATAGATTGCGTTTATTGATTCACACAAATACAAGTGTTTAATTGAAAAATTATAGCACAAACAAGCCAAAATATATTATTGTTTTTATCAAAATTAATATTGTTAAATTCATGCTGGTCATGATATCATAAATGATTAGCCATAGTGACGTGACACTCAACTGATTTCAATTAAAGCAGTTTAGCTTAAATAAAAATAAAGGGAAATATTTTGTAGCATACAAAATACATGCCTTTGTTTAAGCAGTTATAGTAATGCTTGATATCCCATGCTTAACATTCTGGTTAAAATTTTTTTTTTTTTTATTATAGACAAGTATATGATGGCTTGGTAGAAGATGGTACTATAGTTCCTAAACCAGATCAGGCACCACCCACAGTTCCAATGGATTTTGCATGGGCAAGGGTAAGTCTTCCACTTCATTACTTCGCAATTGCCCCTGATAATTTATTGCATTTAAAAAAAGGCTCATAACCTTTTTTAGCTCGACTATTTTGAAGAATAGGGAAATAGGACATATGGGTGACACTGTGGTTAAGTTTTAAGGTACAAGTTGGTAGCTCTCAAAAACTAATGAAGGGAGTTGGTTAATACTTTACATACCTATTTGACAGCATAATAGGAGGTAAATGTTCAAGGCTGATAACTCTGACTTGGATTTTGACATAATTATGGCCCCTTTTGAATTTAGAAAATTCTACATTATCCAGTCTCTTGTATTATTTTCAGGCACTGAGAATAGATGAGCAGGCTGTCCTACCAACAGCTGTTGTAATAGATAACAGTAATACATGTACAAGTAATCAAACTTGATTGTTTTTTTCAGGAATTAGGTTTAATACGTAAACCTGCATCATTTATGACAAGTATATGTGATGAAAGAGGACATGAGTTATTGTATGCTGGTATACCTATAACTGATATATTTAAAGAAGATATGGGTATAGGTGGTGTACTTAGTCTGCTCTGGTTCCAACGAAGGTTAGTCACTAAAAATAGATATAATGATAGCAGTACTTGAGTTACTCCGGAACTCTGCAAATATGGGTTTTTCCTTCCTAATCCAGATTATTTTGAATGAGTTTTATATTTGCTGCTAATGTGTTTAATAATCAGTATTGATGTCATATAATGAAACATGGTTTTCAATTTATTAAGTTACAACATTGTCAGGTTAATCTCTTTAAGTAAGTGGTTTTTTAGCTCACCTTGCACAAAGTGCAGGTGAGCTTTTAGGATGGCCAACCAAATGGCGTCCGTCGTCTGTCGTCCGTCCACATTTGAAATATTCTAAGGACATCTTCTATGATACCGCAAGGCCAATGTTAATGAAACTTGGCAGGAATACTCTTTGTATGAAGCTCTATCAAGATTATTCAAAGATTTCCATTTCATGCAGAACTCTGGTTGCCATCATGCAACAGAAAGAAAAATCTTTAAATATCTTCTTTTAAAGAACCTTAAGAGCTAGAGCTTAGATATTTGGCATGAAACATCTTCTAATGAATGTCTACCAAGTTTGTTCAAATAAAAGCCCTGGGGTCAAAATTGGCCCCGTCCCAAGGGGTCATAGATTTTCCCTATATGCATATAGTAAAAACTTAAAAAATCTTCTTTTAAAGAACCCAAAGAGCTAGAGCTAAGATATTTAGCATGAAACATCTTCTAGTGAGTGTCTACTAAGTTTGTTCAAATAAAAGCCCTGGGGTCAAAATTGGCCCCGCCCCAGGGGGTCATTGATTTTCCCTATATGCATATAGTAAAACTTAAAATTTTTTTTTTTAAAGAACTGTAAAAGCTAGAGCTTAGATATTTGGCATGAAACATCTTCTAGTGAATGTCTACCAAGTTTGTTCAAATAAAAGCCCTGGGGTCAAAATTGGCCCCGCCCCAGGGGGTCATTGATTTTCCCTATATGCATATAGTAAAAACTTAAAAAATCTTCTTTTAAAGAACCCAAAGAGCTAGAGCTAAGATATTTAGCATGAAACATCTTCTAGTGAATGCCTACCAAGTTTGTTCAAATAAAAGCCCTGGGGTCAAAATTGGCCCCGTCCCAGGGGGTCATAGATTTTCCCTATATGCATATAGTAAAACTTAAAAATTCTTCTTTTAAAGAACTGTAAAAGCTAGAGCTTAGATATTTGGCATGAAACATCTTCTAGTGAATGTCTACCAAGTTTGTACAAATAAAAGCCCTGGGGTCAAAATTGGCCCAGCCCCAGGGGGTCATTGATTTTCCCTATATGCATTTAGTAAAAACTTTAAAAAATCTTCTTTTAAAGAACCCAAAGAGCTAGAGCTAAGAAATTTAGCATGAAACATCTTCTAGTGAATGTCTACCAAGTTTGTTCAAATAAAAGCCCTGGGGTCAAAATTGGCCCCGTCCCAGAGGGTCATAGATTTTCCCTATATGCATATAGTAAAAACTTAAAAAATCTTCTTTTAAAGAACCTTAAGAGCTAGAGCTTAGATATTTGGCATAAAACATCTTCTAATGAGTGTCTACCAAGTTTGTTCAAATAAAAGCCCTGGGGTCAAAATTGGCCCCGCCCCAGGGGGTCATTGATTTTCCCTATATGCATATAGTAAAAACCAAAAAAAAATTTCTTTTAAAAAACTCAAAGAGCTAGAGCTAAGATATTTAGCATGAAACATGTTCTAATGGGTGTCTACCAAGTATGTTCAAATAAAAGCCCTGGGGTCAAAATTGGCCCCGCCCCGGGGGTCATTGATTTTCCTTATATGTGTATTATAGCAAAAACTTAAAAATCTTCTTTGAAAAAACCCAAATAGCTTGAGTTTAGATTTTATACATGAAACATCTTTAAGTAAATATCTACAAAGTTTGTTCAAATAAAAGCCCGGGGGTCAAAACTGGCCCTGCCCCAGGGGTGTCATTGTTTTTAATTATATGTGTATAGTAAAAACTTAAAATATTTTCTTTAAAAAACCCAATGAGCTAGAACTTAGATGTTTAGCATGAAACATCTTCTTATGGGTGTCTACCAAGTCTGTTCAAATAAAAGCCCTTGGGTAAAAATTGGCCGGGGGGGGGGGGGGCTATATACAGGTGAGCGACCTCAGGGCCATCATAGCCCTCTTGTTTCTTCTTCATAATTATGCCCCTTTTTCTTGTAAGCTTTTTTGTAAGTTTTTGCTTGTAAGCTGTTATCTCCAAAACTTACTGAAGGGTTTGTGCCTTTTTTGGAACAATTTTATGCATTCATAATAATAAAGCAGTGATTAACTCAATAAAACATCTTAATAACAAGCCTTTGTACCTTTTTGGACAATTTTATGTATTCATATAGGAAAGCATTATTATACTCAATGAAACACCCTTGTGACATCTTCGAATAGTCGAGCGTTACTGTCCTCTGACAGTTCTTGTTTTTATATTTACTGTAAACCTGGTGTAAATCTGGTGTTTTTCATGATGTTTTAATTTTAGCTATTTATGCTGGGGTGAAAAGGGGCTCCACTTTGACCGTTTAACCTATTTCTCAGGTGAGCGATCCAGGGCCCTCTGGGCCCTCTTGTACTAAATAAAGGGGTCTCAATTGTGAGGTCATTGTTATCAAATAATTCTCGGTTTGAGTAAAGCTGTGAATTAATATAATCATGAAGGCTGGATAGTATAATCATGAAGGCTATAAGACTTTAGTGGTTTATTACGAAGTATTTGAACAATAAACCATGCATATATTGTACTTCAGGGCAAGAAAAAAATGGCATATTATTTTAATTATATAATTATATGCTTAACGTAATGGACATGTAGTTCCATTCTAACATGCTTAAAGTAATGGACTTATGTTGCTTTGAATTTGGAACTGTTCAGTTGTGAAAGATTTTGATTACATTATGATAAAATTTAAAAAAAGTGTTAATATTAAGCAGTTTTCAATTCATATTGAGTAGAATCGTATGAAAATACAGGTCGGTTTTGCTCTATACTGTTAACATAGGCAAATGATTGAGTGATTTAAACTTTAACCATTTTATTCTTGTAGGCTTCCACGATATGCCACAAAGTTTATAGAGATGTGTTTAATGGTAACTGCAGACCATGGACCTGCGGTGTCTGGTGCTCACAACACAATAGTCTGCGCTCGTGCTGGCAAAGATCTCATCTCCTGTCTAACATCTGGTCTTCTTACTATTGTATGTTCATTCAATTACTTTAATTAAAATTGCTCCATTGTGTAAACTGTTTTGAATCCCTCAGTTTTGATGATTGTGTGAAATATTTGAAAAATACCTTAAAAGCATCATGATTACTAAGGCAAATATCAAGGCTACTAAAAAATCATCATGATTGTTGTAAAAAATATCATAATTATTGTAAAAAAGCATCATTACTCATTAGTACACTAGAATAATCATGAGTTCTCTAAAATAAATATATTTTGGTTATTGAATAAAATATCACAATTTCTCTACATTTATAACAATTTCTTTAAATAAAATATCACAAGAATTGTTTCAAAATATCACATTTATTTTTAAAATATCACCATTAATCTAAAAGTGTCATGATTTCTGCAAAGAAAAATCAGGTTAAAGTCGTTGATTTCAAACCTCTTGCCCCTCCTTGCTGTGGTTTGAATCTCAACAAGGACTTTGGATTCTTTTATGTGAAGCTTACAGAACATTAGTGGTTCTACTTGCCCGTTTGTGTCTGAAATAATTCACAGAAAGGTGGAACGTCACTATATGACCTTTACTGTGTTGGTACCACGTAAACCCCCCTCCCCAACCCCCCACCAAAAAAAAGTCTGTATTACCATTATTGATTACTATTAGAAACATTATTACAATGGATATTTAAGGGTGACAGATTCGGTGGTGCTTTGGATGCAGCAGCTAAACAGTTCAGTGATGCCGTGGACTCTGGTATGATACCCATGGACTTTGTTAACTCTATGAGGAAGAAGGGAAAACTTATAATGGGTATAGGACATAGAGTTAAATCTGTAAGTTGTTTAAATAAGTTTTTAACCTTGAGTCTTTTGTGGAAAGGAATTTTAATTGTTTCCCAAATCCAAGAAATTTTTCATTGTGTTATTGTATACATGTATATTCATGTTGTACAAGTTGGAAATAAGATATTGTTTGGATCAATCCCTTGTCTGCTGATCTACCCATGTCACTAGTGCAGATCAAAATCAGCTAGCACGTCAGTGATTATGCCCTGCACTGTTTGCATACAGTCAGTACATGTACTTATTTTGAAAAAAAAAAAAAGCTGGCCAGACAGAGGAGAAATTAGCCCTTCCATTAAGAAATAGGTTGCATGAACAATAGTTGTCAATTGAAATTTATGCATTTTTGACAGAGGGGACAAAAGCCCTTTCATGAAATTTGTGAATAGGACAAAAATTCTTATTCCATGAGTTTGACCAGGCAGACAAAAGCCGTTGTATTTAATTGTCAGGGGACACATATTTTTAGCCACATAGACAAGTTGTTATTTTTGCTAGCACTGACAGGGCTTATTTGTATTTTATATTATTTATTATTACAGATAAACAACCCTGATATGAGAGTAGTAATTTTAAAAGAATATGCACAGAAAAATTTCCCGTCTACACCAATATTAGATTATGCCATTGAAGTGGAGAAAATAACAACATCGAAGGTAAGGATTTCTATTGGCCTATTTTAAATGTGTTATATGCAAGGACAAAGAAATATAAATATATAAAATATAATAAAAATATTGCATACATTGGCTATTCTGATATATTGCATTGCGCGAGTTGATTCTGGAAAGGTCCGTCTGCTTAGCTTAATAGGGAGAACATCAGATTTGTATTCCAGAGGTTGCTGGTTCAATCCCCGGTCACGCAAAAATTTCTCCATGACCTTGTATGACCTAAATTTGTAATAGTAATATTTATCTTAATCTGTAATGTAGATTTTGAAACTTTAGCACAATTTAAACAAGGTTGTTTTGTGTTGTTTTTTTTTTATTTTAAAGAACATTGTTTTATTTTTGTATTCACAGAAACCAAACCTCATATTGAATGTGGATGGATTTATTGGCGTGGCATTTGTAGATCTGTTAAGGAATTGTGGCTGTTTCACCAGGTTTGTATAATTATGTTATACTGTATTTTATAGTCTTAAAACAAGCTCATATCTTGACATATCAATTGTAGACTGCATGCTTTGATCTTTGTCAATGACTGTATAGTGCCCGCTTGTGCCTGAAATAATGCCCAAGGGGATACATGTGTTCTTCCTTGACAAGTAAACCTTGTAATCCTTTTCCATAAAAACTGGAAATTGGCTGTGTGACCCCTAATATGATTATTTAAGGTTAGACCAAACTGCTAAAAGGTACCTTTATGACATAATAATCTATGATGTTGCAAGGGCTGATAGTGAGAAACAGTCAATGAATTTAAGACTAGCCCGAATTCCAGTTTTGAATTTATTCTACTATACTGGCATGCGAGCAGTTTCCGTACAAAAATCGTAGTTACTTAATCATTATTTTTTATTACGCTCACTCACCAAAATTTAAATGTTACACATCAATATTCGGCTCGTCACACAAATCATGGAAATTCCATCATGTTCTAAACATAGAATAACCCTTAGTTATGAGGCCTCGTATGGGGTACCGAAAATATCCATTATTTTGTATAAAGAGAAGTAGTTCCCGTACATAAAATTTAACCCATTATATTTATACAATTTTTTTATATCGGACCTATTTTTCATTTATCATTGTTGAACAGACCATTTTCTAAGAGATAAATAGATGTAATTCAGAAAATAGAAAGTAGACTAAACGCGTGTATCTATTACCCGGTACAGTTACCCCCAACGCATTCACATGCGATGGCATGCTTGTATGCATGATATTTTACGCATCAAAGCCATAAAATTATTTTATATAGTAATATTGGTCAAAATTCTGATAATTAAACAAGTTTTCATCACATTGCCTTCTTATCTGTAAACAGGTGGTATTAGTGGAAAACCTTTTAACATGCCTCACGTGTAAGTATGTTTGCGCATGCGCGCAGAGACGGAATTCCCCCAGATAAAACAAGGTCACGTTTTGACAACGCACAGGTGAAAGTGATTTAAAATGAGACTTTTTATACGTACTGCCGAACTGACACTTAGATTTTGTCTCGTTTATGTATCTGCTTGATTTGAAATGAATTTTTGAAGAATGCATGTAAAAATCAAGCGTTTAAATGAAAAATACGGGTACTGCTTCTGTACAGGAACTGCTCGCATGCCAGTATATTTAACTAAATTTTCTTAAAATTTTCACTGGCCCAAACTATTTTTCACTGGCCATGAGCCACCGGGCCAGTGCTAAATTCGATGACTGAAGAAAGTATACTACCTCTGTTATATGGATATTATAATACAATTTTCAGAGAGGAAGCACAAGAGTTTATAGAGATAGGAGCATTGAATGGACTGTTTGTACTTGGTAGAAGTATGGGATTTATTGGTAAGTAACAAATTTCTTTACATTGTTATGTATAACTCTTTAATGGATATAGAACTCTTTTTGGTCATTTGCGACCTTTGGTCTTTAATGACCTGTTGATTGTCAATAACCATTAGTGGTCACAGAATGTTAGATATAAGCGTTATACTAGAGGGAGAAAAAAAAGATTGTTTTAAGTGAAAAAACAGTACTTCTCAAGTTATGTGATTAATAGAATATTATATTTGTCATAATATAATTTTATTCAACTCAATAAATTCAGTATTGAACTTACACTTATTCAATATCCTCTATATATAATGAAAATAATACTTTTTGTCATGTGATAACATGATAAAATTTTACATTTTTAGGTCATTTCCTAGACCAGAAGAGGTTGAAACAAGGTCTGTACAGACATCCATGGGACGATATCTCTTATGTTATGCCAGAGCAGTTTGGTGGCGGCGATCAAGTTGCACAATAAAGCACTGTCCATCATTGTTTATCTGGTTAAACTATGATTGGGACAGTATTTACATTAGAGGCCATACATAATATGATCACATTTAGTGCTTGTAGAAGTTTTAATAAACTGTTGTTAATATTAATGGATTACCTATGATGGTATACTGTGGTTGTAGAACTTGTAGATTTTGGTTGTTATTTTACCTGGTCAATAAATAATGATAATCAATGATTTATTGGTCTGTATATAATGGGCATTTTAAGAAAAAAATGATCTCTGACGTTCAAAGATTAATTTAATTTAAGTTTAGAATACTTTTCTAGAACGAAATAAAAAACAAGAGAAGCATCTTAGTGAAATGCTTTTAGTAAAATATAGAATATTTTGAAAAGAATCAGATATTACGTCAATATATATGTACTATACAGTTGAAAAGTTAAATTTATGAGAATTAGGTATTTGACTTTATATTTGAATTTATATTCATTTAAAGGAGATTTTTTTTACAATTCAGTTGGCCTGATACCAATGTAAGCATAAAGCAAGTATATACATAGGACCTAACATATAGTTGTTTTATTGAAACTTGCATTAAATGAATCTAGAAAAGCATTATAAGGGAGAAGACTGTAGTATGAATACTAAGTTTAAATAACTTAATTTTAAACAACAACACATGTGTTGATGACATAAAATAAAGCCAGAAAATGTCTGTATTGTGATAGCTGTACTTTGATGATTGTCGTGAGATGTTATATTAAACACTTCCCACCCATAATTTCTGAAATGGCCTTTGTCCACCTTTCAATCTGGACATAGTCATGTAACATTTTAGGGAAAATAAGAAAAATATGTACTAACTGAGTAGTGAACAGTGCAGACTATGATCAGACAGAATGGAAGTTCTTGCTGGTCTTGGTTCTGCACTGGTGGTTTTGACGACATTTGTTGCCGCAAGGAGGCTAAGGGTTAAAGAAATATATAATTGTTAAATTACTTTGTTTTATAATACTGCAAGTTTGTCAATAACTGACATTTATATAATCTGTATACATGACTGCAGGCCATTTATGAAGTAATTCCATTTTTTTTTCTATAATTAAAGAAATTTGTAGTATTATTAATTGGATAAAAAATTTCGTGATGGGTTATATGGTCATATATAAACGCTTATTTGCAATATAGCAGTGGCCATTTGGCTCAAGTCATATATACAAACAACCATTTATATAGGGTCATATAACCTATAAAAATTTCTTCATAAATATCAAAAACATTGAAAACAAATGATGTCATGTGATAGATGTTTAAATTATACTATACATATACTTAGTTATCATTTTATGTTGTTTAAATTTTCTAGTTATAACATACATGTATTTACATGAATAATTGTTTATTTAGATATCATATATTACATATCTATTGGCAGATGCAATAGGTCTTTTGTTATTTTTGGCATAATTACATGACGTTCTTTTACTTACAAAGTATGCAATTTGTATGTTGAGGGGTGGCTTTTTTTGGTGCAATTTACATTAAGCAATTACGTTTTTTTTCTTGTTTGATATGTTTATATGGGGAAAATTAAGTAGAACTTTAGAAAACAGAATGTTGAAAATGTGTGATGCCTGTTGACAAATATTTTATGATTTTAAGTTTCCTTCAAATAAAATTGTAAAAATATATTCAAGTATGCCGATTAATATGTTGAAAGGCATTGAATATAGGAGGGGTTTTTGTTTTTACTAATTTTCCCAAATGTGCATTCTAAGTGTTAAATTGAGCTTGGTGTGAATTTGGAGGGTTTGGTAAATATTTTAATTAGTGCTCTCCCTTTATTTCAATAAGAAAAGGCAGTGAATTTGGAGTATTTTTTCCAAGTGGTTAGGGTAAACAAACCTTAACACTTGTTGTTGTTTTTTTATGATATCAAAAGTGCATCCCTGTAACTCTAATAGTAGGATTTAAGAAAATATAAAGGCACAATTACTTATTTTCTGCTCAGTTTTGATTACTATATTATTTATTGAAACAACATGACATTGTATCAAGTGTTATTTATTTTCTTGTATATTATTTACATTTGTTTTGGATATTTGTTTTATGTTTTATGCTATAAAAAGGTTTGATTTAAAAGGTTTCTTTATATATATATTTTTTTTGCATTTTGGAACATTCCAATTGTCTCTTTAGTAAGTCCCTTTATGGTTTATGTTCTCCAACTTAAAATCTTTTGCTGTTTACCACTGTTCAAATTCAAATGTCCATTTGATGAGATATCCATCCAGATTGTAAGCAAGACTACTCAGGTACCTGATTATTCTTTTAAGTTAAATAAGCCCCTGAGGTCTTCCTGATGAAGATTTGAATGAAATGAAATTTAAATTAAAAGAGTTGGTAAGAAATATTTCCGAAATGAATGCGAAATCAGTTACATGAAGTATTGATGAATATAAAAGACGGGAATTTTGTTACAAAATAATTGAATACAAAGAGTTTTTTTAAAACTAAGATTTTTTCAATATTTTGATTAAAAGAGTTAATTATGCATTTTCAACTTTATGTAACCGTACCCCCCTCCCCCCCTTGGACTATTTGGACTTTTTAATGTTTTGGATTTTCAAACCAGTGGTGAAGGCCCTGACCTGCAAGACAGTCGGATGGATGATTCTTCACTCGCTGAAACCCATGTGCTGCAATTTGTGCATATCACTGGCCATTACAGCACCAAAGCAAATCTACCACATTGGCCCAGCAGTGCCAGGCAAAACAAATAGGTTAAAGCTTGGCTTACTTGCTTTGCATCCCTACCAGGGGTGGATGGTCTGTGGTTACCAAGGGGGTGGGTGGGGAGTGGTTATAATTGACTGGTATGCTAGACACTAGAATCTCATATGGAACATCACAGTCATGTTATTATAATCGTTAATGCAACACCATTATAATTTTAATCTCACAGAATAGTTCTATTTATAGTTAAACATTAAATTATATATATCACTTCTGGTTTTACCTTAAATTTGATATTTGCTGAACATAGTTGTCCTTATTTGATACATGTATGTAATAAAACAGTAATTGAAAATGACTAGAATTCACCTTCATTAAATATTGTAAACAGAAAAAAAAATTGTAGTTTTTTTTGTAAATCATTTTTGTCTTCCGTATGACATTAAATTTTAGGTTAGTAATAATGTTTTAGTTTAAGTAAACTTAATATCTTACTGTAATATTATTTATTCATGTAAATTTGGGAAACATTTATTTAATAATTACAAATGAATATTTAATAATAAAATATTCATTCTTCGCAAGAAGTATATAAATATGTGTAGGAAATATTACATTGTGTCTGTCTGCCTGTTGTTTATTGTATACACACTGTTATAGGTACATAGTACTTGTATATATATATGTTAATTGTTAATGAGTTATAAACATCTATAGTTGATCAAAATAACATAACCGTGTAGCAGCACTTAAATAAATACATACCTTCGTGAGCTTCTGTGTTTGTTTTCTTTCATATAATTAAACTTTTTGTTATGTTGTATTATGCCAAGGTAGCTGGGTAAATTTCCCAGTAATAAGTCAGGGGCCGTCTTGGCTACTTCAGTATTTATCAAATCCATAAATAAATTTAGGTTAAAATATTATTATCATTGTATGACCTTGCCAATGAATGCCATTTTAAGGTCAAGTCAAATTAGAAAAATTCAACATGTTGGTGTTGTCATAAAAATGGTTTTGTTAAAGTATGAATCATATAATTGAAAATCTTATGAGACTATGCAAAATCCCATCATTTGACCTTGTCACATTCATTTAAAGGTCAAGGTCATACATTGCTCTTGTATCAAAACATCAGTGTTGTTAAATAGAGAATAACATGCTACTGTCTTTTGATATCAATTTTATCAGGCGAGGCTGATATGGGCTAGAAAGGGCGAGGCTTGCCGAGCCCTTTCTGCCCATATCAGCCGAGCCTGATAAAATTGATATCAAAAGACAGTAGCATGTTTTTCTATTTATCATGTAACACATAACAACTGTCAAAATAAAAGAATAATCTACTTTTAAATAGCGAATTTCGTTAAAAAGGGGGATTTTTGTTCAAAGAAATAATTCTTGAAAAAAATTCCTCCGCCCCTGAAACTTAGAATTTGTTATTGGCGGCCATTTTTTCTTTCGACTCGGATAAAAGATACAACAGATTGTAGGCCTAATACGATAAAATTCTTACCTTTAATTTAAACATCGATCCAAAAATCCACTTAGAATCACATAAACTAAACTTTACTGCAATTTTTGTCTTGAATTGTCAAATTCAAAAGTTCACGCGATAATTTCAATCAAAGAAAAGTCAAATCGGCAATCAAACACAAGCTACACAAACATGCGTCTTATTTTTTAAACGAAACAATTTGTTCACTTATTGAATAATAATCCGGCGAAATAAAGTAAACATTTACAAGATCTCAATGAAAATCGTCTAGCCTGTTTGTTATGATTACATGTATAGTATGACGTGAACATCGATGATGTCATTTGCAATATAAATTATGACGTCACTTCATTTAGTTGGAGCTAAAACTATTCGCTATCTAATTTATTCGTAATTGAAATCGAAATAATAGGCCTAAATATCACACCTTGATTCAAGACTTGTAAGGGTATGAGATTACATTGTAGAATTCACATGCTGGTAAAAATGAGAATATAAGCAATTGAAAAAAGTCCGTTAAAATGGGTGGGGCTTATTTTTGATATCAGGTTACTGACCTGATATCAAAAATAATTATCAGGCAAGTGTTATCGGGCAGTTACCATAGTAGTTGCATGATAAAGTATCAAATTATTCCATTAATAACAAAGTTGTGGCCAGTTTTTGCAAAAATTAATAATATCACCTTGAATATTGAGGTAAAGTTCACTACCTTCTTAAAGGTATTATCAAAAGGGTAATTATGCACAGGTATGAAAACAAAACATCCAAAAATAACATAGCTAATTGTAAATAAGGTCTTTTTCCTACCTGCTTGCTCCTTTAAATAGTGGGGTTCAACCCACAAAATGTTTGAGGAAATTAATAAATCACAAGGAAAATAAAGATAACAAAGACACAAACAGATTTCAACTATATTTTTAATCTTAAAATATAATGGATGGCTATACAAAAATATAAAATATATGCTTTAATTATTAGATAAGATACAAAGACACTTAAACAAATATCATGCTCAAAGCACTTTGCTCTGTATGTGTGAGAAAGTGAGTGAATTATTAAAACCTTTAACATCGACATTTAAGTTGGCCGATTGACATTTAAGTTGGCGAATCAGACATAAAACATTGACATTTAAGTTGGTCAATTAGACATGTAACATTGACATAAATTGGCCAATCAGACCTTGACATTGACATTTAAGTTAGCTGATCAGAAATAAAGTACAAAGGGAATGAACAATACAATTAGTGGGCTTGTTGCAAACAATTTTATCTGTAATTTTTATATAACATCCATAATGTCAGCAAGCCAGGAAGATTTTAAAATTCTCAGTCCCCAAAATTTGCGAAGAATTATAAGAAATTCTTACCCTGAAATAAATCCGAATATATCCAACATTATGATATGAAGATAACATGTTTTCATTTCATAATTGGGAAATATTCATAAGTGATTCATTAAAAAAGATATCATTTAAATCTCTATCCCATAGATAAATGGGAGAGGAAAAAAAACAATATTAACTTAATTGGTCACCAAATGATTATTGGAAACCAAAAATGGCTGATCACCTTCAAGAATATGGATACTATTTTTAGAATTTTAAAGGCCACTGTCTGTTTATTTTATAGCTATTTTAAGAAAGTGAAAAGGTTATTTTTAGAATAAAATAAAGATCACCAAGTGCAACTATAACATACTCACTTCCACAGAAAAAATTATTAGTAATTTTGCATTGAAAATGTTAATGTACAGAAAATGGGTTGAATGACAGTAAAACTAACAACAGCAAGAATAATAGGGGTTTTTTGTGTCCTGTAAATTGGTCCGATGAGAAAACATTTTAAAACAAATATTCATGCATAAAATGTGCTTGCAGTTCACTGGTGATATCGTTTGCCATATTAAAACTCTTCAGTATCATATTGTAAATGGTTTGTAAGTATTTTGTGCATTTTTATGTAACAAGTCCTCCAGCACTTTCATAAATGATATTGGTAAAAAAATGTACTGTGTGTAAACATGATATCGAAGATGAAGACCATGCAATTTCCGAGTAAGTAATTCAATAAGCAGTCTGGAAAAAACTTTATTAAATATTTCTACAAATTTAGAAAAAATATAAAATAAATTTTTGTTTTAACAAAAAATTTTAAAATTTATAAAATAATTTTGTGTGGAAAATAGACAGGGTCTACATCTAGGTTTATTCATTATCATTATTTTTTATACTAAAAAGAAACAGGTATACAACAAATGGTCTGTAAGACACTTTGAAGTTGCAATAATAACATTTTTCACAAGAATGACCATATTGATAGAAATACAGATGCACATGATGGAAATGAGGAAACTTATTCATGGAAACAATAGATATACATATCCATGGACACCAAGACACACATTCTGATAAAACTTGGATACATATTCACAAAAACAAAGCTGATATCCATGACCCTCCTATATTTAATATTCCATGGAGAACACACATATACATATACTGTCCATGGCAAAAACATAAATAATATCCAGTGAAATTAATACACTTTGTTAAAAAGAGATAAAAAAAAATCATCACAAGACCAAAGGCACAACCTTTTTTTCTTTCACAAATTGCACAAAAGTGAACTTAAAACAGAAACATATGGTATATGATATGAATGTATAAAATACTTCAAGAAAAACATTGTGCTAAGGTCAACTTAGGCACTTTAACTGAGAACAAAATTCACAAAATTGTATACTTTCATTCAATGAAATCTACATGTTTTAAGTTCTTCATTTTAAATATGAAATTTACATTATTTTTTTTTCAAATTTCATTAAATATTCAATAATAACGGTTTCTTTTGTTTTCAAAGCTTTATAATCCATTCTATTAGTTACTGCATATTTAACCCTTTACCTCATATATACGCGAAACAATGCATTTTCTACCCCCCCCCCCCTTTTTTTAGGCCTGAAATAGTGAAAAAATGTCCTATTTGGGCCCCAAACACATGTTTTCGTTTGAGAAATGTTGCTTAAAAAAATGAGCACTTTTTCGGCGCCGCCCCCCATCCAAAAGATACATCAGGGGGTTGCCAGAAGGGGGATGTGCCCCCTTCTGTTTGGGGGGTTTGAAGGAGTTGGAGTCCCCCTCAATGCCAAGAAAATTTTGGAATTATGAGAGGCTTAAAATGACCCCAGGTCGATCATAAGGTAACGTGTAACCAACGCTGAAAAGCCTTTGACTCTATCTCAATCCCTTGAGAAGTTGCAGCATTTTGAAATAAATTTTGATGGAAAAAATCGAGGCAAAATAGTGATTTTTGGCAATTTTGAGATGTCCCCTCGTTGCCATGGTAACAGCAAATTTAAGACTGAGCATGTCGTTACAAAGGCAATGGTCCAGTCAACATTTGTGCCAAGTTTGATTAGTATTAAAGCATTTTTCATAGTTTGAACTTGTAAGAGGAGGCTTTTCAGTGAAAATGGCCATTTTTCACAATATGCTCATGGGGGAAAGGGTTAAAGGTTAATTTTACATTAAAAGATATAAAGAAATTTAAAATGCAATGAAACAGATTTTAGGCACTGTGTATAAGCTCTGAAAAACCTGACTGATATCATGAAACTGTAAACCAGTCAAATGGTGCAGTACTGTGACCATTGTGAATAAAAAAACACTCATCAAATTGAAAGCATGTTTGTCATTCAAAAACCCGATTTCCTTCAAGAGTTTCCAAAATACTCATTATTGGCTGGTCTCTAAAATGTAATACTTTTTAACATACAGCAAAATAAAAACCAATGTAAAAATACTGCTCTTCCATTGGTCAATTTGAACTAATAGATCAAAAATAACCAATCAGATGTTTTCAATTTTTGACTGGTATACAATTTCAACATTTACAAAATCAGATCACAGCCTGTTTTTTAGTAAATATTCAGTAAAATCTTGGGTGTAGAAAAGAAATAATAAATATAAGCACAGACAACAGGAAGTCACAACCACAGGTGTATATATCAGAAGGCATCTTGCAAGGCAAAGATGAAAAAAAATAGTATTCTGGGTAAAATGTAGAAAATATATTATCACAACCTAATTGACAAAGTCTTGCATAATATAAGTCTGAAATATTTAACAAGATAACTACAATGTATGTATAATTATAAGTCTGTACTATACTGGTATGAATTCTTTCACTCAATACCTTTATACTTATATTATAGATGTATAATAGTCTACCTTTGTACAGGAAAGTACATTTAATTTTAGCCAGGCTATTTTACCATATTAAATTTACATGTATATTAACGCTTGTTCAGCATTAAATTTAGAACTGTCTACTGTGAATGTGGAGGGGGGAGTTGTGATAGTAAAACGATAAAATATAGCAGCCATCAGTAGTCAGTTTAAACTTAACCACACTAAATATCTTAAATGGACTTGTCCATCTTTAAATCTGGATAAAACCATTTACTATAGTATAATTTATATCGAAATTTTTTTCAAAAAATGTACTGACTGAATAGTGAACAGTTCTGCACTGTTAGTATGGGTAGAATCATGACTGGCAAGCTGGTTAACTGCTAGACTTCATGGACAAAGAGGCTGGCCTTACTAATATACATGCATTCTGGTCCCTAGTAAGCACAAAGCTGACAAAGGCAAAACTTAATTAAGCAGTCTGTAAGGCATATAATTTCATCAATGGTAAATCTGTAATTTCGAGAAAATAAATTCACAGGTTGCACTGGTCCATGAATAGAAGTCTTTAAAGGAGCCAAAAATTCAGGGATAATACATCTTAAATATAAACATTTTGTGTCCACACATTTTGTAAAGTATATTATGTACACCACTTCTCCCATGCTTATGTATTTTCTTGACAAACTTATAATTGTTTGTATAAAATTTCTAATTTTTCAGAAGGTAAAAAGATAATGTCTTGAATATACTTCTAAAATATCTGAATATCTATGCAATAAAATTTTCTAAAATTGCTGGGTCCTATCTTTAAACACTTTTAACCTGTACAAAAGATGTCTACAAAATACCACAAAATTTGTATCTTGTATCAAAATAGAGAACAGAATTCCTAAAGAAAGCCCAACACTGCAAAATTGAAAATGCTGCAGGCTGGGTTTAATTGAAAAGCTTATCATTTTAGATTATTTTTGTTCTGAACGGCAACCTTTTAACAAATGCCAATTCTTGATTTCAAACAACTGTTCTCCTCAGACAGGTTTGCCTATATCTTCACAACTAAGCTAATAATTGACAGTTTTACACAAGTATCTTTGATACATATTTGTACTTAAAAATGGAACAAAAACATTGGTAACACAGGTACATGCTCCCTGGTGTGAATTTCACAACGTTAAGAACATACCATACTATGAGAAACAAAGGAAAATCTATTTTAAGAATCAGTGGCCTTGACTAAATGACCTGAAATCCAGTTGAACTGTGTAAGGGTGCAAATGGACCAAATATTTAAGATTTCTGTTAATAAATGAGGGTGCTATGAGAAAAGGTAAATAAGTAAGAGAGTAAGTAAGCAAGGAGGACAAACCGGCAACTATAAGCTTCATCAAAAATTTTGGGGAGACATAAAAAAAAAAACATCATAAAGAATCATGCAGATCTAGTCTTGAATAATTTCATAATGTAAATATACAAATATTTCAAGTAACATAAATATCACTAAAAACAAAAGACATTCTCTATTTTTGTTATAAATTGAACTTTGTCTCAATATTTTGGACAGTGTTTGTTTAATTTGTACCTTTTGTAAATGAATAATATGTAACACCTGAAGGTTAGTTTTAAAAAAAATCTACATATACAATGTATTAAATCCCCTTTTCAAGGTATTTAGAAATTTTCTTCATTACATATTATAATTTCTGGAAAAGAGAATTAAGTTATGATATAATGAAGAGTTCTGTTTTCACTCCGGTAATTTCTGTGTAAATAAATCAATCTGTCTATGGCATATAAAGATCTTCCACAATCTGTCACACTTTTGCTGAATTTGGTTGTTGCGATAATGATTTCACTGGCCGTTTTCCCGCCACTGACGTAAAAACAGGATCTCTGTATGCATATGATGAGTTACTATAATTTCCACCACTAGGTGGCGGCACTTCCTGTCTAGTCACATGATCTCTATTTGAGGTCAAGTTAGTTCTATTCACATTCATATTACCCCTTCGAATTTCATCATAGTCTGCATAATTTCGCCTTTCTCCTACAGAAACATTTTGTGGCGCTTGAATTCGATGAAACACTTGATAATTTCCGTTTGCATGGTGTGAGTTAACATTACGGTCATACTCATTAGTAGGAGTTTGACCCCTTTGATTACTAAAAGGGTACTGCTGTTGTTTATCATGTGATGGGGTGGGGCCTCGCGGAAGTATCCCTAACGTATGCTGCGGCTGATTTTGTTGATGATGTTGATTAGTCTGATGCTGATAATTCATATCAGTCAATGATGTTTGCCCCCGAGATGGGGGACGATAAAAATTACTATATTTAGATATATTTGAGTCACTAATGTGCCTGTTTCCCGGCTGCATGTCTCTGTAATCCTGATAATTACTGGTACCCTGAACGAAATCTGCTGATCCTAGTCTACTGTTTGGTCTGAAAAAAGAATACAAGACATTTAAATCATTATTCCATTTAAAAGGTACATTTAAATGCACATAAGCATAAAGAAATTGATTATAAATCTATCTGTATTCAAGTTTCACCTGTCTATTAACCATAAGTTGACTTTTGACCATTATCTTGCTTTACTTAAGCCTCTTAATTTAGAAAATGATTCAGTTATAAAATTGAGCTGCCAAGGGTATAGAGTGAGGTCACACTGCACAGATGTACAGGCAAGCCTAATTCTATACTGATTATATAAGCAATTCAACATCACTGCTAGTATTTATGTGTTTAGATATAATGCTGAAGAAAGATAAGGTAAAGATGGCCTCCTGGGTAGACACAAATCATCTGAAAGCCAAATGCATAAGCAAAAAACAATTTACATTTGGGTAAAATTCAAACCGTAACTGTAGCAGATAAGTGATTCACACGTCAACAAACCAAAATGACTTGGTAAATCACAATTATCTAGAGGCCTGCTGCTTTAATACTCAATGACAAAAGAATATAAGTACATTTTTTTCTTAACATCATGTACATGAAATGCTTACTGTTTTTTACTTCTGATGATTTTATAATAAGTCTATCAGCTCTACTTTGGACATATAATTATATTCATACTGACCTTTCATTCTGATTTCTACTTGAAGGTCGTGACCTCTGACCTTGCTGTTCTATTTGACTGGGAATTGCACTCTGCCCAAATTTCTGATAAAAGAAATAGTCTTGGTCACTAGTAAATCTGCTAGCCTGTACGGGTTAGAAAAAGCAGAGAGTATATATATATAAAGTTAGGTTAGATAGGAGGAGTTCTGGTTATATATACATGTAATATATTAGACAGGAAGTGGATGGTAAATATCTCAGAGCAAGTATGTGATCCACACACAGGCTAACTGCTGTTATATACATTGTATAGTTAAAGGAAGTCCAGGTTCAGAATACAATGTCGCCAACAAATTACAGTCTGTTATAAGTGATTAACGAAAGGGATGTGCAGACAGATCCGGCTATATTCTAGAGATATATTGTGTTGATTTATTATCACCAGACAGTATTGATGCACGAATTTCGAATTTCGTAAACAAACCCATCATATTTTAGCATCTTTTTTTTCTCCACAAAAACAAAACAACATGATTGTATCAATTAAACTAGAATAGTTAAAAGTCAAAATGAAAATACCAAAGGCAAATAATTTATCACTCGTATTTTTCACTATGAGATCTAGCCTCAAACATGCCACTATAAAATTTTTATTACATCTAAAACCACACTAGAAATTTAAATTCTAAGTTTGAATAGTATAAAGAAAAAGCCTTGACCTAACAACCTTTTTTAAGTATTTTTGTCAAGGAAACACAACCAAAAAGTAATGATGAATTAACTTTGATAAAGTTATAACTCAATAAAAATTTTAAGCAATGTACATGTATCATAAATTTTTATAAGTTAAGTTAGTTTGTCACTCGTTAAATACGTTCCCAGAACTAAGTGGCTCACAGCAAAATTACAATTCTCAACCACACAAGTTATTCATGTTAAAACATTTTTGGTTATTCAATTGTGTAAATTTATAGTGTAACCTGTTTTTCAAATGGGCGTATAAAAAAGTATTTATCAATCTATAAAAATGCACTTTCTCTGAATATGCTAATCAAAAATTGATGTATAATATGCACAGTAACTGCTTTTGAAACAAAAATATAGTTTCACTTTAATGGTTAACTGACTGTAATCACGTCTAATTGACTGTGAGCATGGTTTATTGACTGTAATACTGGTCTATTGACTGTACTTATGTTTTGACTGTAATAATGATTTTTTTATTCTAATAATAGTTTATTGAGTGTGATAATAGTTTTATGCAGTAATACCAGTAAACTGACTATACTTTGATTTTTTAATGTAATTCTAGTGTTTTGTGATAATGGTTTTTAACTGTAAAAATGGTTTAATGACTGTAATAGTAGTTTATTGACTGTAATAATGTTATGTTTACAAATATAATCACCAAATGAATTTCATTCTTTTTTCATAATTGTCTAGAAAATTGATTCAAACAAGTTCAGGTGGCGCTTTGTATTTCAAGTTTCAAGGGACCATGAATTTTCCTTTCAAAAAAATATATAATAATAATGAGCCATGTCACGACAAAACCAACATAGTGCGTTTGCGACCAGCATGGATCCAGACCAGCCTGCGCTTCCGCGCAGTCTGATCAGGATCCATGCTGTTCGCTATCAGTTTCTTTACTTGTAATAGGGTTTGTAAGCGAACAGTATGGATCCTGATCAGACTGCGCAGATGCGCAGGCTGGTCTGGATCCATGCTGGTCGCAAACCCATTATGTTGGTTTTGTCGTGACACGGTTCATATGTTAATACATTTTCATCACAATGTTAAGCAAACTATATAAAAATTGGATGAAAATAGTTAAAATAGCTTATCCTTCTATATGTACATACAATTAGCAAAATGAAAATATAACTATTATAAGCCATCAAGACAGATGTTCTATATTTAGCAACAAAATTTCTATTTAAAGCACATGCAAGCTATTTTTAGCATTACTATTTCTATTTTTAGCTAAAAGCATAAAACATGCAAATAATGTCACATTAAACAAAGCTGTATACAGTGAAAAGCAAAACAAAACAAGGAAGGGTAGTAAAAGCAGGATGGAAAATTAAATTTTTTGCACAGACTCAAGCAACAGCATGATAATATATAATGTAAATTAAAACTCATGAAATAAAAGATATTGTAAAGATGACTGTAATCAAGGCATTGACACATTAAAGCTAGTCACAACACTAAAATGGTGTTACTGTAACACATTAATCACTATATTGTAACAAAGATATTAGTCATACTAATGTATGCTCCATGATGTTGATGTCTTTACATACCCTTACTGTGATGAAAAGTAGCAAAATCTATTTTTAGCCAATAATCTATTTTTAGCCTATGTTTTTATTTTCAGCTTATGTGACCCTGAAACACCATCCAAAGGTCAAATTTTGATGAAAGGAAATAAAATACAGACTGTGACCCTCAGGAAGAAAACCTGCAACCTTATGATCTGGATGGAAAAATATCAGGGAGCCAAAAAAAAATCTTTTACAAATCACTTTAAAAATCATATAGGCATTTTTATACTCTTAGATATGACATGGAGCAATCAAATATTAATTCTTTCCAAAGACGAAAAAACAACACAAAAAGTGCCAAAGTTTGATTAGTTTCCCCAAGCTTTGGATTGATTAAACATATCTGAGAAAATAACGCACCCTCTTCTCCTCCTCTTGTATCATACGTTCGTATTCTTCTTCTTTATCTTCCTGTGGGTAATGCCCTTGTCTCGCCTGGTGCCGACGCTGATGGTCCGCACGTAACTGCTGAATACGCTCCGCACGTGACACTGCATTATCTGTTGATCATGAGAAGTTAAACATTTTTTGGAAAGAAATAAAAATACATTTGCCACTTTTCACATAACAATGATATAACTTGTCAAAAATAGAATAAGTTTTTTTTACTTTTGTTTCTTTTGCTCTTACTTCAGAAACATCATTAAATACTTTTTCTTTTTCACCTAATTCAACATTTATTTTAGCCTATAATTTCTTAAACATTTACATTGTTGCAAGATACTAATGGCATATATTTAGCTTTTTTAAATGCATGACTCAGCTTTTTTTTAATAACTCAACATCTCAGGAAAGAATTGCTGCTTAGGACAATGTTTTCATGTAAAAGAACAATTTATGGAAATATTGTTCTTTTCCTATAACTGATTTTCTACATGTATACCTCTGTGAAGGTCAGAGCCACTGGTCACTGGTGCCGAGTGTCCCATACTATGGGGTTCCGGAGGATTGAACGCATGACCTTGAGATAGAGGCTGGTCCTGTTGGTTCATCTGCCGGGCTTTCTGTTGCTCCTGTAAATATCTGTACTCATGTTGTGCCCTATAGTAAAATATTGATAACAGGTTATTGCCCGCTATTTGGAAATCACATACTTAATTTGCTAGAACCAAGGACTAGTGGTAATTTTTTAAAGTATATTTTTATCATGTTAGTCTTTTAATAAAATAATTTATAAGAGGATACAATATCTACTCTTTATCAGCTATATAAATATCTCACCTTTCCTGCTCGGCCTGTGCCTGCCTCCATCTCTGTTCCTCATGCTCTATGTGTTCTCTATGAGCGCGAGTCTCTCCATCGGGGTTGTCCTTGTGGTCTCCAGACTTTGACCCTTTACCCAGCTCATCTACTGGAGTCTTCCTTCCCTTGCCAAACCTATCAACAACAATGATTGTATCTTAAATTCATGTTAAACATGTATTTCCAAAATATGCCTGATTTTCATTCTACTTTCTTAAATTTTCCTCGAAAAAGAAGTCCACATAATTAACAGTGTATAAATTATTATAAAACAAGAGATGTTTGTAATAAGTGCACTTGACTATTCTCAATATCTATAGGTCTTTGAAAACTTAAAATACTTTGTAAGCCCAAGAAAGGAAAATGATAATGACAACTCTCCCTTTATATAATTATAATCAATGTTACAACACTTACTTGAAAAAGCCTTTCAAAAGGCCACCTGATTTCCGTGCATCTTTATTTTTCTTCCCCCCTTTCTTTTTACCATCTTCAGTGAACACTTCACTAGTGGATGACCTTGCTGAATTAATGGGGTCACGACCTATTGACCCACCTTCACTACCTTCTTCTTCCACTGTAAATGTCAATGTGATATTTATATAAAATATATTTTTGGTTATTGTAAAATAATATAATAATAAAATAAGCAGTATAATAAAAATAACACAAAGAATATCTATATACTATGATTTGTCTTTAATTACATGAGCAATTAAATTGTATAATATAACCATGACCAGGCTTATCAGGACCTTTGACCACTAAGTAAAGGTCCTGTTTAGTAGGAACAGTCAGACAGTGGATTTTAGTGCAGGTACAACTTAGCTGCTCTTAACCTGTATACTTTGAAATAAAGAGTGGGGGGGGGGCTTATGTAACAATTGTCTTGTATATAAATGAGAAACAATGGCAGAACAGTAAATTTTTACTTCAACACGTTCATGTGATTTTTCTTTACTTTTAAATACTTTCTTTATCCTTATATAAACTGCCTTTTTACTTGATAAAAAAAAAAAAAAAAAAAACACATTCATTTGCATGAAGTTATGCTGAGATAGTAGCTAGATACTGGCTTCAGGCTATAAAATCACTTCATAAATACATATATCAAAGCAAATTTTCTGGTCATGTAATTAAAGACAAATCATTGAACAAGTCAAATATCATCCAATTCTGTAAAACAATCTAACTCAAAATTAACAAATTCTTCCCTATCTACACATATAGATGGAAAACAGATGAAGATCCATTTAAAATTGATGAAAATCAGAAATTTCCACATTTGTATCAATTCTACTAATAGACAAAACTAAATACTAGACAAAATTGTTATCTGAAAAGCATTTTAAAAAGATATTGAAATAAAATCTTAAAATATCATAGATAATTATACATTAGAATAATCATATATCTTACATACTGTTACCTTTTGTTGTTAATTCATTAATATTTGTTAAAATCCAGGTGCATTATTAAATGAAAACATGTTCATCTGTGCCATTTTATCAGTCAAAATCCCCAAACTTATTTCTTCAACAAATACTTTTTTATCCAATTTAATTAAGTTTGCATTCTGCTAGCAAGTATTTCTAATCACAATAATTTAAATAATGTGAGAGCAGAAATGAGCATGTTTTCATAATTAATAACTGTAGATAACTGTAGTGCATCCTAAATCTAACTTAATATTCATAAAGCACTGTACCATATTTGACCTTCAGAATATGGGTCAAGGTCACACATGTAGAAAATATTAATGTGCATGTTCATAGGACAATTTTCAGACTGTAATTCAGATTTAACCAATGAATCTACATATTTTCAGACTGTATTCTTGGTATAACATTTCAATAATGAAGTTTTTAAAACATTTTATAACAAATGTTGCTATGCTACATTATAGCTTCAATACAAACAGATAGTTACAAAAAATCTGCAGTTATTTAATCAACTATGGTACAGGTATTACTTTCATGATTACTGTAACAGAAAAAAGAAGAACATGTTATTCATTTTGTCCGCTCTTCAAAGAATCTTATTTCTAGATTATCAATGGTGCACCCTCCATCAAAATATCTTGTATTCGTAACAGTGAGTAAACTATAGGCATATCACGAAATAATGATTCTCTCTCCATGACTAATACGTAATAATTGTTTCTGTTATTAATTTACTGGAATTCTATCATCTTTCTGTTCTTTACTGTGAGGACTATAATTGTCTTTCTGTCCAGTGATATAACTGCACAATTTTAGGCCTTTAAACTTATGTATGAGCTTATGATGAATTTATAACAAATGTTTGTGAATTTTTCACTTTCTGTTCTTTCTATGACTTTGTTAGGATTTTTTTTTTTGCATGATCTTTTTTAAAAAATGTAAAATAAATATCAAGTGCTAGCTCAGCATTTAAAAGTTGTTTTCTTTTTTTTTTTTAAATATAGAAATTTACAAAATTGAAGGTAATAAAAATAATGTTGTAGGAAATTCTAGATTTGACCTCATCCTTATTAAGTTACCATTTTTGTTCATGTTTTTTTAATGTCTTGGAGAGATGTCTGCTTCATAAGAACTCAATGGGTGCTTTTGGTGTTTTTTGTTGTTGGTTTTTTTCTTCTTCCCCCCCCCATAAGATGGTAAATATTATCATCAAGACATCTCCATCAACAAAATATCAAAAGGTAGTTTTATAATGTGTAAAAACAAATGCTCAAAGTTTTGAATAATAGTCACTTAAAGATTGCTTTAAAAAGTTTTTTTAACTTTTTTTCCAATTAAAAAACAATTACAAACAGAAATTAAAATATTTTAAAAGAAAAAGGGACACAACTTAGTCATTCATTCATGCAAACTTGACAATTATGGGTAATTCACAAAAATATAAACTAGCAAATTGACATGCGTTTATCTTCTGTTATCATCATCAAAATATGCTAATTCTAAATCAACAACCATGCTTGACTGAACAAATAAACTTAACATTTCAATATTCAGACAAAAAAAAATTATCTTGATTTCATCCTTGCAATAATTTACATGTATTTCATTAAAATTTAAAATCTGTGAGGGCATTTAAAAGGGTTGCTTATGTTTAATGAAAATAACACATAGAAAATCTAGCTGTTTTTACCGTATATGTTATAATATACAACCATTTTACAATGAAATTTAAAATGCATGAATTTCAACATCAGACATTCACATTCTCAAAATGTTGTTAAGTGGTTTGATCATTTTTGGGGGCTATTGGAGTCTCAGTTAAAATATGACATTTAACTCCCAAAGTAGACTAACAAAATGTTATTATATAACTTCAAGTATATTATTATGTCTGAATACTGAGATTTAAGAAAATATTAAATGTCTTTTTTTGATAGTCCATTCATCCATATTTTTTGCTATTTTTTTCTTTTATTTTTATAAAAATCATTTGAAACAGTTGATAAGATGATTGCTTCATACATCATGAGATGGCATCAAAATATTATCATCAACCAAGAAACTGTGATCAAGAAATATTTAGGCCTTGCACAAACAATTATAAAATCTGTAGGCCTACCATTCTCTGTACTGATGCAAGGCTTCCATTAAGATTCTAAATTTGGAAGTCTGAGACTACAAAATGTCTGACAGTGGAAGTCACATTGTATAGGTAAAGAAGTAAAAGAGTTATATTTTGGAAGTTACAAGTCAAAATCAGGAGCAAATGACTCCCAAACTTCCATTAAAAGAAGGCTCAATGAGCCTAGTTTAAAATTGTGAAAAAATCATTTTGAATTAGATGAGCCACTCTCAAATTTGCTTCCTGGAACAAACCAGTACTAGTGACACATGTGGAAACATGGTAGTGACCCAAATCGGGCTTAATCGTTGACAGGTGGATACCTAAATTACTAGGCCACTACCCTATACTGGCCTTATTGTGCAAACTTTAAATAACAATACTGTTTGCAAATTCAAGTTAAACTTAGGCAATTTATCAAAAAGTCAACAATCAAAGTTTAAAAATGTAAACAAGCAAATTTAAGTGCTTACTTTTCTGAATAAATGGACTACCACACCTACACTAAACAATTTTAATGCAACTTAAAATAATTAACTGTTAAAAAACTGAAAAATAAACAATGTGAGAACAGAACTGAACGGAACAGAGTTATGTGAGAACAGAACTTGAACTGAACTGAACTTAGTTTGACCCGGTCATGGGTACCTTGGGAGAGACGAAATATATGATCAAGCGACTTGCATATTACACCATGCCGTAATTGAATAGAAGAGAGGGAGCGCATTATATTACCAGAATGTGTTCTCCGTAAAGCAGTTGTTGGTACATTTGGTTCTCCATCATCTGATTGGTCGAAAAATCATAAATGTTTAATAAATGGGATATGTCTTACTCATGCTTAATCTATTATGATTATAAATTTATGAATATTTAAATTCAAACACTGAAAGAATCCGGCTTAAGTAGCAATTTTAACTCTCCATCTAAAATAACACAATGATACAGAACAATGATCCAGGGGGATTTGAATAATTAACAAAGTTGTTGTAACGGGTTGTATCTATAGAAATAAAGGTACATGTACACGGATATATTTTATATATTTCTATATAAATATTTTTAAAAAAATCAATAAATTAGGCATAAAAGGTCATCATCATGAGTAGTTTCAATGTTTTAGTCAACTTTTAATCAATTATGTAAATGTACCTAACCCTTACTATAACGGTTACAATGAACTGTACATTGAAGATGTAGTGAATTAAACTTAAAATGGTTTCAAATATAACATAAACATGATCTAGAATTTAAGGGGTTTTTTTTTGTTTTCTTTTTTGGTTGGGTTTTACTTCGCACCAACACAGTATTTGTCATATGGCGACTTTCCACTTTAACTAGTGGAGGAAGTTTCAAAACTGGCACCTGAATAGAATTAAAGTAAATGGTGCTAGGCATGGACCTTATGTCACAGCTATTATGGCTCATGGCAAATATCCAAACAGCTGACTACATCATCAAAGCTTGGAAGAATGTATAGCAAATTTTTCCATTTTGATCAAATATAAACCGAATCTTAACACCAACTCAAATTCTGAAGCAAATAATTATCTGAATAATCAAAACTTACAGGGATCCATTTCAAGTTTTGGAACTGGGTCGTACGATCGGTCCACAGCTGCCCTGAAACTCTCGTTCCCACCCCGTCTCCGCGCCATACGTGGCAGCCAGCTACCTCATCTCATTTATTCATTCATGAAACTTGCCAGTATTATTCCCCCCCCCCATGTTCAGGTCAGGGTCGGGGCCATTGTAGAGAGGGTTCTCCAGGGAGCTAAACCTCTTCAGATTGGTCGGGGGAGCAGGGCCTCGAATGTTAGCTGAAAATATTTGTAATGAAAGATGAAATTTTCTTTAATCAAATGACATTGCAGGAAAGCTATTTAAATGTGTTAAATTTAAGTTACTCATAATATTAATGCATTAGCAAACTAAATTATTGTACAGTTGAGTTCATACTTCAAATATAGGTTGGTAGGTCAAAATTGAGATAAAGAGAATTGAATTTAAAACTCTATTGTTGCATGTAATAAAAAAAAACAACAAAAAAACAAACTATGAATAAATAATTTTGTAGAAAATTTACCACTTGATTGAAAATCTTCATCCTAAATCTAGACATTGTAGACTTACTTACAAATTCAATTATTAATCAAGATTTTTTGAAAAATTATAATTACTTGTAAAACAAGATATGTTTGTAAAACATGTATGCCCCCTATCAGCAGCCAATTATTCATGTGATAAGGTAATTATGCATGACTTCTGACCCAGTGATCAAACAATTAATAAGGGTTATCAAGTATCTACTGGTCATGACCTTGACCTTTGACCCCTTTGACCCAAAAACTCAATAGGGGTCATCTGCTGGTCAAGACAAATCATCATACAAAGTTTGAAGTTCCTAGCCTAAGCGTTTTTACTTAATTGATCAGAAACCGTTTTTACTTACAAGGTCAATGTGACCTTGACCTTTGACCCCTTGACCCCAAAATCAATAGGGGTCATTTGCTGGTCATGACTAATCACCATGCCAAGTTTGAAGTTCCTAGGGCCTAAGGGTTCTTTTATTAATGATCTGAAACCTTTTTAACATACAAGGTCAATGTGACCTTGACCTTTTGACCCCAAAATCAATAGGGGTCATCTGCTGATCATGACCAATCACTATGCCAAGTTTGAAGTTCCTAGGCCAAGTGTTCTTTAGTTATTGATCAGGAACCGTTTTTACTTACAAGGTCAATGGGACCTTGACCTTTGACCCCTTGATCCCAAAATCGAAAGGGTAATCTGCTGGTCATGAAAAAAATCACCATACCAAGTTTTGAAGTTCCTAGGCCTAAGCGTTCTTAAGTTATTGATCAGAAACCGTTTTTACTTACAAGGTCGATGTGACCTTGACCTTTGACCCCTTGACCCAAAAAACTCAATAGGGGTCATCTGCTGGTCACCACCAATCATCATTACAAAGTTTGAAGTTCCTAGGCCTAAGCGTTTTTAGTTAATTGATCAGAAACCGTTTTTACCTACAAGGTCAATGTTACATGACCTTTGACCCCTTGACCCTAAAAACAATAGGTCATCTGCTGGTCATGACCAATCACCATACCAAGTTTGAAGTTCCTAGGCCTAAGGGTTCTTAAGTTATTGATCGGAAAGCATTTTTTACCTACAAGGTCAATGTGACCTTTCCCTTTGACCCTTAACCCCAAAATCAGTAGGGTCATCTGCTGGTCATGACCAATCACCATACCAGGTTTGAAGTTCCTAGGCCTAAGGGTTCTTTAGTTATTGATCGAAACTGCTTTTACCTAAGAGGTCAATGTGACCTTGACCTTTTGACCCCTTGACCCCAAAATCAATAGGGGTCATCTACTGATCATGACCAATCACCATACCAAGTTTTGAAGTTCCTAGGCCTAAGGGTTCTTTATTTATTGATCCGAAACTGTTTTTACCTAAGAGGTCAATGTGACCTTGACCTTTGACCCCTTGACCCCAAAATCAATAGGGGGTCATCTACTGATCATGACCAATCACCATATCAAGTTTGTAGTCCCTAGGCCTAAGGGTTCTTTCGTTATTGATCGGAAACCGTTTTTACCTACAAGGTCAATGTGACCTTGACCTTTAACCCCTTAACTCCAAAATCAATAGGGGTCATCTACTGATCATGACCAATCACCATACCAAGTTTGAAGTTCCTAGGCCTAAGGGTTCTTTTGTTATTGATCGGAAACCGTTTTTACCCAAGAGGTCAATGTGACCTTGACCTTTGACCCCTTGACCCCAAAATCGTTAGGGGTCATCTACTGATCATGACAAATCACCATACCAAGTTTGAAGTTCCTAGGCCTTAGGGTTCTTTACTTATTGATCGGAAACCGTTTTTGCTTACAAGGTCAATGTGACCTTGACCTTTGACCCCTTGACCCCAAAATCAATAGGGGTCATCTACTGATCATGACAAATCACCATACCAAGTCTGAAGTTCCTAGGCCTTAAGGTTCTTTAGTTATTGATCGGAAACCGTTTTTGCTTACAAGGTCAATGTGACCTTGACCTTTGATCCCTTGACCCCAAAATCAATAGGGGTCATCTACTGATCATGACAAATCACCATACCAAGTTTGAAGTTCCTAGGCCTTAAGGTTCTTTAGTTATTGATCGGAAACCGTTTTTGCTTACAAGGTCAATGTGACCTTGACCTTTGACCCCTTGACCCCAAAATCAATAGGGGTCATCTACTTGTCATGACCAATCACCATACCAAGTTTGAAGTTCCTAGGCCTAAGGGTTCTTTAGTTATCACTCAGAAACCATTTGGTCTACGGACCGACGGACCGACAGACCGACGGACCGACAAGTGCAAAGCAATATACCCCCTTTTTTTCAAAAGGGGGCATAATTAAATGTAGTATTAATATAAACAAAATGTGTCTATTTCAAATTTAAATGTGCTAAGTTACATGAGAAAAAAAACATCAATGTTTCACAATATGAGAACAAAGTGCCTACAAAAATATTATTAAAAAATAAGTGTGTATGACAACCTTGATTACTTTGTATTCAAAATTTTGAGTTTTCACTCAAAATGGCATCACAATGACAGGGAGAATATGTTTTAAACTCAAAATTCTATAACTTGTAACATATGATATGATTAAGAACTGAAACATTTTTAACTATCTAGTTAAGTTTTACAATTTTACATTTAAGCAATATAATAGAAGTTCAATTGTTGTAATGGTATATTAAGGTAGATCTATACAAGATTATCATGGTGTTCATAGAAAATGTGTTTGCTATGTAAATATATGACAATTCAAATAACAACATATTATATCGTAGATCTATTTATAAATGATATAAACTAGAACTGCCACTATCATGGCGTGAATACCCCCGCATTCCACTTTGTCAGAATCAACAGTGGCCATTTAGAACTCAAGGACAACCTCCCTGCCAAATCTGAGGTTACTTAGCCAGTGCATTGCTAAGTTATGTATTCTACATGCTTCAAATGTGAAAATGTCAAAATCAAATCATTCTGGACAGGCATTCTGAAGCAATTGAGGGGAAAAGCTTTATTTTGACAAGGTCCCTGTGACCTTGACCTTTGACCCAGTGACCTCAAAATCAATACGGATCATTTACTAATCAAGACTAACCTCCATGCCAAATATGAAGACTGTGGGTCATAGAAACCTTAAGTTATTGGGCGGACAAGCTTTTTGAAGTCAAGGCCCCTGTGACCTTGACCTTTGACCTCAAAATCAATAGGGGTCATCTTCTAATCATGACTAACCTCCATGCCAAATATGAAGACTGTGGGTCAAAGGAATCTTAAGTTATTGGGCGGACAAGCTTTTTGAAGTCAAGGCCCCTGTGGCCTTGGCCTTTGGCCTGGTGACCTCAAAATCGATAGGGGTCATCTATTAATCACGACTAACCTCCATGCCAAATATGAAGACTGTTGGTCATAGGAATCTTTAGTTATTGGGCGGACAAGCTTTTTGAAGTCAAGGCCCCTGTGACCTTGACCTTTGACCCCGTGACCTCAAAATCGATAGGGGTCATCTACTTATCACGACTAACCTCCATGCCAAATATGAAGACTGTGGGTCATAGGAATCTTAAGTTATTGGGCGGACAAGCTTTTGATGTCAAGGCCCCTGTGACCTTGACCTTTGACCTGGTGACCTCAAAATTGATAGGGGTCATCTACTTATCATGACTAACCTCCATGTCAAATATGAAGACTGTGGGTCAAAGGAATCTTAAGTTATTGGGCGGACAAATTTTTTGAAGTCAAGGCACCTGTGACCTTGACCTTTGACCTCAAAATCAATAGGGGTCATCTACTTATCATGACTAACCTCCATGCCAAATATGAAGACTGTGGGTCAAAGGAATCTTAAGTTACTGGGCGGACAAGATTTTTGAAGTCAAGGCCCCTGTGACCTTGACCTTTGACCTGGTGACCTCAAAATCAATAGGGGTCATCTACTAATCACGACTAACCTCCATGCCAAATATGAAGACTGTGGGTCAAAGGAATCTTTAGTTATTGGGCGGACAAGAAAAAAGCGACGGACGCCGGACGGCCAGACAGACAATCTGATTCCAGTATACCCCCCTTACAACTTTGTTGTGCGGGGGTATAAAGATGATATGAGTCAAGTTCTAACTAAATCCCTTCACCATCAATGATGTCACGTACATGCTGACATATTAAGCTTTATAACACCAACATAATTATATGCATATTTAATTGTAATACAATTTACTATCTAGATGTCTAAAAAAGGAAGTCTGAAGGACCACTATATCCCTGCTGCAGTTGACTTAAATCATCACTTTAATGCAGTAACTGGGTAATCCCTATTATGACTTTATAGGAGTTCACCCATTATTGCACTAAGACGATCATACGTTGATTTCTTTAGGCTTTTTAGAGTCTGTCTGAGGCATTTTAACATGAATCAGGCTGTTTTGCTTTGAAAAATTTAAGCTTAATTTATCACAACATTTTGTATTTCAATCATATCCTGACTGAGAGGCCTGTAACCCGACTTAAAACCCAGGAATAATTGGGTCAAGTCCTATAATATCCCTTTAATCATTACAACAGTTCTAGCAATTAAGGAAAAAGGGTTAAAAGTGAATAAATTCAGCTTTAAAGGTGGTTTCAAAATTTTATTTGCATATCTTTAACATATCTTGCTCAGGGTAGTTTACTAAATTTCTCATCTGAACCAATAACCTACAGCACAAAATCTGAACCTATCACCAATCGCCCCTTTCTATTCTTTACTTTTAGTTTTCTAAAGCAGAATTAAGCCTCGACTTGCATGGAAAATCCATAACATACTGATTTATTAAATCAAATATTTTGTGATATTTTCTATGGTAGAATATGAGATCATGAATGTGAAAATCAAGGAAGTTAAAATGGCAAAAATGATATAAAAATGACAACATTTAACATATTATATCACTAAGATAAAAACTAAGATAAATAATTAAAGTAAACTTTACCCCATTTTATAACTGAAATGTTAAAACAACAAGGAAATACTGTCTACAAAATGCACTGGTCATAATTCTTTAATTAAAACGTTTTATAACACTTTGTAGGAAGAAAATAGTTTCCTCAAATGTCCTCTTTATGAACATATCAATAGAACATAAAGCTATATTAAAAAATAAAAATATTTATAATCCTCATTCAAAGATTATTGAAAAACTATGCCATAAAAGTATGCATGTATACTTTAAAAATCTTTTGACCAATGCATTTTATCTCGTAACATATAAAAAAATCTAAAACCATGCATGCATTAAAGTTTGTTACTACAGTTATGACATCAACCAGTTACTACGACAACAACAAGGTTTTGGGGTTCAAGCCTTCATACATACACAAGCCATATTTTTCATGCACAAGAGCTCGGGGACTATTTATGTTGCTGTTTGAGCGACTGAGCAGAGAGTCCGCGGAGCCGGCTCGTACCAGTCGACCGTAACTTCCACTTTGCTGGATGGACCGCTGTAAGCCTGGTGATTCAAACGTGATATTTACAGATAAAATTAAATGATGGTAAATGCTTCTCTATTCTAAAGGTGAAAATTATGTTAATGATAACATTAAGTAATATTGATGTCATTGTTTTTTTTTTAAATAATGCATTGGTGATGATGATGATGATTATAATGATGATGATGATGATGATATATGGTGATGATGATATTGATGAAAATGGTGATGATAATGATATATGATGATGATAACCATACAACATTGGTAACAATGATTGTGTTTTTGGATAATTATGTTGATTATAATTATAATGATGATAAAAAGGAGGATAATGATTACCTCGATAAGGACATGATGATGATGATGATGATGATGATTCATTGTAATAATTATGATGACTTTGAAATATTTTGCAGAAACAATCTCTTTTATGATTATTTTTAGAGGGAGACTATCATGCTCAGTTTGATCAAAGTAACTGCAAATACCATATTTATTCCTTTAAAACCACCCTTCCTCTATACCATTTGACAAATTCCTGATAACAACTTTTTCTTTTATCGTATATTAATGAACAAGCCCCTATATTACATTGTGATAGAATAAAATCTATTTTTTATTTATTTATCTAGTCATGACATCACTTAAAGAATTTGCCACTAACCCAAATCCCAAATTTGATACCCATTAAATCTATTATGTTTACAATAATTAAAGCAAAAATACAATAGCCTAGATTTGTAAAGGATAGGGTGTGTTTATTGGAATAAATACGGAGTACAAACTAAAATATGGATGCAGGCACAGTCATGACAATGCAGTCATATAAAGAAAGATGAGTGAAATGAAATAAATTATAAAGCATTCTTTAAGCAAGTTAATTATAACACTTTCTTGACAGGACAGAAACTGGCTGTGTTTTTTGTTTGTTGTTTTTTTTGTTGTTGTTTTTTTTTTAAAACTCAAAACGTTTAATTTTAACTCAAAATGATGTTGTCAGTTAAAAGTTAACACAGTTTTGCGTCATTTTTTTGTTGTTCTTTCTATTCAAACTAGTGGACGGTCAAAACTGCTTTTATTAAATTGTTCGTTAAGTTAACACGGTTGCAGGAAAATACATTGTCATTTTTTTGTTGTTGTTCAAAATAGCATTTATCGAACATAAAGACTAAAAAAAAACTTTTAAAACAGCCAATTTCTTTCTTATACTTAAAACACACATATTTGTCTAACTACCATCAAAAAAATGATTTTGTTGTTAATAACGCACAGAACTGAAATTAAAGGCATTTTTTATCTGATCATTTTCTCGTGACAAAAACCCGGCTATTTCTAGATAATTCTTGCCACTGAGAAAATGACAAATATTTCAAGCTACCTGTGTGAAATGATTTAGACCTCTGTACCGATGTAATCATACTGTCTGTGAATGCATGGTCAAAAAATATTCATAGTAATTCTTTAAATAAATTTAATAATAATATATACAAGTATATATATACATATAAGAGAGAGAATTTAAGTTACATATTGACCTTTACAATTGTATCAGCAATAAAGCATACATGCTATAAATTATTCCAAATGCTTCTTTAATATCCCTGATCATTGTCATGGGGGTGTATTTAGGGGGGTGGGGGTGTATTTAGGGGGGGTGGGGGTGCGGCAAGAGACAGTAAAAGGCTGTCTTTTGGGAATGGGATTTCCAGGTTTTTGGGCAGTTAGTTAGTTATAACACTGGTATATCTTTCTTGATTTTTTTCCTTCAACTTGTTAACCATCAGTTTAGAGCTATTAAAGTAACTTAAATCCATTGATAATTATGGGCCTTAACCACCAATTCAGGCCCATATAGCCTATAACAGGCCCAGATAAGACTGTAAGTTATGTAATCTGACCTGTATATTAATTGTTAGTAAATTGATAATTGAGACCTCCACATGGCACAATGATAATATCATCTAAAATATATTTAGATAAATTATTGTTATCTCAAACTTTTTTTGGCATATTTGTCCAACCAGTACTGCCAAAACATAGATATAAATGAAAACCTATTCATTTATACTACACTTTGACAAGTTTTATTTTTTTACTTTCCTTTTACAAGGCAAGGATGGATTTTATACATTTTATGCATTCGTATACATGGAGTTAACAGTGTACTTGATTGATGCATATTTTTAGTGCATGTGTACCAAGGACAAGAATGTGCATTAGAGCATTAGAATTATCTTTATATACAAATATAGCTTTATATCTATTACAGTTATGCATGTCATGCAGAAAATTATATCCCAGATATTTCATTTTTAAAGGCAGCAGTGTCAGCAATTTTAGTTGTTACCCATGGTTGTATAATTAAGTAAGTATTGCTCTGTGGTTTCCATATACATATATAATGATTATATTAGTGCATGATATCATAATATAGACCCTTTAAGGAGTAAAGTATATAGGGGAAAAATAATAAATTACATGGGTTTAATAAACATATTCATAGTAAATGATCAGAATATGCACGGAAAGGACCTTTAAGGCATATAATATTGAATATGTTTAAATAATTATTGTTTAGATGTGGTCGGCACATTATGAACTTTAATCATTGACTCAGCATAAAATAGTTAAATATCATTCTTTATAATGTTACCAGTTTCATGCTGACACAATGAGTTGAAGTTTTACCACAGTGCCGCCATAAAAATTTTACGCAAAAGTACCATACCTTTATTAAGTTCTTTCAGTCCCCTGACTTTCTGATAGATCTCGCTGCTCCGTGGATCACCGTGACCTTTACGTTTCTCAGACATACTCTGTCTGCCAAAACCATCTCGGCTAAAACCATCTGGCCCTGGACTCCTTAAAATAACATATAGGGAAATATAAACTTACAAATCTTTAATACAATTACATTGAAACAAACAATGACCTACTTTGTTCATATTTCAAATAAACATAATTGGGACATAATTATTTCTCTATATTCTAGACAATAAAAACTTTCTGGTACTTCATTTTCTGGTCCACTTAACTACATCAATGAATGAAATACTTGACTGATTTAAAAGCTTACAGTTCACTTTCTTCGCTGGTTTGACTAGCATGCCGGGTCCAGTCTGGGCCTTTTATCCAGGCTGGTTCCTTGTTCGCATCTTCAGAGCTGGAGCTGTTTGACCTTGACAACGGCCTTCGCTCTATACCGAGGGTAGAGTGTGGTCTCGGTCGCTGTAAATATGTTATTTTAACAAAATCAAATTTTAGTATCAGAAAGTACACTGTGTAACAACAAGAGCGATCAGTAATCACATGTGTCGCCTCATGATGGCCAATTTCATGTTGGGACAAATTTTGTGACAGACGGACAGACAGACGGACAGTGCACAACTAGACTAACCACTTTGTACTGATAATTCCTGTAAAGTTTGGATGAAATTGCACCAGTAGTTTATGAGGAGTAGTCCGGACAAGCTTTTGTGTATCTGGCAACACACAGAAAAAGAAACCTTTTTATCAAAGGGCCATAACTCGGCCAAAAATCATTCAACCGGAAAACCCTTGCAATATGCGCAAGGACTTGAGCTACAGATCAATCCTGTAAAGTTTCATTGAAATTGCATTAGTGGTATAAGAGAAGTAGTCCGGACAAACTTTAAAATTAAAAATTATTAAAGGGCCATAACTCTGACAAAAATCATTGAACCGGAAAATCCTGACAATATGCACAACTAGACTTGGTACTGATCATTCCTGTAATGTTTGGATGAAATTGCACCAGTAGTTTATGAGGAGAAGTCCGGACAAGTTTTGTGACGGACGGACGGACAGACGTACCAAAATTTGATGTTTATGAGGCAAATGAGCTCATAAACACCACCTGGACCAACGTCCATAAGCAAAATAAGCTCATAAAAACAAAAAATAGCTCTTAATTTTAAATTTTATGAGTTTATGTTCTTTATTTAACTACGGAATGAAGCTCATAATAATCAAATGTTGGCTCAGACAGACAGACGGACAGACAGACGACGGAGAAGTGATCCCTATATGTCGCCACTACTCCGTAGAGGCGACACAAAAAAGTATTTTTTTTATTTTACTGGTTGTGATGCCAGAAAAGATCAATGAAGCTTTCCAGCTGAACCAGGTAGCCTTTTAATGCATGTTATAATGTGGCGGCAAAATTTAAGGACTATCAAACACCTATAGTCTGTCCTCATAAGAAATCCCATTCACTGTTCATATAAATTAATAAGAAACATGATGCATTCTGCCAGCATATGCTAGTATTACATCAATAATACTTTTATCAATTACTACAAAAACAAATAAAAATCTTTCAAAAACCTAAACAACAATTTACCTGCTTTGACAGGTCAATGAGATTTCCTTTGTTACGATAAGGTTCCGGACTTTCTGCGTAACTTTCATGAGTCGCTCTAGTGTAAGATTCATTTCTAAGTCCATTCCCTGCCATAATCCGATCCAGAAACAGGTTTGGAGACTTGAAATTACTTGGTATGTCTCCATTTTTAAATTTATCCGGAGTTTTATTTGCGTCTCCAAACATTGGATCACTTGTGTCCATTGAATCATTGTTATTCAGTTCTTTCTCTCCGCTCACCCATTCCGCCTCTTCAGAGCCCGGGGAGGTGAACGGGGAGGGCGAAGGTGCCCCGATTCTTCGGGCGACCTTAATGTTTATACATCCAGGTACGGGTCCTTCTACTTGCATAGCATTGCGTAATATGTCCATGGCCTCGGTGTTTGAATGTTGTATAAGGGAGGCACTGTTCACTTCTAAAAGTTGATCGTTAACTTGTAAACGACCGTCCTGAAAATAATGAACATTCAGACATAAGAAATGATCATTCAAATTATACCTGAACATCATTTGTTTGTGAAAACAACATCCATATTAATAACTCCACCCAAACAATAGTGCAAAAGGTGCAACAAATGTCCTACATTAAGTATTTCCTGTATCTCTCATTAAAAGAGGAGAATATTTAATTACCGGTATATATATTTCTAAACTAAGAAAGGTAACACTTAAATTACATAATGTTAAAAAGAAAATTCACATTATTATCAATTTTTTTTTAACTGGTTCAAAACTTATAATATACCTACTCATATTATGAAATTGTCAAAAAAAGAGCAGGATATTCCCATTTCTACTTAAATATTTCTAAATAAAATAAAATTACTACACTAGCAAACCTTGATAACTATTTTGAGGGTTTTTTTTATTTTTTTATTTTTTTTTTTAAATCTTGCTTTTTCACTGGTTTAGTATCTATTATTTTTTTAACATGAAGTGTGCTTTCCAAATTCTTAACCAGTACTGACCATTTACCAGCCTTTCTGTATAAAATTCTTTTGATATAAAAGTAAAAGATTTCATTATCAGCATTATTATCTCAGAAAAACTTGTTGATATGAGATCAGAAGATCTTACATTGCTCCTAATAAAGCAAACCTGGTATGCAAATTATTTCCCTTTAATAGTCATCTCCCTTTCAAAAATGAACAGAAATGGCCTAATTTTCTCTTTTACATTCAACCTTAGTGATCTGAGATCAGAAGACTTCACATTGCCCAAACGAAGCAACCCAGGTATGCATATTATCTCCCTTTAATGATTATCTCTCTTTTTTCATGTCAAAAATAAACAAAAATGGCCTAAATTTCTCTTCTTACATTCAACCTCAGCAGCTCCCTCACCAAAATCTCCACCTTAAAGGTTATCCTATTAGCTAAGCTAAAGCATCTGCTTTATCACGATTTAAAGGTACATGTAATTGTAACAATTATTTTTGCAATCATCATAAATCTTGTTCCATAAAATATTCATGTTTTCCTTTAGAAAGAAAGCCTGATTACATATAATTGCAAGCAGAGAAGTTGAAGCACAATTTTGCTGTTAATTATAAGCTCCTTTATAATGGCCTACTTAAAAAAAAGCTCTTCTGCATTCACAATAATTTTGAAATCTACCTTAATACTGGTTCCCTGTTTTATAAAGATAGATTAATACTGTTTCCCACTTTGAAAAAGATAAATTATAACTGGTTCTGTGTTTAATGGTTGTATACAAAATAATACTGGTCCCCGTTTTCATCAAGTAAGAATGTTTAATCTGTTACTATTTGTGTGGTGCCAGTGCCCAATTTTGATACCCGTGTTATATCATTAAAACACACGTGCATGTAAGTCATGTGCAAATTTTATTGTGATGTAAAGTCACACAGAGGTACTTTTCCTTGTTTGTTTTCTTCAGCCAAGTCATTTCATTTTTATCCAATTAAACAAATGAGATCATTCAAATTTTCTCTTGCTAAATTCTATTGACATGTGTTTAATTTCTCTTCATTTATTTTATGATATTTGAGACAATTCTATTTAAAAGAATTCTGAATGACCATAATCTAGGCATAAACTTTCAGTCCAATAAAAGGCCAATATTTTAATGAATCAAAATGTTTAATCAATTTAGGACCAATATGCTCATAACTATCTGGTTAAAACCTATCTTGTATCCAATAGCGCTCTATTACCTTAGAAGCAGCACCTCCATGTATCACAGCTTTAACAAAGATTCCCAGATCCCGTGTCCCTTCCTCCGTCGTGAGGGTTTTCCCCTTCACACTTACACCAAGCCCAGCAGAACCAGTGTCGTTCAATGGTATGTTAAACTCGATCAGTTCCTTGTTTTTCATCACGGCCAATGTACCATCGTCTTCAGCTTTGTCTGTAGGCTGGAAAAGGTCACGATGAAGATCAAGGTCATTTCTGGCAGGTTCAAGGTCACTGGTATTAGAATCATGCTGAAAGCGCAAGAAAAGGCGTGCACACACACAACACACAACAACACAGAAATTCACACTGCAGAGCAAAGAGTGAGCTACACAGCAAAACAAAAATAATTTAGACACATCTATGTATACAGATACATGTAAGGTAATACAAAAAGACTTGTACGTTAATAGAAATAATAAGACAAAATCAATTTTTTAATCAATCTTTTTTGCCGTGTTTGTTTTATTAAATTTTTATCAGTAGTTTCATTCTTGAAAGGATCAGAAATTAAGCAATGCAAAAGGTTTAAGTGAATGCCTTTTAATTTAATGGCTAGTTTTATGTTTTCAAAATGACCTTGACCTTTGACCTAAAATGGATCTGCTAGGTTGAGCTCATCAAAATGCATTCTTATAAAAACTCTTAACGTAAAAGCTTTACTAGTATTGTTGATGATCACAGACAAAAACTTAACCAAAAAGTTCAACCAAAGCCAACAGCTATGCCAACAAGTGGGTCATAACAATAGCTCCAATTTTTCTGCAAAAGTAGAGCTAATAATTGATGGGAAATCACAATATATACAAGAAAAGCATTGATGCAAAGCATCAAAGGGCGACGCCAAAAGAATTTGATCCAGGTTTGCACCTAAATACTTAACAAAAGATGTGTACTTTACAGCAGTACCATTTCATGTGACCTGGAGGCTTGGCCCAGTTTATGTTGAAACTTAAACCAAAAAGAATAGACTCTGTCTTGCCAAGATGCAAAGACAATTTATAGTCAATAAACCAATCTTAAGATTTACTTTACCAGATACAAGGATACCTGAGTCATCATCATATAATGACAGGCACAAGTATCACACCTGGGAAGAAAAAATATGACCAGATTAATAAAAAAATCTGTGTTCATCTTAAAAGTGTCAAAAAACAAAAAAAAAATGTAAATAATGACCCCCTTTAAAAATATACTATTAACTTTAAGTATATTTTTCTTATTTTTTTATACTTGTGCCTGTGCATATAATAAAAGCTTATTGCTTAGGGTTGCAGACATGTCATTGACATATATTAGATATAAAAGAGGACCTAAAATGAACATCAGGGGGACACCATAGGTATTCAGAGAGAAGAGTACCAGCCACATTCACCAGCTGCTATCAGAGATAAGACTTGAACCATGCAAGAATGTCATTACATATGGCAGATGCTTGAAGTTCCATGAAGAAGAAGAAAAAAGAACTTCTTCATGTGCAGTATAGTGTGATCAACTGTACCAAATGCTTTTTGTAGATTTAAAAGTATCACGCAATACTGCCTTTGTCCATTTCAAATTAAATGCAATCTATTTAATGAATCAAACATGTGTCAGTTGAAAAACCACTTCTAAACCCTGACTGAAACTGCCTGACCATGACTCGAACCCATGACTTTCAGAAGACCAACTGAGCTATCCGGCCGGCTACACATTTTCTCTTTAATAATGAAACAGTTCTAAACCTAAACCTTTTTCCCCACTATATTGATTCATGTACTTGAATTTCTGATGTTTACAGAGCATAGTAAATTAAACTAATGGTAACATTTGCAGTAACAGGATGAGAAAAGCTTTCAGCTTGACCAGAACTCAAACCTGTGACTCACAGAATAATGTACCGTGGCTGTAGCGATTGAGCTATCTGGCCGCTTACACATTTTCTCCCCTAAATAGTGAACAGTTCTAAACCGTGACAGATATTTAGATTTTTAAATTAACAGATAATTAATTCTTAATTAATAAATAAAAAAAAAAAAACCTTACATACTCATAGTCTTAATTAAAATAACAATTTATATAATTATTATTGTTTAATTATTTTTACTAACTAGAAATGTGTCATCATGCCACGGATGCCCCCGCATGCAGCCAAAATTTCAGATGTTATTATATTTAGTTCCAAATTTGTTTGCACAAATTATTTTTTTCATTTTAAGTTCAAAGCCCTTAAAACTTTTCAATGTTAACACAAACCATTTTCATACAATGTTCAAAGCACTGAAATTATTCAGTCTTAACCTTTTGAAAATAGCATATTTCATATTTGTAGCCAAAATAATGGCTACATACATTTCCACAAAAGTATGAGTGCTGAATCTGAATGTTCAAAATTTTTTCCAATATTCAAGAAAGATAAGTTTATCCAAAATCATTGAACCACGACCAAATTCAAACTTAAACTGCCTATTCCTAAGATGTATCTATATTATTTTCAAAGTGAAAGGGACATAACTCTGCCAAAAAATCATCGAACCATGACCAAATTCCAACTTGACCTGCCCATTCATTTGACATATCCATATTTCAAATTTGAGTTGAATATGTAACACTGTTGGGTAGATAATGAACAGAAACTGTAAATTTCATATTTTTTTCAAAGTGAAAAGGGCATTACTCTGCCAAAAATTATTGAACCATCACCAAATTCGAACTTGACCTTGGCATTCCAAAAAAATATCCATATGTCAAATTTGAGTTGAATGTGTTGTACTGTTGGGGAGATAATAAACAGAAACTGAAAATTTCATATTATTTTCAAAGTAAAAGGAGCATAACTCTGCCAAAATCATCGAACCATGACCAAATTCAAACTTGACCTGTATTTTCTCATGACATATCCATATGTCAAATTTGAGTTGAATGTGTTGTACCGTTGGGGAGATAATGAACAGAAACTGAAAATTTCATATTATTTTCAAAGTAAAAGGGGCATAACTCTGCCAAAAATCATCGAATCATGACCAAATTCGAACTTGACCAGTATTTTCTCATGACATATCCATATGTCATATTTGAGTTGAATGTGTTGTACGGTTGGGGAGATAATGAACGGAAACTGAAAATTTCATATTATTTTCAAAGTAAAAGGGGCATAACTCTGCCAAAATCATCGAACCATGACCAAATTCGAACTTGACCTGTATTTTCTCATGACATATCCATATGTCAAATTTGAGTTGAATGTGTTGTACCGTTGGGGAGATAATGAACGGAAACTGAAAATTTCATATTACTTTCAAAGTAAAAGGGGCATAACTCTGCCAAAAATCATCGAACCATGACCAAATTCGAACTTGACCTGTATTTTCTCATGACATATCCATATGTCAAATTTGAGTTGAATGTGTTGTACCGTTGGGGAGATAATGAACGGAAACTGAAAATTTCATATTATTTTCAAAGTAAAAGGGGCATAACTCTGCCAAAAATCATCGAACCATGACCAAATTCGAACTTGACCTGTATTTTCTCATGACATATCCATATGTCAAATTTGAGATGAATATGTGCAACGGTTACTAAGATAATGAACGGAAACTGATGATGACGGAATGACAGAATGACGGAATGACGGAAGGACGGAATGACGGAAGGACGGAACAGGGTAACACTATATGCCCCGGCCATTACATGGCGGGGGCATAAAAAGGGCTAAGACAGTTATTGGTTATGCCATTATTTATAACAGGTCAATTTGAAAGTGAATATAACTGTGCTAATACATGTACAATATCTATGATAAGAAATTTTATGAAGGCTGATTTGCATTTTACATCAAGGGCACCGGGCGAAAACATGAAAATGCAACAAACGAACCACTTTGTGGTAGATTGTATTTTCATGTTTTCATCTGGCGCCCGGTTACTTTTTGTACTTTGTTGGTTTTCATGTGGCACATTAAATCACCCACTATAAAATTTAGTGTACAAATTTATTCAAGGGCAAGTAACAATCTACTCTATGAAAAGTCTGTTGTCGGGTTGACTCAGGAGACCTGGAGGTTGAGACCGGTGTCCCTCCATTACAAATAGATAAGGCAGAAGCTGTCCTTTTCAAACTATGCACATGTTAGAAAAAAATTAGAATAACTATTCAGAACATGATTTTTTGAGGCTTTATCAATTATATTGCTTGATCCAAGTGTCAGGACATTTTCAATCAATACATGTATTATCATTTATAACTTTAAATGAAAGTCTCATCCCTTTAATAATAATGACATAACTGCAACTCTTTAAATTCAGAAATATTATAAGTCTCATCATACCAATATCACAGTATATAAACGATTTGAACCCCAACCGGATCTTGTGAGAAGATCTCAGCATCTAAACGTACAATCGGGCAGGATGGCACATTAAACTATTAAAGATCGGCTTGAATTTAATATGTTACGGTATGTTAACAGTTGAATCAAATTAAGAAATAATTTATCTTTGCTTGTATATACATCCATAACCTTCTTCATAAAATATATATGCATAAAACGCTGTGCTCTTCGTTTCTTGTTTTGTTTATGTCAACACACGCCGATTACACAAGCAAATTTATGCCTAAAATGATTTTGCTTTACTATAACTTATATCTGAATTTTAACTTTATTGTCTTTTCCTCATACTACCGGACAGACACTTGTGAAAATATCTTTGAATATTGATAAAACATAGTAAATAATAGAGGCGAACATTCTGACAACTGTACCCGTCTTGCTAAAACAATTTTATTGATCTGTACCCTACTTGTGTTTTCACTGAACCATTACTTGAGAGTCACTTTTGATGATTTTAATTGTGTTTTGTCATATGTTCCAAATTTTATTGTGCAGAATATGAAGTTATTGTGTCACAAGAGCATGGTACATGTCTTAGTTCTATGTAAGTAACCAAAACTACATATGAATGGACGAAAATACCAGCATGAAGTTGCTGGTTATACGAATCAGAAAGTCAATTATTTCTTGATAGGAATGAATAACTAGCAAACCTTATCTTCACTTACCATTCATTTTTCTTTGGAAAATATATAAAGCTAAATTATTACAAATGTACTATAAATTTCTTATATCTAGTTCAACCACATTGTTGTTAGTTTTGACTGACCGTTATATAACGTCACGTATCAATAAACCTCGAAATATCATTACAAGATTTGTTGCAGATAACTTATTTCAACATGTTGAAAGCTTTAATTACACCTACCGTTGATTTCATTCTGCTTTTTAAACTCAGAAATTCGTTGACTTTCTATTTCTGATATGTACGACTTTCATTCTTGTACATGTATATCTTTCATAGGCGTCGACACAATTATGGCAATTTTTTAAACGGAGAATATTCGGGAAATTTTAATTGTCAGTGTTTCAGCTATTGATGTTATAAACTTCTTTTTTTTCGTTTACGTTATTGGCGATGACGCTGAAATTCTTTAAGTAGGAAATTTTATTCTGATCATTATTTATTCTTATTTTCAAGTTGCAGTCGGGATGGGGAATAATTATGTGGTCAATGATGGCATTGAAATTCGTAGTCTTTACTGAACAGTATATACAGTTGTATTCTTCCATGGTGATCCGAAAGAGAAATATACAGAACATTATATATTTTATTACACAAATGATTAACAATAGTATCAGTTAAACCATTTCTCGGTAAATACCATAGATCCCACCTTATATACTAAAATTCTATTACAATCATTATCTTTTCTCGCATTAATTGATACAAAATCGTAATAAACTCCAATAATCTTTAAAAATACTCACAAGTCAGGGTACAGATAAAATTCGTAAACTCACAAGTAGGGTTCACAATCACCAGCAAGTAACGTTCAGTTTACGGAAATGACCTCCTTGCTAAAACTCTTAAATTTATGTTCAAGATACAGCAATATGTTATGCATATGACTAAATTATCGTTTGTTATTGATTACTTTAGTTGTTCGATATCAGAATTTAACGTTTAACTAAATCGACCTTGGAATAAGACAGATTTTTGTTCGTGTTCAGTGTTGATCACCTGAAAGTTGTTCGTGAGTTTCTGTTATTTTATAGCCTTCGTGCTAATGTTTATGTTTTGCATAACTTAGACGTTTAATAAAATTTCTGTCTTACAATACAAATATAGATTTACTAACCTAACATTCATCAGTATCAATATAATTACCAATATCGTAAACAAGTGAAGTGGCAGAATATGGCTGACACTGAAATCTTCTCACAAGATCCGGTTGGGGTTCAAATCGTTTATATACTGTGAATATACTAAGATATAAATGTATGCACATAACATTAATAATTCCAAGTTTCTATTAAATAAATATGAAATATTGGGTATATAAAGCCAGTAAAAGTATATATTTATCAATATTCTTTCATCAGGGCCTCTATGCTTTTGATGACCTTACAACTGGTAAATTTTATAAAACAAAAATTGTAAGTAATACCTAAGATAGACAGAAAAGAACAAATAATTTAGTAAACATGAGTTACTTCCCCTTGAAATAAAGAAAACATGAAACCCAAAAGAACACCCTAAACATCAAAATTAAGAAATATTGCAGGCTCATTTTAATTATGCCATGCAAATTAATGGTAAAGTATTCATAAAAAAGTAGATGGCCATGTGACAGCAGTAATTGCAGAAAAACGGATAGCTGTCAACATCCGGATACTGGTACACTTTGTAAAAACAACCATTCTGTTCAACAGAAAAATGTAATATGGATAAAATCAATAGGATAATCGTTTACAACAGTCCATTACCTATCCTAATACTCATTTGCAGGTGAACTTTCTTCTTGTAGGAAAGTTTTGAAATGTATAAATGAATGAGCATCAATGTAGACCACAACGATATTCGAAATCCGGGTTTTAGTATTGTCAATAAAACAAAGGGACAAGCTTTTAATCAGAGCCTGCAATTTCGTGAAAATAATATCACAATGCACATGCTTTTTATATAAAGTTATTAAATACAAATATAACAACATATTTGTTTACTTGATTTTTACGAATCAAAATAAATATAATTAACACAACATGAAATTAACTGCTAATAATATCAGCTCCTTCCATAGGCAAAAATAAAAAGCATTCCATAAAAGACGACGCCGCTCACCGGCGTCGCCAATAAATGTAGAATAGAACTGTCCCATCACAGGTTTTCTATGACCTACTAACACATATATTGCATTTTCCCCAATAACATAGCTGAGTTTACACCAGTCCTAGTATATTTAATAACTATAAATTGACTCTTAATTTCCGATAATGGCATAGCTGCACATGGATGGTACTCCACATGCAATATCCTTAATTGAATAATTTCATTCTAGAGAAGTAGATTCCATGGATACAATGTTAGTTACAACTAGAATGTTTCTTTTGGCTTTAGGTACGGTACAGTGAAAGTAATTTTGAACCCTTACATTACTAAATATCTAGATAGATTTATTTCGGCAAAGGAAGCATATATCTTGAATGGAGTTAATTGTCCGTCTTTCAATCTGGACAAAACTGTTTCTTCATATTTAGGAAACATTTCAAAATATGTACTGACTGAATATGGAACAAGGTATACCAAGATCAGATGGCACAGATGTCCCGAATGACCTATACCTGACTGGTGACAGGTCCATTTATTAAAGGATATTTAGCAGTGTAAGGGTTATACCATCCTGGATCTGCTTCCTGGACTGACCAGTAATAGGAAACAAATATTCAGTTAATGACTACAGCTAAAACCAGTACTGGTATCATGGCTGACCAGTACTTGTATCACAGGAAGAAATACTGAGCTGTAGGATAACAATTAGCATGCACTTACTTTCTACTATACATAGCTTTAGTGCCTATAATTGTGGCAAAAAATAAATCTGAAATTGTTCAACAATATTTATCTAACTAGCATGGTTGTGGCAAAATCTTCAAGATAATTTTGGACTGCACAAAATGTCTGCTTCCTCATACTATCCCGTACTGGTGTTTTTAATAAAATTAATCTGAATTCAACCTTCCTTATAATAAGGCATGTGATATAACACGCATGCGATAGTAATCTCCCTAATTGGCAAAATCCCCCAGTTATTGACATGTAACTAGACGGACAATGTTTTATCAATTTACTCATAGGGTGAACAATATTATAGAAGAGACAGAGAGAGGTTAGAATGACTCAATATCTAGTACAAAACAACAACTCATGACTATGCATAATTAAACTAATTAATCCAACAATAAAAGCGGATATTCAATTACTTTTGGGGGATTTTAAGAGATAATTTAAAAATTTATTTCCTTTTCTCTATTTCTTTCTCAGGTTTTTCAGTCACATGGACTTTTTTAACGTCATATAGTGACATTCTTACTTTAGTGGTGGAGGAAGACCTTGAGTAACCCTTCTTGTTACGCAGGTTGACTAACTGGATAGCTTTCTCATATAAATGAATCCAGACTTGGTAAAACATTTTAAACCTGCAGCAATGAAGAGCAAATACTTAGCAGTCAACAACTTTTAATCACATAGCCAAAGACACCTCTATATTTACACTCAACTGATATCAAAATCACCCGCCATTCTTGATAAAATTAGTGGCAATGAATCCTATGAAATTTAGTTCAACTTATTTGTATGTTGTTCTTTTTTTCAATCTTTATTAACAGTTAATCCATCATGTTTTTAAAATATTGTTTCGCATTTAAAAATTATATGGTGGTTGACTCCAACTACATTGCAGAAAATGTTTTCTTTTTTCTTAGTCGTAATACTTCAAACATTCCAGGAATTTCAATATCCATTCCCTTTTAAAGTAACAACCCCACCTAAACGCTACATATTTACTTTACAACCCAGGTTTTCTTGAAGATAATATTACATTGTAGGTTATTTACCCATCAAATATAACCTTCTGTTTTGAATTTTAAACAATCATACATTTTAGTTGATGATCTAATTAAAATACACAATGACATTTCAGCCTATTTTTACATCACAACTAGACAGACATACAGCATCAAATTCTATGCAAACTACAACATAAGCACTTAAAATCAAACCATGCAGAAACAAAAGAAAATAATTATTTGTCTAAGGATTGTTTTATGCACACTGATCTAAAATTAAGCTCATAGCTACTAATTTGACAAGAAACAATTAAGTTTGGTCTTAGGTAGATTCTTACAGACTCACATGGAACCAGCTCAAGTTCAAGTTTAGCTCAATATTTTCTAGACCAAATCCAAAGTCAAAGAGACAATTTTTTACCTCTATCTCAACTTGGACACACAAAATCCATGTGGTAGTCTTGAACTGTTGGAAATTTTTAAAAAAAGAAGACCTAACTAGACTTTAATCTTGACTTTTGGTCAAGAACTGCAAGTACTTTACTAGGACTGTATATGTAGCTCTAAATGGAAATGCTTTTAGATGTGATGAAACAGTACTGAGATGTAAATTCATCATTGATGCAATAAATAAGTACTGGGACTTAAATGCATTTTGGATGTGACAAAACAGTACTGGGACTTAAATGCATTTTGGATGTGACAAAACAGTACTGGGACTTAAATGCATTTTGGATGTGACAAAACAGTACTGGGATTTAAATGCATTTTGGATGTGACAAAACAGTACTGGGATATAAATGCGTTTGTTTAATCTTTAAAGAAAAATACACAAACTGACATATTTGGTCGGCAGAAACTACATGTACAAACATGCAACTCATATCATGCTTGCAGCATCTAGGCTACAGAAAATCTACACACACATGCTAGCTAGCAAGCATTCTTTATATATATATACACATAATTATATAAGAATGAAAAAAAAAAAGGTTTTGAACAGATCAAAAATCACTACATACTATTTCAAATATATTGATTATCATGTTTTAAAAAGAAATAACAAAGCACTAAAGACAGAGCTGTCAGCAAGAATAAGCTGTTAGGAGTTAGGGACTCGGCATAAACATATTAACAGGCTTATTATAGAAATAATAATAAAATATATATTCTTGGTTAATTTACAATTTCAATTCTTTATTCTACCTTTCTTTAAATATTTAAAAAAACTCTAAGCATTTAGTATTATTACTGAAATAACTGAAAACATACAGGGAATTGTTACAGTGTTCTGGGCTATTACATATTATAGCCTGTTAATGGGTCATTAGTAATATGAAAGTATATACGCACCAATTCTCGCGGAACTTTAAATCGGTCATCCTCTTCTTCTTCATCTTCTTCTTCTTCTAGCTCTTGACGTGACACCGCAATGTGTACTGTACTTCCTAGTGTTGTATTGCGTAGAATTGAAACAGCGTCTCCCTGAGTTTTCCCCGTCATTTCTATACCGTTCACCTAACAAAAACAATGTTAATGTAAAGCTTACAAAATTTAATGCTTTTACTTTTACTCTTGTTACCTTAATGCTACTTTCCACCATTGAACTATGAACAATCAATGTTGTTTCAATGTATAGTTAAGTTAAAGTCTTAAATATAACACTGCTTATAACTATTCTAGTACCCACCATGTTTCACTGATGAAACATATGAACATGGGAGTGGTATAAACAGGCTTCAAACTTAAACTATGAACCACTGTCAAACTTAAATCAAATACTGTATGTGTATTTAAATTCGCGGAAGCAAATTTTCGCGGAAAGGTCCAATTTGGGGGTATATACAAATATTCGCGCTATTTTGAATTCGCGGAGGTGACTGCCAAAAATCATAAATTCGCGTACACCCATCAGGTTTAAAAGTACATGACTAGGCAATGGTTTTCGCAAGCAGCCTTATTCCATTCAAACTACTTTTTACTGTAACCATTGTTGGACTTCATAGTTATTTTCAACACCTGGTGTCAAACAATACGCTATTGTACATAACAAAGACATTCAATTTATCTAGTGGACAAATTATGGCAAACAAAATAATGTCCGTTTACGTGCGTGATTTTTCACAGTTTTAAACAGCACTGAATAAGACCATAATCTTTCATCGATTTTGTTAAAATGTTGACTGAGTAATTGTGTTTTGTTTTCCATGTTTTCATCAGTTAAAATCGTTTAAGTTTGTGTTGTTTGTATTGTTTGTTTAGCAAAACAAAATATAATCTGGTCGGATGTCAAGACGTTTATGACTCAGACTATGAAATAAAACTACAATGGTATTGTTCAAACATGTATATAGTTATAAAAGAATCCGATAATCATATCAGTCAAACAATAATACACTAGCAAACTGATTTATATACAGAGCTGAATATTACATGTACAGTTTATACAACAGTAAAATCACTCTTTGAAAGCGCCACGGATACCAAACCTATGGCAGCCGTGAACACACTGATAAACATTGTTCTATAGAGGCGCGAAAATATGACTATTAAGAAATTATTGGCGTAGAAATATTCGCGCTGAACATGAATTCCCGGATCGAATGTCACCGCGAAGATCGCGAAAATTTGAAGCCCGCGAATATTTCTACACATACAGTATTCATTGCTGTTTTCATATAACTTTTTTTCCTTCTTAAATAAATTTTAATGCAAAGAAAATAATTGTAAATAAATATCAACAAATTGTCACCTTATTGCAGCAACAGGTTAACTTTTTGTATAATATGACAGAAGTTAACCCATTACTGCAATAAGGAAATGAAATAAGAAATTTCTGCCACATTCATAAATGAAATGGAATATGTTAAATATCAAATACCTCCAGAAGACGGTCCCCGGCTTTTAATCTTCCATCTGTAACAGCAGCTCCTTTTGGCAAGATATTCTTTATATAGATAGGGGATGGTCCCCCAGTTTGATTGTCCCGTGTGGTTATGCTAAATCCGAGGCCCACAGGGCCTTTCACTAACTCTATGTCATATCTTTTTCCTATCTTTTTAGTATTTGTTGGTGCGATAATTGCTTCACGCTTTTTTGTTAAAGTTCCCGAAGCACTTGGTGATGGTGATGATGACCTTGATTTACTTTTTTCAGCAGTTCCTACATTAGCTTTAGAGTCTGTATCATTTTCATGTGCACTATTTGAAGACAAAGTGGTGGAGGGGTGGCGTTGTGGGGGTGCTGGAGGTGGAGCTCTTTTCGACGGAGAAGATGTGTTATTTGACGAGGTACTGTCTTTAGAACTTGTTATTGAATTCTGTTTGCTATGATTTACATGTACTGACTTGTCAGTATTTGTGTCAGAGTTATGTTCACTGGATTTGTTGAGTGGTGTGCTAGTTTCTTCAGGACTTGTGATCGGAGAGTTTATATCCAGATTCTGTGGTGGCAAGGTAAGTGGACTAGGTTTTGTGGGCGAGTGACCTCTCGGCTTCGGAAGTATTGCAGGTGGCACCTTTTTCGGTACAGCATGAACAGAATGTTTCACAACTTTTAACTTGACCTCTTCTGTTTTCATTGCATTTCGAAATATTTCTTGAGCTCTGAAATAATAAGAGTTTTAAAATATAAATAATTTACTGTTTGCATGTAAAGTGTGGGTAATAAAGCCTTTGATTTATATGGTTTGGTTTGATATTAGAAGGACTCCACTGAGGTTTTTCCACATGATGGGACTGGAAATATTTTCCTGATATTTGTACACCATTTGATGTAGGTATGGTCTAATAATATGTGTGCAACTTTTCACATCATTCCCTCACCCTGTTTTTCCACTATAAATATTTTAATTGTGCAAAATTACCCAAATATGAAAAGCGTAGCAATCGTGCTAAGAATTGCATGAACAATTGATATTCAAATCATATTTTTTCTTCTTTTTATCATTTGCAGATTTTTGTATTTAAAGCGCTTATCTAGACTTTTGTAACAATTTCAATTTGTATGTTTTTAGGGTGTTTTTTTTTCTTAATTCAGGAGAGCTCCTTTAACTTTTGAAGAACAATCCTTGATTCCATTTCTAGCATAATTTCAGGCACCAGCAGGCCTTTGAGTAGAATCACTGACATTAAGTTGGATAGTTTCTTCATATGAATAAATCCAAAGACCCTTGCTGGATTTGAACCCACAACACTGAGGAGCATGTGGTTGTAAGTCAGTCAAAGAGGTCCCCATATTCCAATTTGATAATGGTGCACAATCATATGACCAATATACTCTAACTTGAAACACCATAGTGTAAAAATGGGTGAATAAAGCATAAAATTTTCTAAAACATTCAAGAGAATATGATGACTAAATAAGAAAAGAAAGGGTACAAACTTTGGGAACGTGATGTTATGAAGATCTATGTTATTAATTTCTATAATTCTATCGTGTTCTTTGAGGCGGCCATCTTGATGAATGCGACCACCTGGCTCTATACCTTGTACCATTAGTCCACTCTCTCTGTAATACAAGAAAACAAAATGTATTTAGTCTTCTCATCATCCGACATACTATAATATTATTTTATTCAACGAGTTGATAAATTAAGTAATGAATATGCACGAACATAATATTTTATTTATCACATACCTAACACAAGGACTGTTTACAGTTAAAATAATCCATTTTTGTTATTGCAGCGCCTATAGTCTAAAGCTTACATTTAGCATGTCTTTACACTATGTTTGTGTAATGCAAACAACGCAACTTCAAAATATATCCATGGATGTGCAATACCATTTTTAAGGAGTCACAAAAAAGGCCCGGGTATGTGATAATAAGGCTTAATGTGCCCCTTAAGTGTTTAACTATCTCTTAAACAACATCTATTACCTCTTCAACTGTGAGGAACATAATCTTTTTATAAATTTTACTATCTCTTTCAAACAAAGCTCTCATATAGTTTTTTGTTTGATATACAATGGCTCTGGGATAATGGTATAATAGTCATGGAATGATTTACTATTGTTTATAAAAACACTGTTTATTGTTTATGTTTACTCAAATACATTTACATCAAAGCAAAATCAAAGGAAAAACTAATGACTAACATTATTCATCAAAGTTATGAATTTATCTGTCCAACTAGTTATCACTATAGTAAACAATGTGCTTGAGGCCGAACAACAAAATAAAGATCAAACACAGAAAATCTGTCACTAAAAACACAATATTGACCATTATCTGATTAAAACAAATGATCTATATTAAAAAACCACAAATCAACAAAGGAAAATTATTGTCAGGTTTGTCCCAAAGAAAAAACAAATTTCTAACAAAATATTAACTTTGAACATATTATTCTATATTTGTGTATATACTGGTAAATATACATATATGTTATTGTAAAAGAACCTTGATAGAGGTAAATAGCTCTCCACTGAGGCTTTGACTACTAGATAGAATATAAACTACGGCCAAGTCAATGTACAGTTGTCAAACCAAAAAATCCAGGTAACATAACTCATATGCAATCAAAATGTTGATGAATGATGCAAAGACAACAGAGGGGTCCAAAAAGGCTCACCATAACAACAAAGTCGTCATGGGGTGCTAAAAATGTATCAAATGTTTGTTCTCAAGACAATGTAGCCCCATGTTATAAATAATTATAAGGGAATTAAATTTCTAATTCTTAATTTCTATAAGATCTGAAAGGGAAATAGACCAACAATAAACATACTTTCCCGCCTCATTGAAGTCTGGTACAACATGTATACCAAGTGGCGTACCATCGTTCTTTAAACATAGCACTATACCAACTTCCCTGTAATACACACAAAAATACAAACTTTATAGAATAATGAACATTTGCTATCTTTTCTTTATATCAGCTGTTAACAATATTGTATTGTGACATGTCTATGAATATTAATTTTGATAATAACTGTTATTAAGCATATCTATGCCACCTCCACGGTTCTTTCTAGCAAGCGTATTGTTTAATGCTATTCATTTGCAACATTGCCGTTTACTTACATCATTTCTCTATTTTCCTGACATTTTTTAATTGATGACAAGGTGGACTTGTACATTCACTCATTCTCAGATTATGACTAAACTCTTGAACTATTTTTTTTTATTTCAATACTAAATTCCCTTAAATTACTAATGAACTGTTCCAAATACAAAGATTGACAAGTCTATTATATAAATTTTAGGAGAGTGAGTATTAAATCTACAACAAAGGCCATCAGCTTCAGCTTAAATTAAAAGTTCCATAATTTAGAAGTCCACTCAACTTTAAGATAAAATACAATGTATTACTCAAACTAAACAAACAAATCCATAATTATAATAATTATGCAATAGAATGATTTTGTTAACAAATTTTGATTTTGGTTTTAATTCCTCTGACAGCTGGCAGGCATATTGAAGAAGACAAAACAATGCAGAACCCAGTCATACTTTACAACAATACAGTATTTCCATCTTAAAAGCTGTAGAATCAACAATAAATTCTTGAAAGATAAAAGAATAAATGTTCTGTCTTATAAAATCATAATATATCGCTTTAGGAATTGAAGTCTTTGAAGTAAGATATTTTTGTCAATGAATCTATGTACACCTCCACCCAAAGGATCTACTTTAATTTCTTAGAGGTTATTGCCAGAGTCAGACTAGATACTTCATTTTAAATGGTTTAATCAGATATAACACATACTTTTTAGCTGGAGGCAGGGGAGGTTTGACTGGTCCCTCTACTTCATCCTCATGGTTAGTGCTGCCACCTACTGGGCCTGGCCGCTCTGGATGCTAGAATACAAGAAAATATATTAAAATAGAGAATTATAGACTGTGTATTTCATAACATAATCAGATGAATCTGACTCGATCAGAATTACTTCTTTCAATAATGCTGACTAGATATCACTTGCCTATCAACACTGGTTCAAATCCTGACAAGAACAATGGAAAGTTCCCATAATTACCTTTAAAACTTCGGGCTGACTATCAAGACCTGTCAGTAGGAAGGACTCAGCATGCTCAACTTTTCTCAGTAACAAGAGCCTGGATTAGTAGAATTTTCAAAAAGGGCTATAATTCTGACAAAATCCCTGATAGAGTTATGGGTTAAGATAATGACCCCCAATTATGCTTTCAAATAAGTGTGTGAAGTTTCAACTCATTCTCTCAGTAGTTTTTTAGATACTTTAAACTTGCAGGCAAAAACTCATCAAAAGTGTGACGCCTTCACTTAAGCCTGGGTCATAGAGTAAAACTGAGCTCTCCCAATTCTTCAAATAGTCAAACAATAAAAATACAGAAATTTTTTTTGGCTACAAACAAGGAAATATTATACCTGTTTAATTCTGTCTTCCTGCCTTTCTTGAGCCTCAAGCCATTTGAACATGTTGGGTTGATTTCCGAGTGACTGACGCCATGAATCCCGTGCAAACCTGCTGAACGGGGGCGTCTTCTCACGTTCCTTTTGCCCAAACGTTCCTTTGATAATTGGTTTGTGACTGCCATCATTCATAGAACTTGTACTATCCTGAAAAGATAAATAAAATGTCCTATTAATTTAGCAAATAATTCTCCTTTCCACTTATGATGACATGATTAAAGCCATAAACTTATGTTGACCACTTTTACCTTGATTATGAAGAAAATCAAAACTAATTTAAGCCAATTTTACCTTAATTAATAATGAAAGTCATGATCTTATGATAACCAATTTTACAGTGATTTATGATGAAACATAAACTTATGATGACCAATTTTACCTTGAATTGTGATGAATAACATGAACTTATAGTAACTAATTTTAACCTAGATTCTAATGAAAGCTGTAAGATTTAAAGAAAATCATTTATTAATAGATTTGTGGTGAAAGCAATTATGTTATAATAACCAATTTTTCATTTATACCACAATCTTATGTAACAAAAGCTGTGAGCTTTACATAATGAAAATTTTGCCCCTGTCCCCTTGACTTGACCTAGTACCAGTCAAAAGCATCTTGACAAAGTATAATCAACACCTAGGACGGATTCAAACACTTAATCTAAGAGGCTAGTGGTAGACACTTTTACCACTAAAGCCAAGGGTCATCTTAATGAGGTATGGGGAAAACTTACATTCATTTAATTCTTCATCTATGTATAATCTATAAAGTTAAAATTTATAATATTTAGCCATTTAGGCTGCACTTAACTGGAATTTTGGTCTTTATGTATTAAAATAATTCACTTAGATACAAAGCATAGATCCCTGACCTGATCAGATTAGTTGATACAATAAGAATTTCACCACTACATATTTGATAGCCAAAGAACACATGTCCATGTTTGTGGTTAAATCTATTGTTATTCAAATTAAAGGTCAGAGTAAGGATCTATCAATTATAATGATTAAGTCACAAATGATTTACTAAAATATATTTCTGATTCCACCATTGAATAGAAATTCAAATGTAACGCAGTTAAACATGTATAAACAGAAAAAATCATTGACTAATACTGACACAGACAGAAATAACTTTATTGTGGCCTTTTTTTACTATTATGCATACCACACAAATAGTTTCTGTCAAATTTACTCCATATGACATGTCAAATGTCATTTTTACTAGTCTATTTAACCAAGACTGGTGGTGTTTAACCTGCAGTTAACTTTATACACTCTTTTGAAAAATTTCAAAATCACAATTTAATGACCTATAACTTATATGGCCTTCTGTTACAATTAATAGCTTTGCACTGACCCTCTCTATGAAATCTACATATTTCATTAATAAATACATACATATATATGCTCATTGCAGGACGCTCATTGGTAATTTATAAGGAAGAAAGATATCAAATTTTTGCTTGTAACCTTAGATCAATGATTTGAACTAAGATAGGCTATTAAAACCAATTATAAAAGTCTCAGTGATATTAATGGCTAACCAGCATGCTAATCAGTTAGGGAAATAAGAAAGTAAAATGTTGATTTACCAGCGGTGGGTCTTTTTTTGAATATTAACTTGATGGATTTGTTGGGCTAAATTAACCAGGTTAAAACTACATTTACAACATCAGTCATGTTTTAAACAAACAATTACTAAATTGTAGTTAATGCACCAGTACAAACCATTGTACTTTGTACTGAAAATTCAAATTCTTTATTTCTCTCAGTGCATCATACATGATACAAACATAAGTATATTTTTAAAGGGGGTCATTATTTACATTTTTTTTTTTTTTTTTTTTTTTGACACTTTTAAGATGAACACAGGTTTTTTTTTATCAATCTGGTCATATTTGTTCTTCCCAGGTCCAATACTCGTGCCTGTGTGTTATGCCAACAAAAAATGTCATGTTTTCATACCCTAGAGTGACTACTATTCACTTTCATAATTAAGATGAACCTAAGATAATATAATTAACATAAACATACTGTAGATTTTGATCTTATATAATATACTCAACCTTTCTCATTAAGATAAGAACTAAAATAACAAATATCTTTACACCTAAGTAACAAAATCATCATATGGGGTCTTTCTTTCCAGATAGGTAAAAAAAAAAAATATTTCAAAGGTGTCAAAATTTCACATGACAACGTCACAGTTAAAATTAAAATTACGAACATGTTAAAATTTGGTTCAATTCAGTACTAATGGAAATTATTGCGACTTACTTCTAGTATGCATTCTAAATCCATCAACCCATCAATCAACTTATATCTCCGTTTGAACAAATTTCATAAATACATCTTTTGTATACTTGCTTTTCATACTTCCTTTTCAGATTATAAAACCAACATACATTTAGTGTCCTAGTTGAAATGCATTTTCAGAAAAAAGTTACAGATATACCCCACACTTAATGATTTACATCTTGGATAAAATTTTGTGGTGCGTAATATAGCGTATATAATGGACCAACTTCCTTGAAAGACACAATAACAAGTGTGCTATTTTTATTACATCCACATATATAAAATTTTTCGTATAAATATTTACATAAGCATCTTTCCTTCATTTACGCCACATCATCTTTTTATGTTTGACCTCGAAATAACACACCAAGTTCACCTTTTTGAAATAGTACACATACCATGATACAGACTGCGTTTCCAAATTTTCATTTTCAAGTTCACTGTACTTATCGTATCCTAACAATATTTCAATTTATAATTATTTAAGTTTAATTAGTCTTACATGCAAACAAATTAACGAAATATAAAGTACCATCAACACTTAATTTCTCAATCAACGCTTTACAACATGGTTTGTTAAAATAAAATAACCAAAGTTTAACAATTAAAATCTATTAAAATGTATTAGATTTCATAAACTATGATAATTTCTATGGCGTTACTGAATCCAATCATTCTCGAAACATACAAAAAAATCACTCAAGGAAACATTATCCCCGTTGCCTTAATAATATCCAATTTATATCACAGATAATGTAGACATTAAGACAAAAACTTCAGGCTTAAGTGGGTTTTTAATCGTAAGATAGCATAATATACATTAAATTAATATCATTCACACTTCTTTTTTCTATGGACCTAATATACACGCAGGGATTTTTATCTACAATGTATATTAATATGACAGTCAGACATAATTAATAGCTCAGCTTATCTACAGTTACACTAGCCGTAATAGGTCGGGGTAACATTTCAATGATTAACATAAATAAACAAGCCTGTAGTAACTATATCTTAATAGGCCAATTAACCGCTGTACACTTTTATTTTTATTTATGTCTTTCACAATTAAAAAATATACAATCCCCACCCCCAAAAACTGTTTATTTTTAGCAATATTCATACAACTTGAACCTAATTAATACAATATATCTAAGTATCTCCTGCCGACTTGTAAAGACGTAAAGGTGTTATAACATCTGTAAAACTCCATTTGTTTATATGTCAACATTTTTTTTGCATAAACACATTATTAAAGAGGCGACACTATCAAATGACAGTGTTATAGTAAAAGTTTATGGTTTAAAGGTTACTTGAGATATCTATAGGTGTGTAAAAGTATACCTGTTTACTGTGACAGTATATAATACACTATATATACACTGTTTTTTTAAAATTAACTTTCACGTTTTAGTAAATGTAATCATCTTTGACAGTCAAAAAAACATATATATTTTTTGGGGGTTCATTACGGTCATGACATAGGATCTATAATTCGTGCTCAGCTGAAAGTAACACCATGTCAATTTAACCATTAACTAAGAAGATGAAAAAACACAGACTACTAGTGAACTAGCATATAAGACATTAAGGAGCACTTATATAAAACTAAGAAAAACTAGAACAACCAGGATGCCAGTACTGCCTCTAGCACTCAAAAGAGTGGCATTTACTAAATTTTAAGACTTTTTCTCAGTCAGTATGAGGGAGACAACTGTGTGAGTGCTTAAATCTATTAGAAGACAATCAATGGAAGAAAACTACTGAATGCTTCCCCTGCTAAAATACTTAAATAGACTTGTCCATCTTTCAATATGGACAAAACCTTTCAATATTTTTATAAGAAAATTTCAAAATAATTACCAATGTTACAGGTCTGCACTGGTTGCCATGGGTAGAATAAAATAGCAACAAACAGGCTATTAAGTCAAAATATATTGACATAGTTACCAAAGTTAGCTTCTGAGATAGTTTTGCTCTGGGGAACAGAATCCTATACACAAGATAGCACAATATCTCATCACAATTAATACAATTAGTTGGACAAACAAGCTATGGGTTAAACTTAAAACATTGACAAAAACTTCAAAATAAAGTGATAGTGTTGAACTAAAAACAATGTTACAAGACAGTCATATCAGTCTGATACTAATAAAACAGAGCAACAAACACTCATCAAGTTGCAATTTTTGTGGTGACAGTACATTGGAAAGAAGTCAGAGGAAAATTACAAAGGTGATCCATGTGAAGTTAATTCATACAGAATTTGCCAAAATGCCAAAATAGATTCAATAGTGCGTATATGACTGAAATACTGTTGGGAAAAAGTGTAAAATGAAACAAACAAACAAGATTCAATGGTGACTTGACAATCAAACAAACTATACAGTACACACTCATGACTTTATTATGTTATCAATGCAACAATCCTGCAAACTAAACACACTCAAGAATTATCTCCCTTCCCTTATCTCGTTATTCTTTATTTTATCATTTTCATTTCCTTTCTCCCAAGCCTATTGTTCAGCTGACTGACCTCAGTTTAGCCCTGTAACCTTAGATGACCATTATCATACATTAACCCTAATGGTCAGACCAGACCATACCGCCAGCAAATGGGCCATTTATCTTCCCCCATATTGATTAACAAGACACAAAACATGCTCATTTTGACTACACATTAAATGTTTCATATGAAATGAGCATGAAGCTTTTTCCTTTTTCATCTGAAAACTACACATTACACCCTCCCCCCACTCCCCCACTTTGACTTTTATTTGCCTCACTTGCTTTGCAACTTGAATGAGTCTATTGTTATCTTAAGGAATAAAAAAAAAAATATCAGGA